GGCGGCTCGGGGAGCTGCTGGCCGCCTGGTCGCAGGGCCTGGCCCCCCGCGACAGCCGGCACACCGACAGCGAGGTCCTGGAGAGCTGGCGCAAGGAGAAAGTAAGGCCACATCTCTTTTCCTAGCGGCTCCTCGGTTGTAAGTGTTCGGTTACTGTGGGCAGAAAACTTCGGCCAAGCGGGACTACCAAGGAGAAAAGAGCAGAACGTATCTGGGGAAAAGTACTTCTGCAAAAGTCCAGCTGGCCACGCTTTTTTGGTGACTGTAAAGGGTGTCAAGTAGTGTTCACTGAAGACGTTTTTCTCCCCGGCCTCTGCTGTACAAGGCTTAGCAAATGCTGCCGGCATTTGATGTCAGAAGCAGGGCTTGCCCCTGAGAAAGTGAAGGGGCTAGCACACCAGCTCCCAACTTCTCTTCCAACTCGCTCAGTGTTTCAAGCTAGAGCAGCAACACTTGAGCCGAGAAGCACGAAGCATTTCCTAAAAGCCAAGTAGCAGTTGGAGCCATGTCTTACTTGTAACTTGTCAGGAGCATATGGAGCTTGTACTTACCGTTTCTTGAAATGTCCTTCACGTTATGCACGTTGAGAATCTTGTCCAATATTTAAAGATGTTCCACTCGAAACCCATATACTTGCTAATTGCTTTGCTATGGAATGCAGTGGAATTTAGGGAAATAGAGAGGTGGCTTCTGTTCCTGATTATCTTCTAGCAAAAAATGCCACATGTATGTATCACACACACACACTCTATATATATATATATATATATATAAATATATATATATATATATATAGTACACAATCAAGATACATGTTTGTATTTATCTTACCTCTGCTACTGTGAATCACAAATGTTGAGGAAAGATACAGAGTATTTCCCTTTCAGGGTATTGTTGCAATAAAGCAGTTTCAGGGAAAGGAAGAGAGGTGTATGATGGCAGCTTTCTGACCCCTTGACTGAAGAACTATTCAGAAAAACCCAGAATGCCTCTTTGAACTGAGATTATAAATCTCCTCCAGTGTCTGTGCCAAGTTATTTCTGTGGCTTCCCCTTTCACAGAATTCCCTGACACAGATTTATGGAACCTGCTTGCTTGAGTGCCAGTACATAACTGTAGGAGTGACAAAGCTGACATTACATCAGAGCAAATAATGGTACAGATATGCAGTCTTCCATGTTTGTGTTTTTAAAATGGAAAGAAAAACAGGAATTGTCATCAACATACAGCAGCAACTACCAGACATCTTTTATTTTATAAATGGAAAGGTACTAAATTCAAAGGACATTGCTTTTTTTAGTAGCATATATACTAGCTTTTATTAGTAGCATATAATGTATACGCACTGTAGTTCTATGTAACAATAGTTTATTTAGATTAGACAGTTGTAAACATTGGTTTATGAGGAAAATGCAGAAGAATCTCAAGACTTACTATGCACAGCCCTACTATGCAATTTTATTTATAGTTAGAGGAAATGTGACAGTAATCCTTCCATTTCTGGACCCTAGGGATAGGTCCTGTTGTGCACGTAAAATAGCACTGAAGCTTTCCATTTCCATTGTCTTCACAGTGATTCTGTTGCCATGTAAGCCAAGGCCACAAATTAAAAATGCATTTCATAATTATCAGAATTAGCAACATCATTCTGTTACTCTCTTACACTCAGATTCTGTCCCCTTAGGTATGTGCAGCATAAGAGCAACAACTCTTGCACTTGGAATTCAGCAAATTATTTTGGTAATTGTCAGATTCAAAATTAAATCCAAGTGCCTGCAACAATGCCATCAGTGTTTCTGTAGGGAAAAATGCCATAGCTAAATGTACCCTGTTTTGCAAGTTAGTGTTCTTCTTTGTTAATAGTTTATGCCTAAGGCTGTATGTCATCAGAATAATCTTTTAGTAGTTATTGAGGCTGGTTATTTGAAACTGAAAAATTTAAATGAAAACAGGCAGTTCTAACCCTGTGCTACTCTTAGGACATGTTTTCTTTACCAAAAAAAAAAAAAAAAAAAGCTGTTCATATTTCACTATGGTGACATCCTGTGTTTAAGTAATGGCCATTGTGTTGTTATTCCTAATGCTTTCAAAAAAGTCATGTGTGTAGTTTAACATAAACAAAACAAGTTAGTTTACATTTTTTTTCTAAGTGTCACTGCTATTACATAATTACTTAATTCAAATGCTACTTTGTATGGCATCAAAACAAACTGGCAGTGTGACTATTTCAAGTATCTCTTGATTATGGTTGAACAGATTTCTGGTGTGTGAGTGACTCAAAGCAGATAAAGTCCATAGTATGAGCATGAATAATATAAATCAGAGGAGTCTTGAAAATCTGCTGTAGCAAAATATTTTTTCATACAAGAACACATGAAAATGTGTAATACATCTGAAATGTCTCCAGACTTAATTTTACGGGGCTTCCGTGTGATCCATAAATGCAAACATATTTCAGTAATGTTAATATAATCAGGCTGTGATTATGGTCTAAGCCACTGTTATTCATAGCCAACTCATGCTTGTAGTTTTATTTTTCTCACAATGGATTGTTGTGGTTTTTCTTCCTGACAGTTCAGGTACTACAAAGCAGCAATCCCTCTCTTTTATTTTTTAACTTTCTCAGAAATGCATGATAATAGATCTTAAAAAGTTAATTTCCTGATTCTGCAGACTTTTTCAGGAAAAAGGGATATGAAGCAAGTGCAAGGTTTCTTGTGGGCAGCAGATGCATGAGCTCAATCTTTGGCTTTTGTCCCTTTGCTGTTCTTAATAAGTCTGTTGATCGGCTTGCTAGACCCTTCCTATTTTTTTTTTTTATTATTTACAAAAAGAGATATCTGTTTATTGCAGAGTTAGTTAATACTTCACAGTAAAAAATCTACTCAGCATTTTTATGTCTGTAATGTAGATTGTGATATTCTGAAAACCTTCTGCATATATTTTCATGTACGTAATTTGTACATTTGTAATTTCCTGAACATTTAATTTTGTGCTGATAGATTATTACAAACTATTTGCCATCTATATTTTCAATCATCCTTCTTTTATAAATTCAGAAACATGATCTGGAGACTTCATTGTCCCACGTCCATGTTCCTGCTCAAATCTGTCTTTACTTTCATATGATCTGTTTCTTAAGTTTATACTGCCCATTTCTTCCAGATTGACACTTAGATTTAGCCGAGCTAATCTATACGTGCCAAACACTCTGGCCTGCCTGTGCTGCAGAACCTCTGCCATGGTGAATGGAACTAGCTAGAAGAATGGTTTTTCTCCCTGGTAGTTTGAGGAGTGCCCACAGAATTTAGTTTCTAGTGAGACAAGGAGCCAAGTCTGCATTGCTCATTATCCTGGAGTAGCTGGCAGGATTCTGCAGTAGAGATGCTGTCGACATCAACAAGGACTGTTTTTGTTGGAGTGGTTATCACACCTCTTGCAGTGACGTGAGCTAAGCCAACAAAAGCATTTTTTTGTTGGCTTAGCTGTCTCCAAGCCAAGAGCCTTTCCAGTGCAGTAATGACAAGCAGTAACCCATTTACTCTTACAGGATTGTGAGCAGCTGTACTTTACATTATGAGCCCTCTGTGAAAGAGTTGAAGCTGTTAAAAGCTTTGTGGGAAAATTTTTTTTTGGATATAGCTAAAAATATTTTTTATTGAACATGCTAAACTCAAGCCAACAGGATAATTAGGTGTATATAAACATATATTATTTGCAATTTCCTAATTGTATGTACTTTTATATGTATACAGCTAACTAGCAATACTGTAGGTCTTTTATTAAAATGAAATTTATATCTTAAACTGTTCTTTGAGAACATTTTGAGTTAAAGTTGACACTTGCAGAAATTTGGTCTCTAGAAGCTCATAATTTCACATAAGCTTCTGTAGGTTTAACTGCTAAAATACTCTTGAAAGTGCACATGCATAGATGATAAATGAAATTTTATTTAAATTCTGATAAATTTTGATTCAAAATATTTTTGATTTTTTAATTTACTCACCAATATTGTTCATTTGTTTTGTTTTAACAGGAAACATTGGATGCTCTGCTAAAGTCTGAACATATGACAGAAGAGATCAAAACTCAGTTAAATGATCTCTGTAGATTTTCCAGAGATTTGAGTACTCATTCTTCAAAAGTTTCAGGGTTGATTAAGGAGTATAACAGGTACACATTCATCTTGTTTATAGTTAATCAGTAGGGGAGTAGGGTGGGGGGTGAGCTGTCTTTTAGGGAACCATTAATTAGAATTTTAGCATTAGAAACAGAAGTATACAATGATTAGAATGATTATTTTGGTTTTGGTGTCAGTAGAGATTGTAAACAGTAGCAATTTGGGTTTTTGTATTTTTTCCTAAAAAACAGGCTATGACACTAAACTCAGCTGAAATTAATGTATATCCACACCTGACCTATTACAGGCAGAATCCTTGTAAGAAACTGTGAAGTAGCACTATGGTTTATTTGTCTGAAGGAGGAACAGGCTATACCAGCTATTTAAGGTCTTTTTCTTAATTTTATCCTTCAGTTTACTCTTTGATTAGCTGGTTCCTTGAAACGGGAGAATCCACATTTGCTTGCTTTCTCTCAGGTCACTCTAGTTGATTTACTTGGGTGTATGACAACCTGCATTTTGGACATGAGAGTCTGTTGTCTCTTGCAGGGGGTTATAGCTTTTGGCTTCTGTAGCTGCAGAAGGGTGTGATGACCCAGATTAATCCCTTCTAACATTACAAACTCAACAAAGCCACAGAAATTAGAATTGTAATTGCTGTAGTTCCACGTCCTGTCCCTACAGAGGGAAAGGGGCTTGCAGAAACTCTTCATGCTTAGGTCCACTGAGTCACTCTCTGGAAACACTTATATGCCTGTCATATCTGTGACAGTTATGTCCCAGTTTACATGCTTCATTTTTAAGGAACTGAAAGCTTATAATGGATTTCCTGGTGCCTCAGTTAAGTGCTTAAACTTGGTAGGAGGAACCCAGGTTAAACTAACCTTACCATTGTATTTCAGAGAACTAAGTAATATCATTGTCATCTAACAGAGTTTTGCCTTTTCTCCCTCTCTTGCTCCCTCCCTCCCTCGCTCTCTGCTGCTTCACTGATGTGATAAACCCAGTCTCTGCCTGCAAGCTTCAAAAGGATGTCAGAGCAAAGAGCAGATCTTGCAGCAAAGATTTCGGACGGCTTTCAGGGACTTCCAGCAGTGGCTGGTCAATGCAAAAGTCACCACAGCCAAATGCTTTGATGTGCCTCAGAATATCAGTGAAGCTACAGCAAGTCTGCAGAAAATACAGGTAACTCTATAGCAGTGAAATATTAGTCTAAAGGAGACCTAATCAGTTTCATGTAAAGCTCAGCCTATTTTTATTATTACTATATCGTTACTGTTTCTTGTTAATATTGTTAATAATGCTACAGGTGACATTGCAAGGAAATGAACAGTTACCTTTTTATTTTTTAATCTAATTTGTTTAATTGTTGGGCTACAGTTTGTATGTAGCCATTGTCTCTCATAGTAGTTTTCCTTGTTTGTTTCTTTTTTACAATAGGAAAAAAAATATGTTTTTAAAGCAGGAAAGTACTGTAAAATCAGAATGGTATCAGAATTGGTATTTAGTACCTGGAATTATTTCAAAGTTATGTAAATATTTTTTCTTGTAAAGGTATGTAGAGCCCTTGGACTTTAAATACTTGCTTGCACTGCATACATTTTACCCCTGTTCTTGCACTATATTTTTCACATAAAGCTAAAACAAGCCCCAACAACTCTGTGGAAAAGTGTGCCAATTAGAAGTTTATTTTAATAAATCAAGTAAAATAAATACTTTTATGAATAGACTATATCTATAATTATAACTGAAAATATCAAAATGAGAATTATATGAGACTGTTAAACCTTCAGTTAGATAGTTTAACAGAAGAAATTCATATTGGTTTTTCAGAAAATGCCAAAACCCAAATCACTTCCTCCTCCTTTTGTAAATTCGTTCTCCCTTGTTTAAATGTTTTACTTAAAAGCCTAAACAATACTATATTAATATATCAAATCTTTGACTACCCCAAAATGAGAATATGTTTGCAGGAAATATCAGGAAAAAATCCTAGTATATTTTGACATTAAATATTTTTAGCAAGGGATGGGTTTGGGTTTTTTTCAACAGTGATAAGACTTCTTTTCTTTGTCACTGCAGCCCCTTCATAGTATAAGATTTTACTTTGTTCTCCTCCTCCCTGAAAGCTGCTTTAGATGAAATAAACTTTTTTTGACATGCAGTAACTGCTTTGGACTTCTAGAGATGTTTTGGTAACCTGTGTAAACTTCAAAATTTATTTTTGTTAAAACTTAATATTCTGTCTGATAGCACATTTGACATTAAATCACAAGGCAGTTGTATCTTTGATTTTAATATAGCCAGAACTTGAACCAAGTATCTCAAAACTAAGAGACTCTTTGCATTCTTTACTAAGACCTCTAGTCTGACACAGAATCAGAACCTGACCTAGTAATTTTTGTATGAAGCCTGTTATTTCTGACCATGGATATAACCTTAAAATTATGGATATAAAACTATTTGTGTATCACATATTCATGATAGTAACAGCTTTAAATATTGGTACTTAAGACTGTTAAATTCCTCGAGTCCCAAATGCTCACAAAATATTTTAATAATTGCAAGTTAAAGGGACATTATTGCAGTATGTTGGAATTTAAAAATCTGTTTCCTTAGATTTCTGTATAATTCTTGCACATGCATTTAGCTGTACATTTCTTGCACACGCGCATTGTGCAAGATTTCTGTGAGGAAAAATATTCAAACATGGAAGGTAAATTAAGGGTGCAGAGGGATAATTCATACAGCTTAGACATAGCTCAGGGTTGAAGCATCAGCCCACACCCTTACACGCTTATTGAAGTCCAACATGGCTGTTACCCGTGGGCAAGGCTTCACTCCTGTATGTGCCTCAGAGTGGGCCCTGGCTCCTGCTGTTACCTGTGCCAGGATACTGGTTCCCTGAAATGAAACTGTTACCATTTTCTGTACCATGGGTATTTAAAGAAGTATAATACCCAACTAAATAACCAGTAATTGTGTCATGAAATGAAAAACATACAGGTCATTATAGAGTCAATATATATATCATTTAGACACATGGCACTTCTGGATTAAGTAGCTGCTGTCCTTAAATCCCATAAATATGAACGATATAAAAATGGAATGTACTGAAAGCTGAGTTAGCATGTTATTAAGTAGAAACAGTAAACTCATCCCTGTTAAATTTTTTGAGAGCTTGCCATTGACCTTTACTGGGACACAAAGTTCACCAATTAAGTTATTTTATTACTACTTTTAGGAATTCTTATCAGAAAGTGAGACTGGGCAACAAAAATTAAACCTGTTAGCATCCAAAGGAGAATTGCTGTGCTCTGTTTTACCAAATGAAAAGGCAAAAGTTATCCAGGACAAATCTGCTACTGCCAAAGAAGATTGGAAAAATTTTATCACCACCCTCCACCAGAAGGAATCTGCATTGGAGGTATTGAACCAGTTACAGCGGGGAAAGATTGGAGCTAGATTTCCTCTTTGATTTTTGTTTCAAACAGCACAGTTTATATTTTGTATATGGCTGTATGTGATTCTGATGTGACATAACTAATAAATAGCTGTTTTCAAGAAGTCTTATTCTTCCGCTTACATTTTACTTTTTTTATATCCTTATGACCTGATTTAACTTGAAGTGGGGTGTTTCATGCAGAAGGGTGTTGTTCAGGGTGACTAAAGGTAGCAAAGACAGCAATTGCTCAAATTTATTAACATGTGTCTCATCAAATGTACTGGATTACTAAAAAACTTTTTTTTTTTAAGGACTGTTTTAGCACAGATTTCTGACACTGTGGCTGAACGAATAGTCCCAGTACGGCGGGTGAATGTCTCTTATTTGCAAACTGGTCAAATGTAATGATTTATTTGAACAACTTTTTCAGTAAACCTCAGTGCCTTTCTCTGGTCACAACTCACAATTCATCCAGCACAGAAGGTGAAAAATATAGTGTCTTTTAAGGTCATAGGTTTTAAGGTCAAAAGGTCTTAGCTGAAATTCCCTGTGGAGAGTAGGAGAATTAGAATTCCTAAGCATTCCTGTTTCAAACCAATGCAGCCTAGCCAGCTGAGAAGAAATTTAAATGCATTTAATACATTATGTAGGAAAGCCTTTCAAAGAAAATTCTCAGGTAACAAGGACTTACCTTCCTTCATCTCAGTGTTGCCATGGAAAGAGGATGTTCTTAGAGGTTAATATTTTTGAACCAAGCATTTTCGTCTCATAGGTTTAGGGTTTTTTTTTTTTATTCTGATGTTTAAATGATAAGGCTGTAGCTAAAAAGAAAACTAAATCAATCTGGGGGGAAAAGAAATAAAAATAAATAGGGCACAGGAACTATGCGGTTCAGGTTTCGATTCTATATGAATTATTTTAGATGCTCTTTTTTTTTATTCATTCAGAATAAACCTGCAAGAAAAATATGCAGGCACTGAAGGAATGCCTATATATGCCTTTATGCACACGTTTTTATAACCAAAATTTTACACTAAAAAAGAATGTAAGCAGACAGCCCATTTAAGGAGGGGTCAGTGTGGATGACTGCAGTCAGATGTTAGGTAACTCGTATCCCAAATTAGCCTTTCTTCAGACTGCCTTAGCTATGTGAGTTAGACTTACATTGAGTCAAAGTTCATAAGATCTGTAAAGCTTTCAGTTCAAAGAAAATTTGCTTTAGCCTCCCCTCAACTGTGTAGACGTCCTACATTGTTGCCTCTATTTTGCCTCTTAAAGAGTTGCTTTCTCAGCACCTCTGTGTCTGTTTGTGGGATGGGAAGGAGCAGAGCTGGTGTAATTTATTTGGACAGTTGTGTAGCATTTGACTGCAATTGTATATCCTTTTTGTGTGCTTGATCTGTGTGTTGTGCATTACAGTTCTGCTCAGTGCAGTGGGACAGCTGATAGAATTGTGCATATCTTCCCAGAACTTAAAGATCCAGATGAAGGACTTTGAAGCAACTGCTGAGCCTCTACAGGAGTGGTTGACCACAACTGAGAAGATGGTACAAGGAAGTAGCAGTCGGCTCCATGATCTTCCTTCCAAGAGGAGAGAACAGCAAAAGTTGCAGGTGACTTCTACAAGCCTTTTTAACACAGCCAGAGTTTCCTCTCCCATCCTTCTGGCATCACTGCTTCCTTACAAAAGCTTGATCATTCTAGCATCCTGACCTCTAAATAAAATGAGAACTGGTTTCAAGGATTGCTGTTGATGATCCTGTTCCATCAAGTTTTGCATCTCTGCATTTCTTATGACATGGTGCTTTGTTGGTGTAGCTGTATGGTGTGCCTTTCTCAGCAAGCTTGCCATATGTCACTTGTAGTTGTCATCGGGCCTTCATGTGTCTCCGTTTCCTGATTTCTTGCACCCACTCTTAATATTAATGTGCTTGTGCTTTACAGTCTGTCCTTGAGGAAATAAGCTGCCACGAGCATCAGCTCAACAGGCTGAAAGAGAAAGCTCAGCAGCTGGGGGAAGAGCAAGCTGACAGCAAAAGCTTTATGCGCAGAGTGTCTCAGTTGTCTTCTCAATATCTTACTCTAAGCAATCTGACAAAGGTAATGCACCCAGTGTATGTGCTGTTAAGCACTTCATTTGATGTATGTGGGGAAAAAGAAAGACTGAAATGTGAAACACTGCAGTTGTCTTCCTTGTCTGCTCTGTGGTAGGTCTGAGCTATCTTGTCTTTCACATCAGCTTTAAAGAGTGGGAAATAAGGGCCTGGATAATTTCATAGACTTGTCAACAAAATGGAATTGAGATTTCTTTTTTTTTTTTTTTAAATGTGTTTTGATTAAAAAGTAAACCCTACCTGAATATACAGTAATCAGGTTTGATTTTGATTATTTCAAGCGTTGAAGACATTTTAGGTTTGGAATAAGTGGCACTTCAGAGAACTATTTTTTTTTAAACTTAGGGGAGTTTTTTTGGTTGTTTTTTTGTTTGTTTGCTTTGTTTTTCAGAAAATACAGAATATAGAGAAGTTATTACTTCATTGCATAGGCCAGACTCTGAAGCACCAGGCTAGGAACTGAGAGTTTAACTTAATTGAGTTTAGCTGAGTGATGCTTAACGCTCTTCATCATTTAATAGTTCTACCATCTCTATTGTGCAAACAGATAAGAAGGTCTTCATGTTAGGACTGTTAATTTTTCACAAAGTTCCAGTCATGAAGGGGGCTTGATATTGTATTAAGCTTATGTTTACTACAGTAGCGAGAATAATTAAGGATATAGAATGAGCCAACAATGTGCTCTCTCAGCCCAGAAAGCCAACCATGTCCTGGACTGCACTGTGAGAATCGTAGAATCATAGAATGGTTTGGGTTTGAAGGGATCTTTAAGATCACCTAGTTCCAACCCCCTTGCCATGGGCAGGGACGTCTTCCACTAGACCAGGTTGCTCAAAGCCCCATCCAGCCTGGCCTGGAACACTGCCAGGGAGGGGGCAGCCACAGCTTCTCTGGGCAACCTGTTCCAGTGCCTCATCACCCTCACAGGAAAGAATTTCATCCTTACATCTAATTTAAATCTACTCTCGTTCAGTTTAAAACTGTTAGGCCTTGTCCTATCACTACACTCCCTGATAGAGTCCCTCCCCATCTTTCCTGTAGCCCCCTTTAAGTACTGGAAGGCCACTATAAGGTCTCCCCAGCACCTTCTCTTCTCCAGGCTGAACAACCCCAACTCTCTCAGCCATAGGGGAGATGCTTCAGGCACCTGATCATCTTTGTGGCCTCCTCTGGACTTGCTCCAACAGGTCCATGTCCTTATGTTGTGGTCCCCAGAGCGGGACACAGATGGGATCTCACAAGAGCAGAGTAGAGGGGGGGAATCGCCTCCCTTGACCTGTTAGCCACACTTCTCTTGATGCAGCCAGGATACGGTGGGCTGGAAGTGGAGTACTGTGCTAGTACCTAGAGTACTGCTTCTTCTGTGGAAATAAAAATTATAAAGCATATCTAGAGCTCTGTGACTTACCAAAAATTATTGCATACGTGGCCATAATAAATTTTCATGACTGCAAAATGAGAAAGATTCATGAGTCATTAATATTGGTTTATGTGGACAGAACTTGTAGGACATGTCAGGATGAGAAGGAGGAGTCTGAGGCAGAGGATCTATATGATCCAGCCTATGACAGAAATCCTGAAGTTCTTTGGACAGCCATGGATGCTTGAGAATGATCACTCTCAGTTACTTCCTAAGTGTGTTATACTGGCTTGGCTTCAGTTCTCTGTCACCATGTGAAATATACTCTGCTCTGCATCCCTGTTCACCTCAGGCCTTTTAGCAATGTAACTTGAGCATTTATTGTTGATGCGTGTGAGTTTCAGGGGTTTTTCAGAAGAGTGGTTGTACCAGTGAGAGTCATTGAGGAAAACAGGTCTTTCTTTTCCAAATGTCAACAAAGTAATGTTGCTACAGTGACATAGCTTCACAGCTTAAATCTGTCCTGTGCATTGACCGATTTTACAAGTTATCTTTAGCTGCAACACTGAAATGGAGTTTAGGTGTGATTTACCAGATGATTAAGAAAAAGTGAAACCAGAAAACTCTCATCTACTTTGGATGAGTGAAGACAAGTAGGTGAATCTTTACATTTAGAAAACAAAAAAAGGCATTTCTGAAATTTTAATTTGTATATTAGGCTCAGACAACTTGTTTGTGTGTGTGTATGCAAAATTCATTCTGTGTTCAAGTAAGTGTACTTATAATTATGAATGTATAAAGAGAATTTCTTAGTCTACTTTATGAAACTCATTCTAAAGTCCGTAAGTGTGTATGGGGAATAAATGATCCTTTGAATAGGTGCTAGTGCTAATTGCTGTATGAATTGCAGGAGAAAGTTTCCAGAATGGATAGGGTTGTAGCAGAGCACCAGCAGTTCTCACACAGTGTCAAGGACCTCCAGGACTGGGTGGCTGATGCAGTTCACATGCTGGATTCCTACTGTCATCCCACTGCAGACAAGAGTGTTCTGGACAGCCGGATGTTAAAACTAGAGGTATGGAAACAACAGACTCCAAAACCTGCTCTTTTTAGATCTGGAAGAGGAATACAAATATAGGATTCTTTATGTTAGTTGTTGCATATTAGTGTAACCACTGTCATTCAGACACAGATTTTCAATTTACTCAAATATAGTTATTTACAGAGGAAAGGGTTCATTATTACAAATTTTCTCTAAGGAGGATATAGGCACCATTATGATACAGAAAACTGCATTTATGCAAATTCTTAAGAAACTCAAAAGATATGTGTCTGCTGAAGGTTAAATGGAAGAAATAGGATATTTACTTATTTTATTTTAATATATTATTTCCTAGATCTTACAGGTGATGTGGATGATTCAGATCAGCTTTTCTGTAATTGTTTGCTTTAAAAATGGTGACTATAGTTAAGAAAATAGCTACTATTCATATCACTGCACAAGAGACGTTGAGGAGCAGTACTCAGAAAACAATACTTTTTATATGATTGATATCTCAGGTTTTGAGCCATGGTCAAAATATGGATAAGTCCTCAAAATTGTAAGGATACATCAAAAAACAAGAGCTTGTAGAAAAATACTAAAAATATGTTTTGCCTTTTATTTGTTGAGTCTTTCAAGTTCATACTTTCAGGCTTTTCATGACTTTGCATAGCATTAGAAGCTGTTAATTTGCAACCGTGCAGCTCCAGGAGCTGAAATCTCTAAGCTGATGTGGCTGATAGTCTACTGAGTTTATACATTGGTACCTTTGGATTGCAAATAGATCCTAGAGTTGTAGAAATGTATTTCAGCCCTGTAGAAGAGCTTTGTTGTGACATCCTGTTTTCTGTATGAATGAACCCTCCTGTTTTCCATCAAAATGACATTCCCTTTGAATGTCAGCTTTTCCACCCAACAGTACCTTCTCAAATACGCTGCAAGTACCTGCATAGATTCCATGAAAACTTCTGTGTCAACTAAGATTTTTTTTTTTTTTTTTTAATGGCCTAAACCTACCTTTTGAAAGTCACTTTTTCCTTGTGAGGCCTGACTGTGAACCTCACTGTCCCTCTTCCAGTTGACTGTTTATTCAAGGTGCTACATTTTATCAGCTCATTTTCCAGTAAATCCAGTTAGTATATTCATCCCCAGGTAATGAGAAAATACTATCTGCTCACTTTTTAGGGACTGCTAGCAGTGAAACAAGAAAAAGAAATCCAAATGAAAATGGTTCTGTCCAGAGGAGAGTCTGTTTTGCAAAATACATCTCTGGAGGGAGTACCAGTGATTGAAAGGCAGTTGCAAACCCTGAAGGACAGCTGGGCTTCTCTTCTGTCTGCTTGTATCCAGTGCAAGAGGTAAAAAGGGTATGAGGTGCAGAATGATGCTTTGTAATAAAATACTGTCAACATTTTTGAAAAGTTAACTCCCAGAACGTTATTATTAGAGGAGTCAAATTCATATAAAATGACTGCATGTCACTAACATTGCAGGTCTAGAGGCCTTAAGTGACATGTTTATTTGAAGCAGAAAAAGGGCAGGACACTGTGAGGAATCTAAACTTTGCTAGCACTTACTGTCAGTATATTCTTAAAAGTAGATTCCATGTTCATAATCTTGTAAATTTTACTTTGAGTTGCACTTGATACCTTGAATCATTCTTAGAAATTAGAAGATCTTGTCATGGACATTAGTGGTAGCTCTGTCAAGATTCTGTCTGGTTTTTCACTTGCTAGCATTTCACAGAAGGTATTGTAATTACGGTGTCCAGTAGTGATGGTCAGAGTGATAGAATAAAGAAAGACAGGGGGGAAAATGCAGCTTTCTTTGGTGGAGCATCACTAGTTGCAAATATTTCAATTTAAAACAACAACGGTAATTAAATATTAGAATGCAGCAATTTTTGAATGTATGCAAAGAATAAAAAGTTTTTTATCCTGTATCTTATGCTTTCAGTTGTGTTTTATTTACTAAAACTAGAACACATCAACTAGCTACATAACTTACAGACCTCCTTAATATTCCAAGTTTGGAAAACTTAATTTCTCTTCATCAGCCAAACAGCACTCCTAGTTAAAACCTGTAGGGTTTTAACAACTCTGTCTCAGTCTGCTTAGGTTGTGATATATCTTTCTTATAAACATAGTCTAGAATAACTGTATATGACTATATCTCACTGCTTAAATAGCTTGAGAACCTCCACTATCACAACAAATATGTATTTTTAAATTACAGTCAACTGGAAGGAGCTCTCTCCAAATGGACAAGTTACCAGGATGATGTTCGTCAGTTTTCCAGCTGGATGGATAAAGTAGAAGCCAGTATGAATGCTTCTGAAAGGCAATATGCTGAACTGAGGGAAAAAACAGCTGCCCTCAGCAAAGCAAAGGTGTGTTTGCTTTACAACAAGCCAGCAACAAGCCTGTATCACCTTATAAGCAACAACAAAGGCTTAATAACTACAAGATTAGTCTGTGGTCTTGTTTTAATGCTGCCCATTCATAAATGTGTTCTTCTCTTTCTGTTTTGCAGCTACTCAGTGAAGAGGTGTTGAGTCACAGCAGCCTATTGGAGACAATTGAAGTGAAAGGAAGTGGGATGGCTGAGCATTATGTCACTCAGCTTGAACTCCAGGACCTTCAGGAGCGGTATAGGTTCCTCAAAGACAGAACAAAGGTACAATTTTTCTTGATAGCTTTCCCTCTTGTTTTGTTGAGAACGAGGAAAAAGAGAAAATCTTTTCACTGATCATTTATTTTACAGTTAAATGAGGAGTAACAGTTTGGGGATAGTTGTAACTTAATGTAACAGAAAGAGTGATTTATCAGCCTGTCTTCCTGCACCACTGAGCTTCAGACCTTTTCAGAAAAGTTGTAAAATCATCAGGTGAATAGTCTGGGGAATTCTATGTCAAAGTCTCATTGAATTCAGCATGAATATGATTTTACCTATTGTGACTGAAAAATTGGAAGCATCTCTGAATCTGTGATTTGAATAAATGTATGTTTTGCAATAAGAGCAACCAGTCAATCAGATAATTCACAAATGGTTGACAACTACAGAAGCTAACTATTGAACACAAACCTTATTAGCAAGTAAACTGACTCTAATGTCAAAAGACCCAGCATGATAAGTACTACATTTACTGATAAATGTTAATATCATAGATCCGGAAAAGATTAGGGCATGGACAGATAAAGATCAAGATGTGTTTTACTCTAAGATACAAGATAAAGAAGAAATAATAAAAGACCTGGTGATACATTTAAAGCTAAGTAATTATCTCCAGTTAACCAAAATTCTTTTGTGGTAAATAAATAATGCCTAATGTACTCAGACAGGCAACTTTTCTTCATGACAGCAGTGTAGTAAAGTTGAAATTTGTTGTCTCAGAGATGTCTTTGTCCTGTGGAAAAGGACAAAATTCAGTTTTTGAAAAGCCTGTGATTCACTGTTTTGTGGAACTCTCACAACTGCAAAGAATGCAATGCACTGTCTTTCTTAGGACCTTCTGTGGCTAAACTTACTCAGGTTTACTGGAGAGATGAGTAAGTCCTGGGAAGTGCTCGTGAATATCTAAATATTCCTGTTAGCATGGGGATATTCTAATCTTTACCTTTTTCACAAAGCTATATAGACAGTATTTGCTCAGCTTGAGCAACATTGTGGAAATAACGAGAGATGGATAGTAGTTCAGAGGCAAGAGCTCTACCTCTTTCCTCATGTATCAAGAAGCATCCTTTCTTTCTCTTCCCACCTAATACCCCAGATTACTTTTGTCTTTTCCACTCCTAACTGTGGTGGTGATGTTAAGTGTCAAGAGTACATTCAGTCCTTAGAAAGAAATTAGAAGTTCAAAGCAAATAGATGGAAATTAAGGAATGGTTAAATCCTTTAATAAGCATATGGCCAGGTGGGAAACCTGACAATCTTCCACAAGGGTTTGTGGCCCAGGCCTGAGCAGACCAAGACTTGTAATTCCCTGCAGCCACTGTCAAGTGTGTCTCTCTTTTCCTCTTTTCACTACTGGATTTGGACAGGCCTTGTAAAAAATTGATAATAGTCCTCTTTTCTTCCTTCCTTCACTATCCAGACTTGTTAGAAATAGGTAAAGCAGACAGTAGGTTCATGGCTGCTGTTTATGGAAGTGTTTTTCTTCTTATGTAGCCTCCTGCCCAGGGATGCAGCCTGTCTTGCCTCCATCCGAACTACCCCATTCCCATCATTTCTTAGAGGATGTGAATTACATTTGTATACTTTTTTTGCACTTAGGAAGATGAGTCTTGTGCTAATGTATGATGCAGTTCCTGCTCTACCCCAGATATGATAATATTTTAGTGCTGTGTTGTGAAATTATTGTAACTTGCTCACCCACATACACGGAAGACTTGCAGTCTGTTTCTCACTGTGCTGTGTAGGAACTTCCCACAAAGGACCTGGGTAGTCAAACCTTAAGAAATTAGAAACTCTTTATAGAAGATTATTATTCCATTGGGAAAAAAAAATAATGTGAAGAAAAAATATGTGGTTTATTAATCACTTCAGTAAAGTTAATTTAAATTGGTATAAAAATTAAGAAGGCCTTTTGTTATTAGACACTAAGGTGTTATTTAAAAGTGATCCCAGATCAAAAATTCACTTCCCAGAGGTCACAAACTTATGTGAAAAATCTTTTAGGATAAGTATCAGTATCCCCACATTGTCCTCTCTTTCTCCATAGTTGATTAAACCATCCTCAGAATCTAAGTACTCTTGAATTCTAGGAAAGCTTAGCATTGGATGAAAGCTTTTCCCCTTGATTGAAGTTTGTATTTTATGTTTTCTTGGTTTGATGATACACTAAGATATATATATATACATATATATAATTATTTTAACAAACAGGAGGCAGTAACAAAAGCTGAAGAACTGCTTAACTTACATCAAGAGTACCAAAGAAATCTGAAGGCCTTTGAAGTATGGCTGGAGAAGGAACAGGAAAAACTTGACTGTTTATCACATCTTGATGGTGATGCCCAGAAACAGGAGGCAATGCTCCGAGACTTACAGGTACATAATATATGACATCCTAAGAGAGGGGGAAAAAAAAAAAAAAAAAAGAGAAAAAAAAAAAGAGTCCTGCTTGCAAAATAACAGAGTAATGTTAATTATCAGACAAAAATTACACCTCTCTTTTTTGTTTTGAGAAGAGCTTGGAATCACATTATATAAAAGTACTTTGCTGCTCAAAAGTGGTTCCAGTAAAGACAGTGGAAACATTGTTACTCATTTTCAGAAAGAAGTGTCAGGCTTTGAATGAAATTTCCAGGCATACTAATGCTTTCTTACAAGTACTGAAAATCAAAAGTATTCTTTTCACCGGGTTTTCATCTTTTATTGTTTACAGTGCAGATGCATCTACTTTGAGGCATTTCCAGTCATGGACAGTGACAGTGAAGGGTGAACCTATAGTACTTTAGTAATTTCCCAGTTATGATCTTAAGCTGACTTTAAAAACTTTAATACCTGTTGAATTAGCAAAAGGTCTATACCTGAGTTATGAAGTATTTATTACTTTATTCAGGGTGCTGAGAATGTCTTTGTATGATCAGGGCCTCTGCATATATGTCTTGTTATTATAGTTTACTTCACAAAATCCCAATCCATTTTGAAAATCTGTATATCTCAAATATGAACTGAGATGACACAAAACTGTATTTTGTTACGGTAATTTCCCGGTTAAGTTTTCTAGTCAAATTGAATTCCTTCATACTTTCTAATCAAGTTCTAATAAGCATGAAAATGCCACACATGTCCAGAAGAGGGTATCAAGAGTTACCTTGGAATGATGTCTCAAACCTATGTAAAAATAAACAGGTTTGTTTATTTTAAAAGATTGAAGCCTCACCATGTTCCCTGGTTTTCAACAGATTCCATTTTAGAATCAGTCTTACAGTCTGCTTGCCACAGCTGGAGAGGTTTGAATTTAAGGCTGTGCTGAATGGATTGCATCCATCCCATGCCAACTCAGGCAGCAAGTGTTTCAGAACTGATGATAAATTTACAAGAAGGGGAAATAATTTAATGCATGCTTTGTTGATAATTTTCTCCAATTTGCTTGTCAATAATAGTGATATTCAGTTTGCTTTGTAAATGAGCATGCCATCATAGGTGTTTTTAGAGATAGTGTAATATGCATTGAACCACAGATAACTAAAGGGAATATCTAGATAACATGAGGTAACTGCTTTTGTCTTAATTAGAACGAGGGTTTTGTTTGTCATGTGCGGATGGAAGTTGTTCATGTAAGGTATGATCCATAATTGCCTTTACAGGAGCTACAGGTCCACTGTGTGGAAGGACAAGCATTATTGAATGCTGCTGTCCATGCCAGAGAGGAGGTGATTCCCTGGGGCATTCCACAGATAGAAGACAGAGCCCTGGAATCCTTACGGCAGGATTGGCAAGTTTATCAGCACAGGCTTTCTGAGGCAAGAAGCCAATTAAACGCCACTGTGAGCAGACTGAGATTAATGGAGAAAAAATTTCAGAAGGTTAATGACTGGCTAACAGACCTGGAGGAGAAAGTTGCTATCAGAACTGGGAGGCAGTCTGGTAGAGCAACAAAGGAGATGCAACTTCAACAAATGAAGGTAAAGAATATAGTTAGGACATTCCTTAAACAAAAATACCATGTGAGGTTTTCACATCAGTTCCTGGTTGCACTGTGAAAATGACAGGAAGCATTGCAATTTATTCTGAGGTGGTGCCTAGAATGATGGATCCAAGAAAGCTTTGTGCCTTCTGGTCCAGGTTCCTCCTGTTTTATTGGTAGGGGCATGGCTATACCAATGTTGAACTCTCACAGAGACATCTGGAATTTGTATGTCTGTCGCATGTGAAGGCATAACTGAGGACAAAGGTTGGTCCTAGAGTGGGAAAGTGTTTATGTGGTAACAGGAGTAAAATGTGTTATGAAGCCTCTGCTGTGTTGATGTAATAATTCTCCTTTAGTCACTCCAAGGTGAAGACATAGTTCTGAATAAATACAGGAAGCAGATTTGAAAAGGTTCAAGGTTATACTTTACAGTCCCCTTTAAAACTTTGGGCAAATTCTATAGGAAGTCCAGGTTACATTTCTATTATTTGGGAGGGAAAAAAAAAAAATCTACCATAATGAAATGCAGTCCATTTGGCATGATAAAACTCCCAGCATATTCATTATGTTAACCTTCATCAGATTCTGTTTTATTTTCCTGTTTTAAATCCATGTTTACAACCATCTATTTGTTTTCCTTTCCAATGATTTTCTGACTTAGTAACAAATAAAATCCTGTTGTGTTTAAGATGTTTGAATCAGTCATATAAGCTGGATAATGTCTTTGTCATAGAAGTGGCATGAAGAAATCACAATCTACAAAGATGATGTGGAGGAAGTTGGGGTATTGGCTCAGCAAATACTAGAGGAATGTCTCACTGCAAGTAGAATGGGAAGCCAGGCTACACAACTAACTTCTCGCTACCAAACTCTTCTTCTTCATGTCTTGGTAAGTAATGAAAAGCAATTCATTGTAACATCATAAATTATCAGTTAAGAAGCAAATATGAACAGACTTTATAGGAGTTTATTCATTACCGTAGACTCAATAATATAATATTCACATATGTTCATATATATACACACACATATGCATGTAGATTTCATTGGACTAAATGTATGAGAGAATGATAATCAGGATAATGCCCTTTCAAAAACATTTAGTATTAACCAGATGTTGTTACTGTCGTTTTTGGCAGTTGCAAGAGAGAAATTCAGAATTCAGTATGTTTGAATACTAAATGACTTCTAGAGAAATGTTTTTAGGTTATCATTGAAAACCTAGGTATGGGAAAAATTTGAAGTGATAAGGTACAGTCTTCAAGTCACTTCAACTGTCTCATAGTACTATAATAAAGTCACAATTCAAATTTAAAAATATAAGTATTAATTGAGTTTTAACATTAGTGATTGCTATATGTACATCTTGACAGGACCCCAGTGAGAATTATCCACTAGATATGAAAAAGCTCAGAACCCATGTGTTTAATCTTATTATACCAGGTTTTATTAATAAATAGCAATTTATTGCTACCTTTAGCCAATAACAGTGATAAACATCTGAGTGGTTCATGTTTCTTCCCCTTAACCTCCATATTTGTTTGAAGGAGCAAATAAAGTTTCTGGAAGAAGAAATACGCTGTATGGATGAGTCAGAACTGGCTTTTAGTGCCTACACAAATTGGTATGGAGCTACTAACAAGAACTTCAGAAACGTGATCACCAAGTTTGATGTGGTTGATAAAACAGCAATGGAGAAAAAAGTGCAGAAACTAGAGGTATCACTTTCTTGAATGCAATCTCTTTTTTTCTGTTCACCAAGAGGCGGCTATATTTTAACATGCATTTTAACGGCTGCTCAAAATTCTGACTTCACCTTTCCCAGGGAAGCGAAAAGGATAAAGACCACACAGTATAAAACTTTCTTTTGTCATGTCATATATACATTAGATCAGTTTGGTTGTTGAGATTATGAATAGTCCTAAATAATATAATCCTATCCTTTTATAAGGCATTTTTATATGTGTTTTGTTTTAGGTTAAAACTTAAATTCTCACAAGGCATCCTCTCATGCATATTTTATACAGTATATATACTGTGGCAAGAAGTGCTTCCTATTTCACCTCATTGAAGTAACTCAGTAGTAAATCTCATGTTTTATCTCAGAGTTTTAGATAAGTTTTTCATACTTCCTGCAGTTTAAACGTAATATGCTAAGGGAAAACTTTCATCTATTCCAGAATTTGAGGGAAAAATTTAATCTGTTCTGGAATTTGGAGTACAAACCCTCTCCCAGTAGCCTTCAGTTTCTGTTTTTATCTTCACAAACCCAGTGCAGAACAGAAGTATTTTCTCTTTCTGTTTCGTTCTAGATTACCACACCTTAACTCCAGACAATTTTCTAATGAAAGGTCCATTCAATTTCCCTAGCAATTCCTTCTGTGTCCTTAGCAAAATTAAAAAAAATAAATTTGTTGGCCTCTCACTTGTAATAGAACTACAATAAATAAAAACCAAAAAAGGCAAGAGCCTGAATACATTTTTTTAACAAACACTTCATTCACAGCTGTTATTGAGCGATATGGACATAGGCCACAGTTTACTGAAATCTGCCCGTGAGAAGGGGGAGCGTGCTATAAAGTACATGGAAGAAAATGAAGTTGACCAGTTAAGAAAAGAAATTGGAGATCACGTGGAACAGCTTGAAGAGCTGGCTGGTTCCATCAGGAAAGAGCACATGACTTCAGAGAAATGCCTTCAGCTGGCAAAGGAGTTCTCAGACAAATACAAGGCACAGACTCAGTGGGTCATGGAGTACCAAGCCATGTTACATGCTCCAGCGGAACCAAAGAGTGAGCTCTATGAGAAGAAGGCCCAGTTGTCCAAATACAAGGTAAGAAGAGGTTATATCTTTGTACTATCAATTGATTTTGATTTAGTGGTTCACAATAAATCCTCTGATCCAGGTGTTTGTTCAAGTTTCCTCAATAGATGTATGAGATGTCTCTAATCTGGATGTCTAAACTGGCATAAAAGTGAAAGCGTGCATGATACCTGCATCTACAAACCAGAGAGAGCCCCTGGATTTGAAATGTGAATGTCCTAATAAGGCTCCCACATCTGAGCATTTCCTGTTACGAAGAAATATTCTTTTATAAGTACACATATGAGTAATTCCATTGATATCGACAGAGTTAACTGCTGTTTAAGCAAGGATAGAAATCAATTGCTCTTCACTGCAGACATTGCCTCTGTTTACATTGGCTTAATCAGCTTTCTGGTTAAAGCTGGATGTCCCAGCTCAACTGACATCTAAGACAGTCAGCTGTTATGGCCTCCTCTAGTTTCAGTTTTAATGAAGTGGTTGGGTTTTTTTCCAGTTGTAAAAATGAGCAGAAAAAAATGACAACAAACCCCATTGCCTCTCAATGATGTTTTTGTAACATACTCCATGATTACAGATGTTTCATAAGATGTATACTTGGTCTGGCTGGGATGGAGCTAACTCTCCTCATAGCAGCCCATGTAATGCTGTGCTTTACATTTGTGGCTAAAACAATGTTGATAACAAAGCAATGTTTTGGCTATTGCTAGGCAATACCTGCACAGCATCAAGACTTTCTTTGTGAAACTGCCCACTGTGCCTTTCTGACTTACTGACCCAAAGTCATATGTCAGTAGATGTGTACTTGCTTTCTACATGTTTGGGGAGCTGGTATCTCACTGTCATTTGATAGATGCTGGCATGTACCATGCTGTCGGGTCTGATCAGATTGCACACTCTTGAGAATAGAGTGTTATGCACTTGCCTGCATACTGTCTTATTAAGGGGATGGCTTTGGTGATACTTTCCTACCTATTTGCAGAATTTGTTCCTCTGAGCAAGTTTTATCCCTAGCACTTCCCCATTCACACATATTAACTCCCTTTCCTTCACCAGCTGCAGATGATTTTCCATGCTACTAGCCACTCACAAAAGGAGAAATTGTATTCAGATGTCTGCAAAGTTGTTGTCTCAGGGCATGGCTGAGAAACATAGTCCTGTACTGGTAGCAAAGCTCTTCTTATCTGGAAAGGATGATAAATATATATACCGTGATAGAAGGCTGTGTTTCAGATCAAAGAGAAGTTGATGAAGTAGATTTTCAGTGTTCAATAGACATGTTTTAATTCTTGCTTGCATTGTAGTCTATACAGCAGACTGTTCTGTCCCATGAGCCTTCAATAAAATCAGTAATTGAAAAGGGAGAAGCACTTTTTGATCTGGTGAATGATATGAATCTAAAGAACAACATTCAAGACCTTCAGAGCACTTACCAGGAACTCTGCAGCACCACAAAGGTAAAAAGTCAGGAAGAAAACTCTAGGTTCTCTCAATTTGCTATAATTTTTTCCCCTTTCAGAAGTTGACTACTTGTTTCATGCTGTCATGTCATACCCTGTACCCAGAGCAGTTAGCCTTAATTACTGGATTTTTTTTTTTGAGGGCCAGAGTGAAATTCTTGAAAATGGAAAGAACTTGTACCTAAATAAATCAAACAAGAGTAGCTGAAATGAATTTTGAGTGTGGCAGCTGGAGTCTTCACAGCACTAAGGAAAAACATACCAGTGACTAGTTTGCACTATTGCTTTGAATAGATTTCTAAGCACATTATTTCTTGAAGGTACAGATGTCCTAAATTATACCATTTTGTCTCTTGTTTCTGCTAGATTTCACACAAATTCTGTTTAGTTGTTGAATGGAAGTCATTGAAGGAAGTTAACTGCAAGATGGATATAATTTAATTAAGCAAGGGCATCATTAATTAACATTGATTCATTAGTCCACATGTATGTAGTACTTTGAAAGATATAATACTTCTAAACAAGTCCTAAAGTATTAATACTCCTAAAGCTTTTAATAGGTTATAGTCCTAGTGAGGATAATCTCTGCAAATGGTATTAGTACTTATGTTTGACCTAAATAACTTTAGTTGCCAGTGCATCCACCAATGGCAGATGATTTTATTTTTTTCACAGTTGATTTTGGATTTATAGACATCTGCATCCCAAAACTGATATCTGTTGCATTAGATGTAATGTTGATGACTTAGAGAAGCTTATGAAAAATATTCTTAAAAAGAATAAATACATTTTAACTCCATGTGCACATGACTTTGCCTACCACAATCACAGGCAATATGTATGTACAAAGGCTGTAAGCAGCAGGGACCCAACCATAATAACATCTGGTAGGGCATGTGCAGTCTCTCAAAGAATGTGTAAAACTTGTTTCTAAGTGAACTTCATGTCAAGTTGACAGTGTTCCTTTTCTTAAATTAAGGAGATCTCAGTGTTTTTCTTGGTCTTCAAAGTATGGTATTTCTTCTGGAGGGAAAATACTGCTCAGTACCACAGTTTAATCCCTTTGATGTCTTCCTTAACAGTCTAATCATGTCAGAGTCACTCACAGGAACATAAATTTAGAAGATGATAACTTTCTTACTCTGCTTTCAAGCTCCTGATGGGTTTTGTTTTGGTTTTGGTTTTTAATTCTTGTAATTACCTGAATATTTAATTTTGGTTATTGTGGACCTGCAGGCATACGTTGAAACCTTAGAAGTGAGAGTAAAAGAGCATGAGGATTACAATAGTGATTTGCAAGAAGGGGAGAAATGGTTACTACATATGTCTAGCAGGCTGGTAAGCCCTGACCTCATGGAGAGTAACAGTCTTGAAATAATCACTCAGCAACTAGCTAACCACAAGGTGAGTTTGCTATTGGGTAAACTTCCTTTTTCCAGTAAAATAGAATTTTTCTTCTTTTGTTTCTCTGTCTCTACTCCAGAGAATTCTAGTTATTTGTCATTCACCTGTTTTATTCCTCTTACTGTTAACTGTGTAAATAAGTGTCCGTGTCATTGCTGCAGTTAACAAATCTGCTTTGTTTTTAGCACTGTTTCTTGTATGAGACTGCATCTGCACAAAGAGGTTGTTGTATACTGGTCTGAATTTTGTGTCAGATCTTCACTGAGATGTCCCAGGAAATAGACCACAAAAAGCAGATTAGGGTCATTTTACTCCTAAGGCACTTTTTAGGATAAAAGAATATTTTAAATTTTAAAATTTTAAAATTTTAAAATATCATCGCTAGACACAAAATTTGTTGGTGGAGCCCTGTAGATCATGCAACAAAGGAAGATAAGGGTAATCTTGGGGCATGAGCTTATAATGTTTACACACTATGACAGTGTTATTGATGTTTCTGTGGGATATCTATGTACAGATTTTTGACAAAGACTTTTCAATGAGTATACACTCTAATAGTTTGACTAACAATAGATGTTGTCTGAAAACCTTTTTTCCAAATCTGAAGACAAAGAGTGTTTAAGGAGAAAAAGCTATAAAGCTGTGATGCAGAACATGTTTTAAGTTTAAAATATTTCTTCTAAAATATTTTATCTATTTCTTAGGCTATTATGGAAGAAATTGCAGGATTTGAAGATCGTTTGAACAGCCTTAAGAGTAAAGGCGATTACTTGATCAATCAATGCACAGAACATCTTCAAGCAAAATTTAAGCAAAACATACAAAGCCATCTCCAGGGGACAAAGGACAGCTATTCTGCCATATGTAGCACAGCCCAAAGAGTAAGTCTTGTTTCAGAAATGGTTTTAAGCCATTTAGGAATAACACCCATTATTTCTAGAAGGACTTGTTTCTTTCCATGGTATAAAACTCCTTCTACTGTTTCCATTTAAATTGAGCCTACAGGTTACTAATATAGCACTTCATCATTAGTGTACTACAGTTGAATCCCTTGTGATCCAAATGTTGCCTTGCACATGCTACACTAGCTTCTGAGCAGCTGCATCAAAGAAATTAGAACTATTCCTACTTCAAAAACTAGGGATCAGTTTGGACTTTTAGGGTCATTATTTTGCATACATACATAACTGGTCTTAATTATGTGCTAGGAAATCCTGTCTCTCTTAGTAAAACCAGAATATATAGTTAGGAAGGGATAGCTGGGTCATTCTGTTAATCCAATTAGGAGATCAAGCCAACATAGTCAAAAAAACCCCAAACCCCGAAAAACTCCAAACAAAGCAAACCCTCAGGAAGTAGCCTTCATGGTCAGTAAGATTTGTAGAGGTAGGTAAAACCTCATTCTAGATCAATGGCAAAATGTTGAACAACAATACAGAAATAAGAGAAAGTGCTCTTCATTTGCATCTTTATTTTTTTCTTTCCAGAAGCCATGCCTTAGATATTGTCCATCTTCTCCACAAATTAGCAAGATTTAGTGAAAGCTTAAGGAGCTTTCAGCCCTTGGTACTTTTATGTACAACAGCTAGAATAGCCACAGTCTTAATAATTTTGTTTTATCTGCAGTTTTCAAGGTGGGAGAGTCAACAGTGGTGTTCAAAAATGCTATGACCTTACAAAATGTTTGTTTTAGGTGTACCAGAGTTTGGAACACGAACTCCAGAAGCATGTTAATCATCAAGATACCCTACAACAATGTCAGACTTGGCTGTCTACAGTGCAGTCAGAGCTAAAGCCAACTACCTGGCCACCTTTCAGCCTGGCAGATGCAGTTAAACAGGTAAAATTTTGTTCAGCATTTGAAAATGCTCAGATATCCTTAATAAGGTGATTTCAGGTAAGAGCTTTATATTAATGGAAAGTAGATACTCTCTCTGACCTTCTCAGAGGGATGTGTATCCCCATTGTTTATTATCAGCTCCAAAAGGAATCCCTTGAGTGAAAAACCAACTGTAGGTGAAAAATCACACAGGGCTTTTGCTAGCTCTGCTTAATGCTTAGAAATACATTACCTGAAAAACGTTAGCTAGTTAGATAAACATGCTTAGATACTCCAGATGTGTTTAGCAGAGAGGTTCTGTCTTTCTGCTTCCAGTTGCCCATCTGTCTACTAATGTTCCTATATGAGGCCTGATTTTATAGTATCATAGACATAGGGTTTGTTACCAGGCAATTAAAAGTTTTTCAGCCTAAGAGCATAGAACTTCCTCTAATCCACATTAGCCATTAAGAATGGTTTCTTTGCTTCTTGATTATTCTTAGTAACAATGTATTTTACATTGGATTTGTACCTTGTTTTCAAATTAACATGTATGGTACTAAAAATACTGGAATTCAGGGCTGTCTCATCCACCATGTGGCTTAATAGAGACTTTGAAATACTACAGATGGGAGCTCCACAAGGGCAGGGGGAGGAGGGAGTGGCAGTGGGGCCAGCAGGGCAACACCTTCCCAATGACATGCTGAGCTCCAGCACACAGGTGAGGAGGGCAGAGTCCTGCTGGCATCAGCCACCACCTGGTGATTACCAAGTCTGTCAGGATAAGGCCGGTCCCAGGGGGAGGCAGGAGGTCAGGGTAGCAAGGCAAGGCCAGAAGGATCAGCCAAGAACATATGCACCTATAGTGCGCCTCAGGTGAGGTCCATAGGTGGATGAGGGTCGGAGCTCACATGCAGCTCTTGAGCAAGCAGGAAGACTTCTTGATGCTTTTCCATTGGCCACATCCAGCTGGGCTGAGTTGGGGCTGGCCCTGAGCAGAGACAACCAAACCCCAAGGAGAGGGGGATAGAGGTTGCAAAGCCCATTGATGCACTGAGGATCCTGACCATCCCTGTGGGTTTGGGAACTGTTCCCAGTGCTTAACTGTTCTCAGTGACAAAAATAGTTTCCCTCATATATAGGAAGAATTTCCATATTGCAACTTGTACCTTTTCCCTCTGGTCCTTTTTCTGCTCACCTCAGCAAAGAGTTTAGTTCTGTCTTCTCACTAATACTCTCACCATTTTAAGTAACGACAGACCACAATTAACCTCTCTTCTCTGGGCTGAACAAACCCTGTTCCTTCAGGCCTGCCCAAATGCCACATACTACAGCCCCAAGTCCTCCCAGCCCTTTGCTGCACTTGCACCAGTCTGTCAATATCTTGTCTTTGAGGAAAGAAGGAAACTGGGCCAAATATACAAGGGACAACCTAAGAAGTGTAAGTACAGGAGAATAATCACTTCCCACAGCTTGCTTTCTGCATTCTTGCTAATACAGTAGTTTGGGATTGCCACAAGGGCACACTGCTATTGTGTTCAACTTTTTGTCTGCAAGGACCCACCACTGGCCCTCTGTGTTAGGTGGTCACTCACTCCTTCTCCCTGGGACTCAGAGGTATGTTATTGCCCTGATTGTCAACATTGATCTCATAATTTCAAGTGTTTAAGTTACTCTTCCATAATTATGACAGAGCAACTTTACCTAATAAAATAGCATATGTCTACTTTTCATCTTTTGGAATTAACAAGCTAAAGTGAAAATACTAAAATGCATTATTGTAATCAAATAAGAGCTTATTTCCAGAGTCTCAGTTTATTTGAGGATTGTCTTCCCTCAGGTAAAACACTTCCGGGCTCTGCAGGAGCAGGCCAATACATACTTGGATCTTCTGTGCTCCATGTGTGATCTGTCAGATGCCACAGTGAAGAGTACAGCAACAGATGTTCAACAAACAAAACAAACGGTACAAGATAACCACAACAACCCACTTTTAATCCTATTTAGCGCTTTAACTGCCTTGGTCTGTCCTCTTTTTAAAAGGTCATATTAGGTAATGGTTTAAAGAAATGTCTTCTTACTTTAATCTTAAGTATATTTTTTTTTTTAGAAATAGTATTCTCTTTCTTTTTCTGCTTTTTTAAAAATTAAACCCACATATTGTCATCCTGGTAGTAATGCAAAGACATATGACAAAGGTTGCTAAAGGTAGTTAGGCAATGTTACAGGATGTTGGTCTAAAGCCACGCAAATAACATCCTGTGGAAGAAAACCTGATCCAAATCATTTATTTTCATTAAACACAATTCAGTCTATTCTCTGTATTTTATTAAAGATTAGACATATTTTACTGTTGTTATTTATTTGACAGCAGGCTGATGTTCTTATTAGGGTGTACTAATACATTACGATCATAAAAAATTATGATGGTTCAATTAATAAATCAGAATGCATCTATTTCAGCGTATGAATTTATAGAAGTGTACCTCAATTTTGAGTTTTAAAGTAGCTTAATCCTTGGTTTTAGAATAAAATTATAAACATAAGTTATTAGAAAAGAAACATTATGAGCATTTCTGTTGCTGTGAACATAAATTAGTTTCTCATAACACACATCATCAAACTTCTGACACTACTTCTACCAAGAGTAAAAATGTAATATATACAGTTATTCCACACCAGAGAAGCAAATTGTACAAAACCAAGTAATCCATAAAATAATGGCAGTCCAAATATTCAATAGCTGAAAAGCATCTCAAACATCAGAATAAGATTATCCTTTTATATATAAAGCAGTGAAACATTTCTGGGTAATTGCAGACAGTACAGCACTGAGATATATTAAGCTGGTTGAGTGTCTAAACTTAAATGCCCACTACTGCTGTATTTGGAGCAAAAGAACTCTGTGACTATGGGTTTAAGGTGATTGATGGGCTCAGATCTGGTAAGCATTTTTCTTACTGGCATTTTACCAAAGGCATATAGGTAAAATAACTGAACTAAACAAATTAAATGAAAGTGTTTAATTTAAGCTTTTATTTGGTCATTGTGAAGGCATGGAGAGTACAGTTCAGCAATATTCTTGGCATTCAATAGACTAAATTATGCAGTTAATTTTAAGATAATTTTAACAGAAAACTGAGAACACTTTGAAATACACACACTCAAAAATACACTTGTTTCTCTCAAGGGTGAATGATAATTCTTTTTTTTTTTCCACAGCTTTCCTTTGATAGGTCTGATTTTTATGACTTTTGAAGGTTGACTCCTTTTGCAGATAATCTTAGCACCTCCAGAATCTAGTGCAGAAATTTACTTTAGTACAGTACTGTGCTCAGAGGAAGGATGGTATTCATCCTCCATTCTCCAAAAATAGATACATTAAAGCATTCCTACTCCATTTCTTTTCTTCTAGATTGAGCAGCAGATAATGCACTCACAGTATTTGGCTCAAGGTTGGGAAGAGATCAAACAAATGAAGGCTGAGCTCTGGATATATTTCCAGGATGCAGATCAACAGCTACAGAATTTGAAAAGGAGACGGGCAGAGTTGGAGCTAAACATTGCCCAGAATATGGTACTCCAGGTTAAGGTAAGGATACTGCAGGTTAAGAACAGATGGTAAAGGAGTTGTTCATCCTGTGGCTGAGATTTTTATAGTTCATATTATATCCACATATTGCATACAATTGCTAATATGTTCTAAACAAGAGCAGAGAAAGCAGAGGAAAGAGTGTTTCCTTATTCATGCTACAGAGTGACACAGAATGCAGAACACTGTATCTTATTATATTTCTGGATTTGTTTTTTTAACAGTAGACAACTTTCAGCCTACTGTTCTGATCTGCCCTGGTTTTTAGTAGGCTAATTGCTGATCACCGTGGATCTGAAGATAAGATGTGCAACTTGTGCTTGCTAAGTTCTTTGATTTCAATACTACTAAATTATTTGGTTCTATTGCAAAATTAGTCTAGGAAACTATTCAGTGTTGCTGAACTCTGAAAACTATTGGAGAATAGGTATAACAGAAACTCAATTTCATTTACCCTAAATAATGAGACAAATGCCTTCAGATTTTCATTTGCTCATGCATTACAGAAGAGAGTATTTTTATGGCCACTCTTCACACATCACAAACATCAGTTAAGTAACAACAAGAAACAGAAAAACAGATTATTTCTTTATTAAACGATTAAATGCTTGGGTTTTTCATTTTTGGTCTAGGCTTTGCTGGTACTGTTTTTCTGATATGCCAGGAGTTAGGTGAAAACTAAACAGCACTTCCTCTTCATGTCTATTCAACACAAGTGTTTCAACAAAGTCATAGCCCTTGAAGATACCTCAACACATAAAGTGGACTGAAAGCTCTTACACTAGCTATCTTTAGAGTCCAGGAAGAAGCAGGAGTCTGTATTCCTCACTAACTCGGTCAAGAACTTTGTATTATTATGAAAAGCAGGCACCTGCTGTACTGTCAGATGTGGCACAATGTGTATTTTTTTCCTTGAATTTGCCCTGGTAAAGGAAGATGCCTAGCTCCATTTGAAGCAGTCACAAAGAGGAATGAAGCAGAGCTGGGCAGTAGCATATCTTATCCAGAACCCCTACCAGCGAGGTGCTGGAGCTGAGCATGTTCTTTAGTTACAGTCATTTGAACTAGAATTTAGGAAAAGATTACATTTTCACTAGACAATGTGTAAGTGCTGCAAAGTATTTAGTTAGTTTTGGTTGTCAGTATATTTTATATTCTTTTTTGGGGTCCTCTGTGACTTCTTATTTGATAAGAAACGTGTATGTAGATGGACTCTTTTATTTATAGGAATTTATTCAAACAGCAATCATACCTAGATAATAATTGGCTTTGTTTCAATAATTACAATAATTGTTGCTATTATAGAAGTAGGAACAAAATAAAGTATGGATATAGGGGCTTGCCTGACTCATGGACTCTGTTTCTTATTTTTAGTCTGTAATGAAAAAATAAAAGGAAAAAATGAGCTAGAAACATACTAGTAAAATGAATTCTCATGAGACCCAGTCTATCTTGCATGTGTTAGTGTATGGTGGGAGCTATGCTAGTCCAGAATCCTGGGCAAGGTGTGACTTGATCGTGATTTCTGTTTATCACTAGCACTTGGTAACTGCTCTGGTTTGCTTTCAAATCTGTAACCAATCTGTCCTCACCTGAGAAGATGGGGAGGAAGGTTAGGGGAGGGGAGAAGGCGCTTCTTCCAATTTACATCTGCACCGCATTTGCCTGGGCAGATAATTAGTCCTTACACAATTTATTTATTTCAGAGTTTTTATTTAAATTCCACATTATAATTTTGAGTAGCTGTCACCATACTAGTTTTGACTTGTATCTTTTTCAGGAATTCAGTCAGAAGTTGCAGTCTAAGCAGTCAGCTCTTACATCTGTGACTGAGAAGATGAACAAACTAACCCAAGGACAGGAATCACCTGAACACAAGGAAATAGGAGAACTCAGCAACCAATGGCTGGATCTCTGCCTTCAGGCACACAGTTTGCTCATACAGAGGGAGGAGGATCTGCAGAGGACAGGGGATTACCATGATCGCATGAATGTAGTTGAAGTTTTCTTGGAAAAGCTCACAAAAGAGTGGGACAACCTGGCTAGGTAAAAAAGGAGTAGCATGCATGAAGCTGACAGTGCATATACACTGACAGAGCTGTTTACAAAGTGGCTCTAAGTTGAATCCATTAAAAATCCCTTTCTCCATGCTTAATTAAAAGCAAATGTCCCTTATTAATTATAGGACAATTAGTTGTATTGAAATAGTTTGAAGATCTCCAGTGTTTGTCTTTAAGGCAAGTGCTGATTGATGCCGTCTCAGCACACAGCATTTTCTGATATTTCAATCATTTTAACTACTTAGAACTCTTTCATTTGTGTTTACTGTGTTTCATGTGTGTTTTTCATTGTGATGCTGTGTTTTACCTACTAGGTTATTATATTAAAGCTTAGTTGCTGCTGCTAAATGATTGCAGGTACTTTTTATAGCATAAACACACCAGCTGTGTGTAAAACTGAGAGTGTATTACTGCTGCTATCACTGTCATGGAACAAGTACTTGTTGTTCATATGTGCAGTATAACTGGCATGCTCTTCAGTGTTCATGTTAATTTGTGTGGTCAGTAGATGAAAGGAATAAAAATGTTAAACTTTTTAATTAGTGTTCAAGACTGGTTCCTTCAAAAGAATCTGGAAACTATATGAAGATATTTATATCATATTGATTTCAGTATGTAGTGGGCTTATAATTTATTCTGACCCCTTTTAAAGTCTGTCCTGATATAAGATCTAATAATTCATTTCTGTCCTGTCCATTCTGATAATAGATCTGATGCTGAAAGTACAAATGTGCACCTTGAAGCTTTGCAAAAATTGGCACTGGCACTAGAGGAAAGAAGATTTGCTCTGGAAGATATGAAAGATCAGAAACAGAAGATGATAGAACATCTGAATCTTGATGACAAAGAATTAATAAAGGAGCAATATGGTCACTTCGAGCAACGCTGGACTCAGTTGGAGGACCTTGTCAAAAGGAAAATTCAAGTTTCTGTTTCAACCTTAGAAGAGCTCAGTTTGGTGCATTCCAAATTTCAGGAACTAATGGAATGGGCAGAGGAGCAGCAACCTAGTATCTCAGAGGCTCTTAAACAGAGCCCTCCTCCAGATTTGGCTCAGAGTCTTCTCATGGATCATCTTACCATTTGCAGTGAGCTTGAAGCCAAACAGCTTGTTCTGAAGGTGCTTGTGAAGGATGCTGACAGGGTGATGACCAACCTAGGGCTCAATGAAAGGCAGGAGCTGCAAAAAGCACTTTCTGATGCACAGCACCATGTAGAATGTCTCAGCGATCTGGTTGGCCAGAGGAGAAAGCACCTCAATAAAGCACTGTCTGAAAAGACCCAGTTTCTCATGGCAGTCTTTCAGGCTACAAACCAAATTCACCAGCATGAGAAGAAGGTAACGCTTCCAGAACACATTTGTCTGTTGCCAGAAGATGTGACCAAACAGATCAGGACTTGTAAGAATGCCCAGGCTAACCTGAAAGCCTATCAAAATGAAATCACAGGGTTGTGGGCTCAAGGAAGGGATTTAATGAAAGAAGCAACAGAACAAGAAAAGAGTGAAGTGTTAGGTAAACTGCAAGAACTACAGAATGTGTATGACTCCGTTTTACAAAAGTGTAATCAGAGATTGTTAGAGCTGGAGAAAAATATGGTTTCTAGGAAATATTTCAAAGAAGACTTAGATAAAGCTTGCCATTGGCTAAAACAAGCTGATATTGTCACATTCCCAGAAGTCAATGTAATGAATTCTAACTCTGAACTATACAACCAGTTGGCAAAATATCAACAGATTCTTGAGCAATCTCCAGAATATGAAAATCTGTTACTTGCACTGCAAAGAGATGGCCAAGAAATCCTACCATCACTTAATGAAGTAGATCATTCTTATCTGGATGAAAAGCTTAACATTCTCCCTCAGCAATTCAGTATTGTCACTGCTCTGGCAAAAGAAAAATTATATAAGATTCAGGAAGCAATTTATGCCAGAAAAGAGTATGCCTCTTTGATTGAATTGACAATTAAAGCTCTGAATGAGCTAGAAGATCAGTCTATTAACATGGACAAAGCTCCAGCTACTGTTTCAGCCAAAGAAGCTGTGTCACTCCAGCAGGCCTACAGAGATCTCTTAGGTGAAGTGGTGAGCCTTGGTGCAGCAGTGGATGAACTAAACCAGAAGAAGGAGGCCTTTCGAAGCACTGGCCAGCCATGGGAGCCAGATGAGATGTTAAAACTTGTCACGCTGTATCACAAGTTGAAGAGGCAAATAGAACAGAAAATAAATCTGTTGGAAGACATGATAGAAGCATGCCAGGAGCATGAGAATATGTGTATGCAGTTTGAGGCACAACTAGAGGCAGTGAAGAAGGAGCAGATTAAGGTAAATGAAGAAACGCTCCCAATAGAAGAAAAGTTGAAAATCTATCATTCTTTGGTGGGCAGCTTGCAAGACTCAGGAAGTCTTCTCAAGCGAATAACCGAACATCTAGAAGCCCTTTCTCCTCAGCTTGACTCATCTGCATGTGAGACAACAGATCACCAAGTTCAGTCTTGGCAAGAAAAACTGAAGTCTTTGCATGCTGCCATTAGTGACACTGTGATGGACTGTGAGAACAGACTTGTGCAAAGCATAGACTTCCAAACAGAAATCTGCCGCTCCCTTGACTGGTTGAGATGGGTGAAAACAGAACTTAATGGAACATTAAGTTTGGACCTCAAACTTCAAAGCATCCAAGAAGAAATCCGAAAGGTTCAGATACATCAGGAAGAAGTGCAGTCAAGCCTGAGAATAATGAATGCACTGAGCAATAAAGAGAAAGAGAGATACATGAAAGCAAAGGAACTGATACCTGCTGACTTGGAAAACACTCTTGCTGAGCTGACAGAACTAGACGGTGAAGTTCAAGAAGCTATACACACGAGACAGGTTAGTCATTAGTTTCTTGCTCACAAAGCTGAAGAAGATGGCTCTCTGGCTTGATGTTTGTAATCATCATGAAAAGATTTATTTTAATAATCCTGTTGGTTTGGGTTTTTTAATGACTTAGGTTGTGGCCTGTTGATGTGGATGACTCGGGGATGCATTTATACCTGTGTGTAGAGGTGCAGACTCACTCAAAACCTTCCATGTAGTCTCTCCGGTCCTGTATTTTAGATATAATAAAGGGGAAAAAAAGCAAGCAATGGGCAAAATCCAGATTTACAGCAGAGAGTATTTTTGTTGCTGCTGTGAATTTTATGTCTGTGACCCTCTATATAATTTTCCCTTTTATTTCAGGCTACCTTGAATAAATTATATAGCCTCTGCCAAAGATACTACCAAGTGATGCAGATAGCAAATGACTGGCATGAAGATGCTCAGGAATTTCTACGTTTAGCAAGAAATGGTCTTGATGTTGAGAACTCTGAGGAAAACCTAAGGAACCACATTGAATTTTTCAGTACAGAAAGTCAGTTCGGTAATCATTTAAAGGAGTTACAGGGCCTTGTGTCAGAGATGGAGCCCTTTATCCAAGACACAGCCAGAGAGCAGCTATTGCAGAATGTAGCTGCATTGGAGGAAAAGGCCAAAGAGACAAAGCAAGAAGCCAAAGCCCAGCAAGAGCAGTTGCAAAGGTATATTAATTTTTTTTTCTTTCATTTTAATATCACCTTGTTAATGATGAAAGAAAGCAATCACAACATTAATCAGAGTTTTGTAAAATGTTTGTGATTTGATGAGAGAAGTGGATGTTGGGATTCAGAGCTCTTGGACTCTGTCACTAACTGATTAGATGTGCGATCCTGAGGAAGCAATGATAAAATTATATAGAGCTTAGAAAAGAACTGAGAAGAGTAGGGAGTGGCTGTCCCTTTTTTTTACCTGGCACAAGACCTATGCAGAAACAAATGAAATTGAAGCAGACATTTTTAATTAAAAAGAAATACCTTTTTAACCAGCATAACTATATTACTTATTATTCCTGGAAGTTCTGGATTCCAAAAGTTTGTGTGGGTTTTAAACACATAGGCAAAGTCACTGAGGAAAGGTCTATTAAATGCCCAGCTGTGTCTGTAATGTATGGTCTTTCCTGATAATCTTTCTTTTTCTTGGAAAATGCTGTACAACCACAAAATTTAGCAGTTACATTAAAAACTAGGTTCAACAATATTTATATTGCTTTTTGTTTTTTGTTTTGTTTTTTTTTTTTCTTCCCCCTTGGAACTGTATTTGTTTAAGGTGTGCTTCTGAGTGGCAGGAGTACCAGACAGCAAGACAGAAGGTTATTGAAGTGATGAATGAGGCTGAGAAAAAGTTATCTGATTTCTCAGTAGCTAAAGCTGCTTCTTCTCATGCAGCAGAAGAGAAATTGCAAACACATAAGGTAAGATACTGAAAATTATATGAAATCCTTTTTTTCAGTGAAAATAAATGTATGTTATGTAGGTTCCTACCTATGGCAACCTGAATTTGAGTTTTTAGATCTTTTCCTGTAGCACTTAAGTGTGTCATAGCACAGCAAGAAGTGCTTTGTGTTGTGCAGAACACATTTTATTTGTGGGATGACTGAAACAGATTTTTTAAATTGTTTTTCATCTTAATGTCTGTCTATGTGCCTATTACAGTAAAGAATGGGAAGGAACCAAGAAGTTTCTAAAAGCCTTAGGTGCATAGCCCCAAAATTGTGTACCCTACAGGAAACTGAGATCAGTAGAAACATTTATCTACTTTGACTCACATGGAATACTTCTACTAGGATAGGAAGGGTTGGGGTTTAATATTAACTATTATTTAGTCTAAGAAAAAGAAATGTAACTTGAATTACTTTCTCCTCTAGTATTTAGGGTGATAATCAGTTGCCTTAATATGATTAATGACACTTCAGACATCCTGTCTGGTCTCCAGCTGTGTCTCTGTAAAGGTGGGAATCTCCCCAAAGAGTAGTGTCATGTCTGCTAGCTTCCTGAAAATATCCTGATACTCAGACATCTAAAATGGCACATGACATAAATGTATGCTTGAAATGCTGGAGTTTCAACCCCAAGCCCCAAATTAAGGTTGACATATGGGTGTTTCCCACAGACCTTCACAAAGGGGGGGTGAGTTTACCTTTAGGCTTCCCTCCAGGCTGCGGCTGCCTTGCAGGGAGTAAATGAGCCCCAGGTGTCCCACATTAAGTAAACAAAGGTCAGGTGTCCCACTTGGGGATAAAAGTTGGAACCACTTGCAGGGAGGGGCAGTGTCTGTCTGTGAGGTGGATGCACTTTGTAGAGTTCCCTGTTGGGGAAGGACCTCCTGCCTTCCTGGAACTGGGCTCCAGTCAGGTCTGGCTTTTGTAAATGCAGGCTGTGTAGAGATTTGGTATGTGGCTTCGTTGGTCTTAGGTATTTGGTTTGTTGACTCAGTTGTCTCCTGTTCCTTCTATGGGAGACTGCATTTCACCATTTATTCCACCCATTGTTGGTCGTGTGGTGTCATTGTTGGTGTCAGTGGGATTGATGCTGATTATGTATAATCTGACTGATTTTTTTGTACCCCCAGCGCTCACCCATGTACTGACCCTTTTGTATCAAATACAATTGGGTTATTGCTTTATCTTTATGCTGGCTGTGTCCTTTATGCTAGGCCTGGTAATTGGCAAAACAATGCTTAAACACCTGAATTGCTTCTTTCATTTTTATACTCTAATAGAAGTCAGTCTTTGCTATGAGAAGGGTCCTGAATACTCATTTCCATCCCATTTGAGGGGCTAGCAAGGATGAGGAAATCTGATTACACCAGATAGCTGCTGCTTCCAAAGAGTTACACTTTGGACCAAGTCCTTCAAGTAGCTGTAGCTGATATATTGTTTAAAAAAAATAGTGACACCTAACCACCTCACTCAGCATCGAGTAGTACCTACCTACTTTTGTCTTCAGGGGATGGAAGTGGGTCATCTGCCTGCAGGTGTGTTGAATAGTTATGTATTGTGTTATAAAAGAGGAAAACCGTGCTTATTTTTTACTTTTCAGACTCTTGTGTCTGTAGTGAATTCTTTCCATGAGAAGATCACAGCTCTGGAAGAAAAGGCTTTACAGCTGGAGAAAGTCAGTAATGATGCCAGTAAGGCAACTATAAGTAGATCCATGACAACAGTTTGGCAGCGCTGGACACGGCTTCGCAATGTAGCCCAAGAACAAGAGAAAATTTTGGAAGATGCAGGGCAGGAATGGAAAGACTTTAATGATAAGGTAACTTCTGGTCTTGGTAAATCTTCCTTTGTTAACTGCACATATTTTTTCACTCAGTATACTGCCTTATTAATCACCTTATGGTAGTGAAAGCTTATGGCAGGAGTACAGTGATTTTCCTCAGGTCATAGAAAAAAACAGCTGTGGAAAACCTAGGTTTAGAACCACTGCCTCCAAGGTTTGAACTGTTCTTCTATATGCATACATTTACAGTAAATACAGAGTTGTTTTGGTTTCTGATGGTTCTTCAGAATCTTCTCCTCTATTTTTCCTGTCCCCAGATGGTCTATTCTAGATGAAGCCAACAATAAAGGTAATAAAAGGTAATAAAGGTAATAAAAAGATATGAGAAGTCACTCATCACTTGACAAAATAATCCGTTAAGAAGTCCTAGTCCACCATGAAGAGCTGGGGCTAGCTAGCACATTAGAGCATAGATTTATATCTGCTGTAGAGACTGCTGCACAAGCCCTGTTCCACAGCTGCTTTACAGCATCTAAATGTACAGTACTGGGTTTAACACCTTTTGGTGTCAGTTGTACTAGCTTCTTTTTAATTTTATTACTGCCAAGACTGCATATCTTTCCATAGATTCAGAAAGCCACCATAGCAATAGATCAACTACAAGGTCGCTTACCAGAAAGCTCTGTAGAAAAAGCATCCAAGGCAGAGCTCCTGGAACTCCTGGATTACCACAGCACTTTCCTTCTGGAGGTGGAGCATCAGCTGTCGTCTTTGGGCCTGCTCAAACAGCATGTTGTCAGCATGCTTCAGGATGTGGAAATAAAGCCTCTGTCTCAGGAGGAACTACCAGTCATGCAAGAAATCAAAGCAATGCAAGATCGATGTCACAAGTAAGGCAATATTTTAAAAGATTCACTAGACAAATGGTACCTCACAATTCATTAATAAGAGTTCACGTATCATTTTTGTTACATTAACATTTACAATGCCTAAAATAAGTATCAGTTATTGTATTTAAAATAGTTTAATTTTAAAATATATTTAATTAATTTTGAAAGACGTTTTTACCAATATTCTTTGTTTCCATCGGCAGGGGTATGCATTTTAGAATATATACTTCTTGCCTTGCATAATAATAACAACTTATGTAAAAGCTGTATCAACTCCATTAAAGTTATAACTGATTTTAAACACTTCCATTGCATGTCACCATTAACAGTGACCTTTTAATTTTTTTGTATCCTAAATTTGGATTAGTTTATAACTTTTTCCCCTGTTGGAAGCACCTAGGTACCAAAAGTAGATATCCCATGAAATTTACAGAGGAATTTAGTGAATATGCAAACAAAATATGGTTATATAAATGTTTATCTAAATCTAAAATGTTTTCCTGTCATGTATAAAACAGGAACTTTTATGACTAAGTTTGAGGACTTGTACCCACCTTATAATTTGACTAAGATGCATTAACTGGATCTCCACAGTGGGAGGAGGAAGAGAGTCAGAGAATGAAAAAAACCTGTAAACCCTGCACTTAGCCTGTGTAAAATTCAGTGTGTGCATGAGTAACTGACTACAGTAGAATAGCAATCTCTGTAGAAAATGTGTAGATATTAGCACTTTTTTAATTCTATTCTTCCCTTAGAATTGGTTTCTGAGAAATAGGGTCTGTGATGACCTCATGCTCATGTAAATAAGACATGATTCAGATATGAAAGGTTATACAAATATAGATCAAATATGGGAATATCAAAGATCCATGCCATGTACATAAGAGCTACAAGTAGTCCTGTAGATCATTCACAGAGCTGTCATCTGAAAAAGACTATTTTTTAAAGGAGATCAAAGTTCTTGAGGAAAGTGCGGAAATTCTGTCTTAGTGGAAGAGTCGACATAGGTCCCTGGATGAAATACGGTGTTCAGATATTTGATCCATGCCTTAGCCTAGGTATTCTGCCAGTGCAAATCCTACCAATAAGGGTGGAATTTAGCTCACTTTATTTTAGATTATAGATATCTGAACTGGTTAATTCTCACTCTCTAATTAATGGAGAGAAATAGATCTAAAATACAGTTTTTCTGACCTATTTTAGAAGTTTCTTTTAGAATAATGATGAATCATCCTAAATCATGCTCTAGAATTGCCTGCTTCCTCCACTGGCAATGAGGGCAGCCTGTGGTGATGGACTCAGATGTAGGTGTCTGTATCGTAAACATTTGCATTTCTTCAAAAGAATTGTTCACTCAGTGTCAAAATACATAAAACTGCTAATTAAAAGGAATGAATTGAAGAATGAATGTGAGAAATTTTAGGGTGCTGCTTTAGTAGTCTGTTGCAACAATGCTTTTTATTAGTCTGGATGTGAAGCTATCAATCGTTATCTTCATTAATTTTTTGACAAAGCAATGGTTTTAGACATTACTTAATTCTTTAAAAATAGTTATTCTTTCTTTGTTTCTGAAGTATGCAACAGAAAGTGAAAAAAGGTGTGAAGATGGTGAAACAGGAGCTGAAGGAGCGTGAGGAGGTTGAAGGAGAGATTAATATTGTGAAGTCCTGGATCCAGGAAACAAAAGAATATTTATTAAGCCCTGATATAGAAGTGGATACTCAACTTCAGGAGTTGCAGGTATCAAATTTCTAAATTACAATATTTATCTTCATTGTAATCTACTAGTGAGTGTTAATAGTTCAAAACCACTATGAATTCAAATTAGACAATATTCATTAGTTTTTAAGCTGCTAGACAAATTTATAAAGCATGAAGTAGCTGATGGGCTGTAATACCTTATTTTAAAGATACTTAATATATATTTAAGTATTTGCATTTATGCAATTTTGCATACTAGCTTATTGTTCAGTGATTTTCTCTTCTCATCTAAAATATGTGGGAACTATAGACTGTGAATGGAGAGAATGTGACATTTCCTTTTGATCTTGGCAGTTTGGTATGGGGCAGTAAACAACAAAATAAAATAAACTCATTTCACTGGAGGTGCTGAAAACTTTTCTATATAAATGTGGTCACATAGGAACAGATAACTAGACAGTCATAAATGAGAATCCAGGGAATCCCAAAATAAAATGCTTTTTAATGAACTAATTAAGAACTTGAAAGCAATTAGCTTTGTTGCCAGCTACATGCAATATCTGCATTTGCAAAGTTTACACAGATATGTTTTTCCCCTTATTCTTAATACTATTTTTTCTATCATTAGTCTCTCCTTGGTGAAGTAACTACTCATCGCCAGGCTGTTGAAAAAATGGCTGAACAACAACAGAATAAGTACTTGGGGCTTTATACCATTTTGCCTTCTGAACTCTCTCTTCATCTAGCAGAAGTTGGGCTGGCCCTTGTAACTATACAGGATCAGGTAAAGCATAGAAGAAAAATGCATTACAGATCTATATCCCTTCTTTAGACTTTATAACTTAGTGAAATACAGTATCCAAGTGTGATCAAACTATGACAACAGAGTAGTTTTATTACCTTCTTCCTCTAAAATAAAGTAAGTTAAATGAAAGTTAATCTTTCAGGAGGAGATTTCTGGTTACTGATTTTAATTCTTATTGTTAACAGATTCAAACCAAAGAAAGAGAAACTCAGCAGATCAAAACACTGAATCAAGAGTTTGGTCAGAAAATCCAGGGGATAGCAAATGAACTAAATGCCATTCTTTCCAAACTGAAAAAGAAAACAAATGATATAGCACAAGCTAAACTTGAACAAAAGGTAAGACAAGGCTTGCCTCATTTGGTTGCACCATAAATTCTTCTGATTCGGGACAGTCACTTCATACCGAGGTTATATTTGTAAAGACTTGCATGACACATTATTTAATGTAATTCAGCAGAAGAATGGACAGAAATAAGGGTTGATTAATTAAATTTTAAAATTATTTCTTTTCAAGCTAGCCCATACAGGGACTTGAGTAAGTAACAGAACTTGGAGGACGTAATTGATAGTAAAAGCAAGTCAGATGGACAAAGTTACGCTGTTCCCTCTAACTAATGAGTATGACTGCAATCTGGGAAAGCCCAAGAGGCTCTCAAACTGCTCTTGTCCATCTGTACTGAAAAGACCATTCTTTACAGTACACCTTTACTTGTGATAAATAGAATTTTACTTAGCTAGTAGTCCATCTCATATCATTTGGTGCAATTATGAGGTAAAGTACTACTGGTGTGGTTAAGGGTAATGCAAAGGATTCTTGGTTCTTTTTGTAGGTTTTCTTAATCTTAGGTGTGTACCACACTTAGAAAAGCTCATCTATACTGAGGTGTAATGGCCAAGTTAGGTTTATTATATGAGAGTGTGGGATTTTGGGGTGAGGGGGGATGGGGGAAGGCTTGATTGAGGGTGGGTTTTTTTGTTGTTGTTGTTTGGCTTGTTTTTTTAACTAGTCAAAGATAAACTTGACCAAGTTACTGTCTGAAAATAAGCATGACATACCAAAGAGGAAAAGGGTTTGGCATGTATGATATGTAAAAAATGATCTGTTTATTTACATGAGTTGCTCTCAGTATGCTCCATACCATTTGCTTTACAGGAGGTGTCACTGAAATATATGCCTTTAAATTTTGTGTAATTTCTTGATTCCAGTACTTAAGCAGAAAGCGAGTAAATTGTGCTTTCCCATGTTGCATAGATGAAAACTGACACTGGAGATTTCATAAAGTTCCCTCAACTGCATTTATGTCAGTGCCCAGCTGATATTCCTGAGATTGGATTGGCCTTGATTATAGCAGTAGATATTTTTATATTACTATTGAAACTGACTGTGAAAAATAAAATAAAAGTCAGCTTTAAATCCATGTGACTGAAGTGAAATGGGTCCTTCCTTTGCTTCTAAACAGCGTATAAATTCTGCATGGTTTCTATAGTAGAGACATTTTTTATGCCTGCCTGAAATATGTGTGTGTCCTTATTTAGATGAGTAGTTCATCATCTGTCTTTGTCTATGTGTAGACAGTTATGTCACTAAGTTCATGGAATAATAATAATAATCATAACAGTTATCGTAACTTACACTCTAAGGTGTGTTTGCCAGAACAGCCCTAACTTGAAGAGCTTAAAGTAACTTCTTGAAGCACCTGTAGTTAGAGCAGTGTTCTGAATCAATTTTTGTCTGATGATTGCAATTTAAATTTCTAAAAATAATAAGAAAGGGGCTAGAGTGTTTGATGAGACTTATGTTAACAATTCATACAAATAAAACCTTAGATATAAAACCCAAATTTAAAAAACCCAATACCTCCCGCCCCAGAAAACTAGCTCATAAGTGTGTTATCAGTCTGTGAGAAACATGGAAAACCTTTTAGGTTTCCTTTTAAAACTTTTCAGAAACATTTTAACTATGATAAAAAAAATTAATTTTAAAATCTGCTTCTGTTGAAACAGTCTAGCATGATCTAGACTGCTCCTGTGTCAAGATCAAGCTATGAAAATGCAAGTTTAAAATGCTAATGAAAGTTTTTGTAATGTGTTTAATGAGCAATTACATATTTCTGAGTTTGTAAGAGTATATTTTAAGACAGCAGTAAAATGAAGCCCCTTTCTAATAAATAAAAATCCTTGTCATGGCAATGTGTGCTGACTATTCATTTCAAAAACGAACACAGAGAGATGGCCAAGAACAGTTAATGTCACTCTGCAGTGACTCAGTCTTTTGTGTAGGGCATGGAAAACAGCTATCCATTTCAGCCAGGAAGTCAGAGAAGAAAGAGTAATGGCACACATTTAAGAGATGACCAAACATCCTGCTGTTCTGCCTTCCTGCTTAGACAAGCATTGTTGGTTTCCAGCCAGAATAAAAAAAAAGAACAAACTATGGACACTTTGGACAGGGTATAAAAGTTGCAAGTTGGACTAGAAATAATAAATCAGAAAGCTAATGCTTCCTGGATCACTGTTTTTCTTGTTGTTTCTGTCTAGATCCTTGGTGAAGAGTTGGACAGCTGCAATATAAAGCTGTTGGAATTAGATGCATCAGTCCAGGACTTTGCAGAGCAGAATGTGCCGCTGGCTAAGCAGCTGGCTAACAGGATAGGGAAACTCACTGTACTGCACCAACAGACCGTACGGCAAGCTGAGTACAGAGCAGCCAAGCTCAGTCAGGTATGATCTCAAATCCTTTCTGCTGTTTCCTTTCCCAAGAAGAAGAAACACACAAACTTCTTAGTTATTTTCCTGTAGTTATGCAAGAACGAGCATTCCTTGGCATATCTGCTTATTAGTCAGGGCTTGCATCACACCTCAGAGAGACACAGACAGGTCAGATCAGGAGGATGTAATTCTCTGATGCTGCTTTAACATCCTCTTCCATGAATCATCTGCTGCTTGGTTCCTCTGGTGCCCTGAAAAGTTTATAGACCTTCTCGCAAACAGTAGCATACCAGGAAATAGTATCTCATTGTAATTTTCAGGGCCTCTCTTTTACCATTTACCTATATTTGCAGCATTACCGAAAAAAAAAAAAAAAATTGTTTTGCTCCAGTCACAACCTTTAGAGGGTGAATATAATTTGTAGGTTCAATAGAAAAGAGTAGATACAATGGCCCTGGTAGTGAGTAATGTATATGCAATGTTTCAGCATTATAAAGATGCCTCCCCTATGTTTCAAAGTTCCTGAAACTCTCTTATGTATTTTTTTACTAGTTGTTATCTAAATAGAGTCTAGCTAAAAGGAAATGGGTTTTCTATGGTTCTGCCATTGGTACCCTAATAATTATGTGTTCTACTTTCTGCATGCATAAAGAAGCTTATGTAGGGCTTGAAAAAGATAACTCCTTAATGATATTCCTTTCAGTTTCCTCTAAAAATTGTTTTTTTAGAAAGAGAAAATTACTATCAAAGTTAAGAGTTCAGTACGTGCTAGTTGGTGAAGGGATTTAACCGTTAGGATGATTTTGTTCAGCACCAAGAAATCCACTTCCGATCATAAAAAATAATAAGGCAAACTGTATGCAAATACAGTTCAGTCACCTAGGATTTGATCCATCCTTTGTACAGGACAAGTATATGAAAATCAGTGAAATTATTCCTGCTAAGTGGGAGGAAAATTGGAACTAAAGAGTACTTTGCTAAACAGAAATCAGATGAATCAGAAAGCAGAGGTTTTGTCCTGTATCTTAAAATAAGTGCAACATTTTATCTTTTTGGAAATATGACAGACTGAGTGGAAGAAAGCATGTTTTAAAAAAAGGCAGTTTGGTATTGACATGGAAATAGACAAAGAAAAATAAAAAATGATATGAAGGAGGCTTGCAGTGAGCCACAAACTGAGCAAGAAGGTATTTTGGAACTTGTGTGAGGCTGAAATAGGTGCAGGAAGTGTACCCTCTAGGGATATATTTGAGCATCAATGCACTCTTCCAGTGTGACCTACATTCTTACAGTGCCTCTTTTCACCTGAAATAGGTATTCCTTACTGAAAGCAGACCTATTTTAACTCCATAAATACAGAACTAATTAGATTTTATTCAACAATGTGGAAAAGTTGTTAAAAACAGAAAATGAAATAAAATTATTTTTATCATTTGCTAAGAACTGTACAGAAGTATATCTTAGGCTTAAGTGGATTTTTCTTTTATATCCAGGCTGCTTCACATTTGGAAGAATACAATGAGATGCTGGAGTTCATACTGAAATGGACTGAGAAAGCAAATATCCTAGTGCATGGTAGTATAATATGGAATTCTTCCTCTCAGCTTCGTGATCAGTTTAAAGCCTACCAGGTGATTATATGAGCTATGAAATTCAAAGGCCAGTGTATAGAAGATGTTATTTTTTAAGCAGTGAAGTTTTATTTCCTACACCTTTTTTTGCCTTTTTTCCTTGAAGAAGTCTTAGAATGCTAGGTTTTTTTGACTGTTTCCCGGAGTATTATAAACTAATTTGATTTGGACAATCGTTTTGAAGACTGAAATTAAGATGTGTTGTTGAATAATACTATGTGATGCAAACGTGATCTCCCAAGCGCATTGGCTTCTCAGTAGCTTTTGATGGAATAGTGTGTTGATACACTGTGATTCTGTCACACTGAGTACCTTATTGCAGCTAATATTCCTCTAAAATTTTAGTTCACCAAACATGAATTTCAGTTTGGGTATTTTATTTTTCTTTCTCCTTTACACTACATCGGCATAGATTTTGTTCTCATCTGATGAATCTCACAGTAAACATTCTCAAACTGATATCCAATGAATGAGCTTCTTCCAGTTGCTTCATGAACTTCTCACATCAGAGTGATTTGCTGTGACAGTGCAATTTGTTGTGTGTGGAATGTGTGTGAGATCAGTGGAGCAGTTTGATAAGGTTCAAACTTGCCCAGTGTTACATGGCCATATGAAACAAATCAAAGTATCGTAAGATGTCACATCTCACTAATGCTGAAATAAAACTGCATTAATTATGGGGGTTTTTTATATACATTTGTTAATTGTCAGCTGCATTCACTCACATCAGGGCAATGTAGTATGTCATGGTTTCTTATTCTGAATATGAACCTCCAAGCAATTTATTCTGAGGATAGCTGAGAGATGGCATTTCTGGTTTGGTTTTTTTGCTATGGCTTTTTCCCTGTTCCAAAAGTTGATGAGGAGATACTGGCTTAACCAATGCCATTCCAAAGAACACTTTGGGAGCCATTTTTTTAGGCATTATTAATGACTACTGCCCTGCTATAACACTGTACCCAAGTGGTTTCTGCTGCTTCCTATTAGGTACATCAGACTTCCAGAGCAAACCTATCTGTTGTGTATATTATTTTTTTACAGGTAAGGGTGTATAGCAAAGCACTAGGATTGATGTGTGGGTAAATTCAGCTGCTGAAGCTTCATGACTTACTCTTTTGTTTCCCAGTCTCCATAAACTGAAACACTTTATCATACACTCAGAATTAAGCATATTGCTTAGGCCTTACAGGAAAACAGTAGAATTTAATCCTCAGATTACAAATGTGTACAAATTGAGGAGTCTGCAGAACAGGAATATACTTAGATATGTTTAATCTGAAGCTCAACTCTGGCATTGAGTTTGTTCATATCTCCATCTAGACTATGCTTGATGAGTCTGGAGAGATTCATGGTGATCTTGAGGCCATGAGTGAGAGGATTGAGTATCTGGCAAGTGTTTACTGTACTGAAGGAATGTCACAGCAAGTGCTGGAACTGGGACGACGGACAGAGGAATTACAGCAAGTTATCAAAGTGCGACTACCAAATCTCCAAGATGCTGCCAAGGTATATGAAAGCAGTTTTTCTAATGTTAGCTGACAGCTAGGGTGGTGTATGCATCATGTTTCTGAGACTATTAGCAGTGCAGATTATCTGTGGTCTATAAAGGGTATAATTGTGTTGTCTAAAGTTAGATATCTTGTGCCATTTGAGATACTGCCTTCAGGTGCTGTTCCAAACAGGGACAGTATTCCTGCAGGTGCTGTCATATCTGCCCATTCTGGATGGATGTATTGGGGATCATGGGGATCAAATGGCACTGAGCACCTAATAAGTTTAGATGCTTGAAGAGTGTCTGTGTTGGCACTTACACTGTGTCATTTCCTTTAAAGATATCTAAAGCCTGCTATCTATTAATTTAGATCAGAACTGGGCCAGACCAGGATTCCATAATGTAAGACCTACCTCTACAAGGAAGTGCAATGAAAACAATGAATGAGCTTTTTCATGTACCTGACATTTCTGTGCAGCTCTTCCATATAGATTGTTAATGTAAATGTGTGTTATGCCTGTGTAATGCCTGAGGGCATGGTAAACTGGTGCAAGACACAGGGCAAAGCACAGAAGTTTTTTCTACTTTTACATTCAGGGAAAAAAATTCTTTTTTTTTTTTTTCCCATTGATTCAAAAATTTAGGAAAAGAATATTGGAATGGTGTAAATAGTGTATTTGTAGGGGTTCTTCTGCTGTCACCTGCTAGTTACATGCTACTGAATGGGAAAATACCTAAAGGCAACTAAGACAATAGGCTGTCACCATTTGTTAGGACAATTGTAGCTAAGGTTAAAAATCATCCTTCTCCACATTTGACTCTTATTTTACAACATTTATAGGACATAGCAGAAATGCTGCAGCTGAAGCAGTCATACAGTGTAACAGACAGATTTTGAAGAAGTTAAAAAAGCACAAATCAGTAAACCAGTTTTTGAGCTGAGGTCTTTTATTTTTTTAATTATTTTTCATGGAACAAACCAGAGATTTGAATACAAGCAAGCATAGTAGAAATGAAACTGACTCACTTCAGTTCCTGAGAAATACTGGAACAATTGAATAAACTATTTGGAAATTGTTATAAGAAAACATAGAGATTAATAGAAGCCAACATAGATTTATGAAGAAAGAAAATAATATTAAGTGTCCAATTTAATGTGAAAGTAATAGATTTGTACATAAATGTACACTGTGTCATATATCTTTGATAATGTTTCAACTGTTATTGTTACTAACAAAGTTAATAAGCTTATCTATTTAAAAATACAATAGGTAGGTGTAAAGCTAGCTAAAAAACTTACCTGGTGTATAATTATCAATGGTCCAAATCCTAAAAGGAGGGATACATCAAGTAGGATTTTGCAGGGTTCTCCCTTGGATATGGTGCTATTCAATGTTTTCATTAATGAGTTGGATAGTGGTTTAGAAGTCATGGCTTTGGGATGTTTAGACAACACCAAATGTACAGGAGCTACCTGAAAAAAAACTCAACTGCTATGCAAGAGACAGGAGCAAATTATTATGTTGAGACAGGAAGAACCAGGCATGTTTTCCTCTGAATGAGGAACTACTGGCTTGATGCACCCTGTTGAAAGGTCTTCAGTTTAGTAATGCAGATCATGGAAAAATGAGTGAACAATGCCACATTGTTGTAAAAATCCAAACACCATGCAGAAAATTAAGTATATAATTGTAAGGTATGTGAAGTATTTCTTTTGTTCTACCTATTGGTCACTAGCAGGGTTTCACCTGTGTCAAGTTTTGCACTTGAAAAAAGATGTGGACTCACTAGAGAAAGAACAGAGGATAGTGGTGATTGTGATATGTGTATAAACTTATAGAAAAGATGCACGAAAAAGGATTATCCTAACACGATGTATTCAGAATAAAAATAGTAAGTTCTTTTTGTCTGTTATTAATGAGATAATACTGCAATAAAAGACAACTATGTCAGGCCATCAGAAAAAACTTTCTACAAAAGAGAGTACTGAAATAGTGGAATATATTGTCTAGATATACATGGGATTGCACTGCTAGTGGTCTTTAAGAACAGTCTGTAAAGATAAGACTTTTTAGTCTATAAAGATAAGACTAAGTTATGTCCAGTCTTAATACAGGAAGATGACTAGAGGACATATTGAGTTCCTTTCTAGGCCTTGAACTTTATGAAATCAGCTTTATAAAGTACATGCTGTATTTCAGATTGAGGAAGTACTTAAAATAATAACTCTGGCTTTGAGTCACCTTTTTCTAGACTGTCATATGACCAGTATTTGTATCCAATATTTTAAACATTCAAAATTAATTTTTAAAACCATGAATTAGTTTTGGCACTGTATATAAGGGACGTAGCTATAAAACCCAGACAGATATATTTATAGTGACTTTTTTTTTCTTTATCCCCGAATCAAATGTGTTGTGTTACAGGACATGAAGAAATTTGAAGTTGAGTTGAGAGTCCTGCAGGCTGCTCTGGAGCAAGCCCAAGCTACACTGACCTCTCCAGAGCTCGGGCACTTGAGCTTGAAAGAGCAGCTTTCTCACAGACAGGTAAAAAGCCAGGACCTCAAAGTCAGCATTTGAGTAGTGTGAACTTACCTAAAGAGTAATGAATGTTGGTGAGATCAATTGTCAATTTGTTATTTTTGGTCTCAGACTCATGACAAGAAAAATAATCCAAGTTACAGCTTTCTAAATTGCTTAGGAAATGTTTCCTGCTGCAAGACAATATAGAGATTTAACTGTCTTAGTCTGCCAGTGAAAACTACATGTCAACAGGTCCACTTTAGGGTTAAAATCTGCAAAAGAACATACGGATGAAAGTTAAATTTGCAGAACTTTCCCTTTTGATTAAAATATGCCGTCTTTATTATAGGGACTTGCACCCAAATTTCCAAATACGGCATTGAAGAGTGTAAGCGAAACACATCCCCCACCATAAGAATAAAGGAATGTGGAGTTTACACTGTGGTTTGGGTATATTCTTTGTCCTGGCTCCATCAGGTCTCTTAGTATGCCTTCCTTTTGTAGAGCAAGGGGCTGTAGCCCCTGCCCACCTGTTTCACCAGACCAGAGAGAGGGTCTCAGAGAGTGCCTGGCAGGAATGCAGCCCCCAGGATACCTCTGGGTGCTGACTGCACAATAAAGACACCTTTTGCCAGCAGTATGGGGCCTGCCAGAGGAGAGGCCTCACCAGTGATGTCTGATAAATAGGTCATAATACCAAATCTCTCATTAGATTATCCTCCATATGTCATGAAGGCACAGCATGAAGAGCAAACCATGCTCCTCTCATCAGTATGCACTTCAGACCCACTTAGCTATGTTTCTGCATATGGCATAGGGGGAGACAACCAGTCTCACTGTTTGCCGCATACGTTGTATACCTGTTGAACTGAGAATCTTTTTCCAACGTGCTAAGGGCATTTTTATCAGCTTTGCCCCTTTCCTTTTTTTTTTTTTAAATGACCCACACCCCCCCACACCCGAAGATAAAAAGAATGCTAATGAAATCTCCAGTCATTGCACTTAGACCCTTCTCATGCATATGAACAGACAGCTTGAATGGACATTGTGAATGCAATAGAGACTATTAACAAAGGCATCCAGCGCATGATTATTCAAAGGAAAAGATTTCAGTGTAGCTGTGTTTGTTTCTGTTTGATTGCCTTTTGAATTCTAAGCAACTTTTTTAGCCATGGCTTGTATTTTCAAAGGAAAGCTGTGAACATAATGGGATTCATTGCTGCTTTGAAAATGTGCTTCTGTGTCTCAGCAGGGAACTCCACTCAGATTTTAACATTAAAATATGTGTGTACATAGGTGACTCCTATGCTCCTTTGATTTGTGGATTTTGTAAAGATTTTTTTTTTTGAAACGCATTAACAGAATTATTTTTGTACTTAGACACTTAGAAATAGGTACTACTATGCTTTTTAGTTAATTATGTTTATTCATATTATATGGGCTTTTTGCTTAACTAATATTTGAAATAATGTTCAGTTCAGAATGTGCAACGCTAGACAGTGTGTCCTGATTATATTATATTTGGAAAACAGATAATCAAATTTGTTTTAGTGCTTGAACTCATAATATTTTTTTTTTTTTTCTGCATGAAATGCTCTGGGAGTTCTGCAGAACTGACATTGTGGCACTGACTTTGTTTCTAGCATCTGTTGTCTGAAATGGAGTCACTGAAGCCAAAAGTTCAGGCAGTACAAATCTGTCAGAGTGCCCTGAGGATTCCTGAAGAGGTAGTCACCGGCCTGCCCATGTGCCACAGTGCCCTCCGGCTCCAGGAGGAGGCCAGCCGCCTGCAGCACACTGCCATTCAGCAGTGCAACATCATGCAGGCGAGTGTAACTCCATCCCGTAAATATCACTGTGTAACTTGAACAGTGCCATACAAATTGTGATGAAAACAGAGAATTTCATATCTCTGTGCATTCCTCTTTTCCGTGTTAGTACCATTGGGAAGTTCCCCACTAAGTTTCAGACTCTGTGGTTTTTGGGGGTTTTAACATTCATGATCATGTTAATTGCTGATTTAAGCATCAGACTCTCATCTGGGTTCTCTCCTTGATTTTGCTATGTTTTTGTAATGCTATTAGGATTAACTAGACAAACAACTAATACAAAATTTTATGCAGGTTAATTTTATATATAATCAATTAATGATATTAATATATCATTATAGCACCAATTGCTTATAATGACTGCAGAAAAAACTATCGAGTTAATTAAATATCTTTCTAGGTTTTTTTTTCCTCTTTATTTAAAATTTTTATATATTTACTTTCTGATTTTGGAGTCATTCAGCACATACTAATTACGCATTTTCAAGTTTTGCTAAATACAAGAAAACTAGGTTTTATTTGATTGTTTGAATTCATAATTAAACATGTAAAAGGTATTTCCGAAGAAGAGAATAAGCTTTTCTTTCCTGCTGTTTAGTGATAGAAAAATACATAGTGAGCTAAGGTACACCTACAGAGTTTCAAGCTAAATTTCAGAAGAAACTTTCGATCATTAAGGATACTTAATGATACTTAAGTCCAAGGAAGGATACAATGTCACACTAAAAAAAGTTTTAAAAACAGGTTAGACAAACTGCCAGTGAATCTATGATATAAAGAACTGATACTGCAGTGGTAGGGTAATGGTCTGAATCAGTCTTCAAATTCCTCTGCCAGTTGTATTTCAGTAAAATCTAACTTTTTCATATAGTCTTTACACTTCATAAATAGGGACTTGAGGTGAAAAAGCAGATGAAAATGCTTTATACTAAAACGGTGAGACTAAGCAATGCTATCTTTGGTGGGTATATTTGGTGCACATACTTGTTGGAAGCAGTTCTAGCTCCTTATATTGGATATCTGGAACATGTTATGTGAACTCTTTTTTTGGAAGTAGTTAAATAAATGAACCCATTGAATTCATTGCAATTCGCAATAGTTCTGAATGGACTTCTTCATGACTGTGTTCCTGCTTTGCTTATCCAGATGTGACTGCCAGGTAGATGTTAAGTTTGCTCCGCTTCAGAAGGAAGTTCAGTCATGCTTGGACTAAGTACGTATTTATTTTCATGTTGACACTCAATTTTTTTTTCTCCCTCTCTAGGAAGCAGTGGTTCAGTACGAGCAATATGAGCAAGAAATGAAACATTTACACCAAATGATAGAGAGTGCCCATCGTGAGATTCAAGACAAGCCAATAGCAACCAGCAACATCCAGGAACTTCAGGTCCAGATTTCACATAATGAGGTAGGAGAGCCAAAATGCAAAAATGTGGGATCAGTGGCAACTCATTGACTCAAAAACTTTTCATAAGCAATGGTCGTAAATTAGCTGAGTAGCTTTTCAGATTTGCTCAAGGCTAGTTGAAGAGATAAACTTAATACCAGATAGGAAACTCATGCTATTGGTACAGTGTGGAGTATTCATTTGTTTATTCAGTTAGATGTGTCCTAATCTCCAGACAACATTATGACAAATGAAAGCATTGCATAATTAAGGGACAGTTAACATATAAGTACTTGACTGAGGAGTGTCCCAGAAGTCAATGTTGAGCATGAGATCATTCTAGTTCAGTGATCCTTAAATATATATATAAATAAATATATGTATGTATATCATTTCCATCCCAATAACTTCTGTAAAAGAACACCAAGGGACTTGAATCACAGGAAACCCACAGTAGATTTGGAGGAAGACTGCAATGTTCACTCCAAAGGCTTCTGGTAAAGTAATTGTTGGGAAGAATTTTGTCCTGTGGAGTTAAAGTTTCTGCCCTCAAACTCACTGATCATCAGTCCTCAAATGATTCTGGATAGTCTCTGTGTAGCCTTCTTGTGCTGGCATGGAAGCTCCTGAGCCCCTTTCCCCCTCTCCTATCTCATGTGTATTTCCTGGGATAGAAAATGTACTACTGATCTCTTTGTCTTACTTTTGGCACCAGGTGGCACCATTTCTTTACCTTTGAATTAAAGCTATCTGTGTTATTATGTAATATAACTTAATGTTATATGTGGTGCTCATTTTCTATCCAGTTGTTGCAAAAGTTACTTAGTATAAATGCAGAGCAGTTTGCTTAAACACTTCTGGGTTTTTTTAGTACTGAATTACTAATGCTACTATTCTCTATTCAAATGTTCTGGGACAGCAAGTGCAGGAGAGTGACTTCAGTGATATGGGGTAATATTGCTGGAGGAAGGAATGATGCTGCAGGGAGGAAGGAATTAAAAATGGGTCAGCTCGAAGTTTCATCTGCACTTGAACAAGTTGAGTAGCTAGGAATTCTTCTAAACATCTGTGTGAAGACAGCAACCAGAGTGGACAGGTTTCACACTTGCAAGCTTTCCAAATTTAAGTGTAAGGAGTTTTGAAAGACTGAGACATGCATATTTTTGGCTCATATTTTGTCTGTTAAATATGTGTGGAAAAGTATAGCATAAAGGGGATATATTGAACCCTATATTATTATACTACAAAAGATAAGTCTGTCAAGATCCTTGGCATGTGTGTTATTATTTTAAGAAAACATCAGTTATCAGATTCCCTGTTGAAGCCTGCATGAATGAGAACTTAGAGGCCTTTGTAGTAGATATATTTAGAATTAAAATAAGAGGAAGAAAGTAGAAGGAAAGTACACCCTCATTTGTAGGAAGCTTGTATTACCATGTGTGTATGTAAATAATTATACTCTGGAACTTTACTGAACTGCATTTCTTTAGACTTTCAGATAAGAATGTGGGCAAGTATCTCCATACATGTGAATTAATTTAATGGGTAATACAGTCCCTCACAGGACATTGCTTTTATAAGTTGCTTTATTTTTTCACAATTGCAGTTTGGCTTCCTTTTCTGTGTTTTCAGTTGACAGAGGTATGTTAGATACTCAGTGCATTGGACATTAATGCCACAAATGTTACTGCATCTTAGTAATATTGATGAAGTTGAGTATATTGAATGTCAGTAATTTCCTACTGAGGCCCAGAGATGTCATTCATTGAGCATTAGTGAACGACAGGTACTTGCCGAACAGAGCACATTAACATTATGGCTTGGCTTGATTGTAGTTTGGTTTTCAACTGATTTTGCTGGTGTTTTATACTCAAGACTTGGCTTAATCTCCACTGTAAGCCTTGGAGCTCCAAGAGAGCTCCTCTTGTTGCCAGCACAACTGTGACCAGGTACCATTGAAATCCAGGCATTAAAATGTCATCTTCAGTCTTTGTGCTACTTCCATTTCTAACACTGTATGTCTCGCTGTGACTGTTCTGTACTGTGGTTTTGAGGAAATGGTTTCCTTAAAATGTTATACAACCAAAAAACTTCTGATTTTACCAGCCTGAAACAGTAATCATATTTACTTATTAGAAGATATTGTAATTATTTATTATTATACCTACTATAATCTTGCAAGTTCTGTTTTTCATTGAAAACTTGTTGAAGAAATAAAAGCAGATATAAAAATAAAGCAGAAATACATATATTTGAATGAATAATCACTGATTTAGCAGGCAAGCTTATACCAATATTGTTTTCACTTTATAGATCAAAATTCTATGATGTTACTGAGCCTCTAGGGAGATAGGAACAATAGCTTTGGCAGAAATGTGAAAATCTTCCACTTTTATTTTATTAATTGAAAGCTTTGAAACTGGTCACTGAACTGGGAAGCAGTCCAGGGGAGGAGAGGAGACAAGTCAGTTTCTAAGGCTGTTCATTTCCATGTTTCTTCTCTGACTAAACTTAAACTTACAATGGTGTTTGGCCAAGCAGATAGACCATTTCATAGCCATTACAAATAGTGCTTTAGGCCAGATTCCCTAGCTCCTTTTAAAGAAAGGTTAGAACTGTGTGCACCTCAGCTTTTAAGTCTGAAGATTTACACAAAACCAAAACAAGATTAAAATATAGCTTATCCAAACACTGGCAAAAAGCAATCCAGTCTGCGTTTAATCTTATTATGTGACTGATTGCTCCTATTGCATCTGATCTTGTTAGACCCTGGGAGTTATTGTTTGAACAATTCATTCTTTCTGGCAAGAGCTGAATGGGGCATTTTTTACAGTTGTGGTTACCACATGACCTCATTTCCATGGCATGCACTATGCAGAGAAGCTTCATCTTCCTCAGATAAATGGAAAATAGAACAGGGAGGAAAAAAAAAAAAAAAAAAGAGGACAGGAAGAGGGAGAGACATTCCCTTTTGCTGCAGTCTGAAGCTTACAGACTTTGCCAGGTTCAAGTTGGCTGCAAGCATGAGGTGTCCCTCCCTTCCCTCTGCGATTATCATGCACACAGAGCATTTTGCAGCATTTTTCCGGTTTCACTTCAAAGCTCTCAGCTCTGTGGTTTAGCTGTGCAGCCAGACGCAGCCTGACTTGTTCTTTCCACTATCAACATCCTGCTTGTCAGCTAGTGCGGCGGCTTATGCGGGTTTCTGAGAGGCAGAGCTATGATGTTATTGGCTGGGCTTGGAGGGGAGAGCTTGCCTTCTCCACGGAAGCTGAAATGCTACGGGTCCTGTGGCCTTCATTGGCTGCCTCAGCATTAGGGGAAAAAAATGTTTCCTCAGGAGCTGGCTCAGAAGATCAAAGGATACCAGGAGCAAATTGCTTCTTTAAATTCCAAGTGCAAGATGCTGACAATGAAAGCAAAACATGCTACCATGCTGCTGACAGTGACAGAAGTGGAGGGGCTTTCAGAAGGAATGGAAGAGCTGGATTCAGACCTGCTCCCAGCACACCCCACTCATCCTTCTGTGGTTATGGTAAGGAACGCATTGGTCTCGGTACTGTTTATCTGAGCTGCTTGTTTCTGCATCATTGCAAAACTCCTGTGTAGCAAGTTGCCACAGCTCACATCTGTATTCTGCTTTTGAAATGGCTGGAGTGTGGCAAACCAAGCAACTTGCAGCTTCCCCTTAATGTATTTTGCTTTATATGGGTTTTCAAAACTTGTAGGTAAAGGGCAAAGTTATTTAACAGAAAAATAGCAGTGGAAGCTGTCTGTAATAAGATGCAAATATAGTGCTTTTTTGTAGCTCTCAGTGTGAAGAATCAAATGCTAAGAAACTACTGAATTGCAGGAACAAGATAAAATCAGAATAAATATTTCATAATGTTGCAGTGTATAGATTTTACACACTTTATTTTTAAAGTTCTTGTGTTAAAGTCGATGTGATAATTGACAGTATGCTGCTATATTCTCAGATGAGTGTTGGAAATGAAAGCTAAGTACTGCTATAGGCCTCATGTTTGAATTACTCTGCTTTTGTTTGTTTCTAATTGGGTCTCATTACAAACATACTGCTGATGCTACTGGGATTTTTGTCTGGGTGAAAATAGAGTTTCAGGATTTATCACTGTGTAACAGCACTGAGGAAGTAGTAATATGTTGCTATTGGATTTTATAGTTCAAGTCTATTCCTTGTTGTTCTAACCAGGCCTGGATACTGAGGCCAATACTGCATTATTCTGTAGCTCTCTGTAGTATGTCCATATGCAGCAGTGATTGTATTAGAAGACATTTAGACAAACCGTGATTTGTTGTTACTGAGTTGCCTGCTATATACTTTCTTCTAAACTCATTAGGGTGCAGGAGAGCATGTTCATACTGAAGTATGACAAGTAAATGAGACTATTCATTCAACTAGGTTTTTTAAACTGGTAAATGTAAGAGCATGAAATATGACTAAATAATATTGTCATTTTAGCTATGTGTTGTTTTCCTTGTTTTGACCTCAGTCTAAGTCAAACCTAAGTTGAGGTAACTGATGTTTTTTCCTGTGCTCCGGGGTTGCTTTTCCTGTGACAGATGACTGCTGGTCGCTGTCACACGCTGCTCTCCCCTGTCACTGAGGAGTCTGGGGAGGAGGGAACCAACAGTGAGATTTCTTCTCCACCTGCCTGTCGCTCTCCCTCACCTGTGGCTAATACAGATGCTTCTGTTAACCAGGTACCTCCCTCTTGGCATTCATTCAGCTTTTATCTCAGATATGCATGGTTCCATTCCACAGGTGGCTTATTTAATCTTGTGAAATAATATTTACCTATAGCTCCAAGGAACTGGGCTTAACCTCTAATTTATCTGAACCTTCAGGTTCAAGTTCAAAATGGATACAGAGATTGAATTCTGAGTTTAAAATGTGCAAATCTGTTGTCACAGCTATTCACTATTCTAAGAAACAAATTTTAAGTGACAAATACAAAGCTTTTCCATTTCACTACTATTTTATATTTATAAGCTAATTTTTATTTCTGAGTAGTACTCAATGGAGACTTGCATCCTGAGAAAAACTGCAATTTTGTATTGCCCATAATAAAACATTTCATGTCCATATACATCTATCTCACTGTACCACTGGCATTGTAGCATTGAAGTCATAGTCTGATATCTTCCACTTAATACCATTTCAAATATTAACTTTAATGGGTTTTTTTCATGTATTGTTCATTCTGTACTTTCTGTGACAGTCTATTTTAAATGCTAATGAAGCAGATCAGTGAAGTCACCGAAGTTAGATTTGAAATCAAAACTGAGGGCTCTTGCACTTCTACCAAGAACAAGTGTACATCAGCATTGATTAAAATGCAAGCAATGAACCAGCACGCTGAGCATCATGCATGTGAAGACACACATAATATGTTAAGCTGTTGAAGTTTAGAAATGAGCCTTAGGAGCAGTCACCACCTCACTGAATTCGTGTTGTGGGTTTTGTGGTTCGTTGTTTGGTTTTGCATTTGTAACTGTTTCCAAAATTGACCACTGCAGACTTAAAGGGCAGAGTGTGTTGTGTTGCACTGCTAAGTAGAATTAAAGTTTGAGTAAGATGTCCATTGATTCTTTCCACTAATTTCAAAGATGCATATGGTGCTATAGAAGTTGCTAAATGTGATTCATTTTCATGAACTGACATAAGAAAGCTTAAGAACAACAAAAGGTGACAAAATCTTTAACAGCATAGTCAAAAAAGTTTATATAATGATTGAGAAGGATTTTTTTAGTGTTTTGTCATTTCAGATGATAAATTTCCCAGTAAAGTTTACTTACAACAGAAAGACAGCTATATATTTCAACACAAAAGTCTTAGGACAGTGTTAATCAGTGAGAGTTAAAGGACAAGAGCATCTTGCTTTCTAATAAACAAAACCAATGTCAGTTCATTACATTTCTCTGAAAATGTAAAACAAGGCTAACAGCTCAAGTAACTCAAATAATAAGGAAAACCCAGTGAAGATGCTGTTGCACCATGAGCTGACACCAAAATGCAAGTTTTGGAACCTGTGATTTACCAGGGCAAAACTCAGTGAAAAGATGATGTCTTTCATTTAACAGATCTTTGAAAGAGATAAAATCAATGATATTATAATAATCTAAAAACCTTAGAGATTAAGGTTTCTTAAGTGTGGTTAATGTTGAAATGAACTGCATGTTCAGCGGAAGAACATTCCAAAATACAGTGGTTTACTTACAAAATACTTAGGTTCACACTCACATGAGGTTAAAACTAAAGAAGCTATGAAACTGCCAGTGCTGATCATGATGAATGCCCAGGGACACTTCAGGAAAGAAGGTTGGTTAAAAAAAGTTTCTAGAAATTAGTGAATTAGGAGCTTAAATGTAAGTTAAAAATATTTTTAACTCAGCAAAACTAATTTGGAAATGTTTTGGCTTAAAAAGTAGGCAGTGTTAAGAGAAGTATTTTTTTTTGCAGAAAGATCACCTGCAAAGTACCAGAATATCATATGAACAGGAATTCTAGGAAGTGAAGAATTACATTCATGTAGTCTTTGGAAAAAAATGAAAAACTTTTATGGAGTGGGGGTTGAGTGTTAAGACTGTTTTTAAATGCATCCCTAATAATCTCTCTGAATTCTTTCATCAGAATTTCCTAACATCTCTTACTGGTGAAATGTAACTAGTCTGAATTCAGACATCTATGCACTATTTTTCCATTACTAACAAGTAATGAAAATATAAAACAAGTGCCAACTGCATATTAATGGAAATACTAGTTCTATGCATAGAAATAGATTAAAATAAGACCATAAATACAAGTGACAGATCTAGCATTATTAACAGTTGCACAGGTTGTTTGTTTTATACTAAAACTCCTCTAAAACAGTGGGGTAGAGGCGAACTATAAAGATGTTAACTTTAAAAAGGCTGAGGAATTTCATATCGTATAATATTTTGACAAGCAATAACAGTAATTTAATGCAGTTTATTTTGATGTATAACAAAATCAGACACGTCATCTGTGCTGCAGTACTGAATGAGAATCCTTTGGGGCTAAAACCTAAAAAGGATGCAGTTGATAAAAATTTAGCACATTTTTTTAAAACTTGTTTTCCATATGCACAATGCAGAGTAATTGAATTTAAAAAAATGAAGTGTTGTTATAAAGCCTTGGAGGCCACATCATGTGATTCAAGTCTTCAACACTGGGTCACTGTTAAATGTCTTTCTGTCTCCTTGTACACAGACTACTTACTCTTTCTGCTTCTCTTAAGAAAACTCGTCCAGGGTGCAACAGCCCTTGTTAAATGTTTTTTGAAATGTAAACACACCCTTTGCCCCTACATTCTAACAGCAAAACTTGAGTACTTTTCATTGGCTAATTTTCATAGAAGTGGGCATGAGATGTCTGGGCCTTTATAGGGACAACAAAATCTGTTACTTGTAAGAACATCTGGATTCACACTACTATCATGTGAAAGCTCCACCAAAAAGAAGTTGCCATGATGTGCTCTCCTGAAAGTAGTTGAAAAGCTAGGGAAAGGGATTGCTTTTCCCTCTCTGTAAAAGCAAGCCCTTTGTTCTGGAAACCATAATTAAGAAGTCTCAGAAGCACAGCTCGTCTGTTGGCCTTGAAAGAGGACTAGCTAAGGGCTGAAGAGTAGCTGCACTCAAGGGAAAACGAGATGTACCTGCACTGGTGCAATTTTTCACTGTGATTTGGAAATATCACTTATAGTCAAGAGTAAAAAAATCTGAAATAGCAGTTCGGAATGCTGTGCTAAGCTGTGACCTATTCCTGTTGGCTCCTGAACATCATAACACTTTAATCATTAAATTTTTCAAGTTTCACAATTATTACCTTTGAAGAAGTACCTCATCTTGCACTTTTGAACAGTTTTATGGCAGTGACCTGGTTTCTATGCTCTCCCAGAGCTTGTTGAGCTTTGTTCATATATGGCATTAGACAACACATTGAAATGACATAGGGAAATAAAGATTCTGCTCCAAATTTCGATCCTAATTATGCTCTGAGCTCTGGTACTTCCAAATTAGTTTTGTTTAGTAGCTCACTCATACACTGTTACAAAATTACAGACTGTTTGAGGTTGGAAGGGACCTCTGGAGGTCGTGTGGTCCGTTCGCCTTCCTCAAGCTGGGTCACACACAGCAGGTTGTATAGAATTATATCCAGGTGGCTTTTGAGTATCTCCAAGGATGGAGACTCTACAACTTCTCTGGGCAACCTCTCCCAGTTCTCAGTCACCCTCACAGGAAAAGAGATTTTCCTGATGTTCAGAGGGAACCTCCTGTGTTTCAGTTTGTGCCCACTGTCACTTGTCCTGTCACTAAGAACCACTGGAAGGAGCCTGGCTCTGTCTTCTTTGCACCCTCCCTCCAGGTATAGAATAGAATCAAATCATAGAATCATTTTGGTTGGAAATTACTTTTAAGATCATAGAGTTCTGCTGTTAAGGCTTCCAAGTTCACCACTAAACTATGTCCCCAAGCACTTTTAAACACTTCCAGATGGTATCTCAACCCAGCCTGTTCCATTGCTTTACAATGCTTTCAGTGAAGAAATTTTTTGTAATATCCAGTCTAAACTTCCCTGCCACAACTTGAGGCCATTTCTGCTTGTCCTATCACTTGTTAACTGGGAGAAGAGACTGACACCCTTCTCACTACAACCTCCTTTTCTCCAGACTAAGCATCCCCAGTTTCCCTCAGCCGCTCCTCATAAGACTTGTGCTCTAGACCCTTCACCTGCTTCCTTGCCCTTCTTTGGACACGCTCAAGTAATTCAATGTCCTTTATGTAGTGAGTGGCCCAAAACTGAGCATAGTATTCGAGGTTCAGACTCACTAGTGCCAAGTACAGGGGAACGATCACTTCCCTAGTCCTGCTGGCCACACTCTTTCTGATACAACCCAGGATGCTGTTGCTCTTCTTGGCCATCTGGGCACACTGCTAGCTGATATTCAGCTGGTTGTCAACCAACAACCCCAGGTCCTTTTCTGCTGGGCAGCTTTCCAGCTGCTCTTCCCCAACCCGTGGTGTTGCACAGGGTTGTTGTGACCCAAGTGCAGGACCCGGCACTTTGCCGTGTTGACTCATACAATTGGCCTCAGCCCATCACTCCAGCCTGTTCAGATCACTCTGTAGAGCCTTCCTACCCTCAAGAAGATCAACACTCCCACCCAACTTGGTGTCATCTGCAAACTTCTTGAGGGTGCACTCAGTCCCCATATCCAAATCACTGATAAAGATATTAAACAGAACTGGCACTATTCCTGAGTCCTGGGGAACACCACTTGTGACTGGTTGCTAACTGGATTTAACTTCATTCACCACCACTCTTTGGAAATTCGTATCTATACACATTTATACTCTTACATTTGCAGTACAGTGAATAGTCTGTGGTTTATTTGTTAGACACAGCTCTTTAAGCTGCCAAGCAGAAGGTACTTGGTTTTCCCTCAGTCACATGGCTTGACATGCTGAATTTTCCTCCCCATCATACAGGGTCAGGGAAGAAGAAATTTGAGAGATTTGCAATCACTGGAGGAGGGTTTTCCAAGTACAGTTTACAATAGATTTCGGGCTATTTTTTATGCAAATATTGTTATAACTCTGAGAGCTGACTGAAAGGATGTTTGATCCAGCCTAACAGAAGTCAGTGGAACATCTCTTAGTGATTTCACTGGTAGCAAAACTGTGTCTCAAAGTTTTCACCAGGGGCGTTTACAAATTCAAAATGATTGAGGAAATTGGATGACAGCTACTGTGTCACATGGTCTGGAGCATAGTTCACTAAGTGAGGCTACTAAATGATATGAAGGAAGGTTGCAGGTTTTTTTTACTTTCCAAATAGACATGGTGGTAACCCTCATACATGGTTTCAGTTTTTAATAATCCTTGTCATCAAGTCTGCTTTCCTGGCTTAAATGTAGATCCTGTGCATATTTCCTTAGTTTTACGTTTTCTATAGATCTTCTTAGTTGTCATCTGCAATAGTTGAAGAAACCCCCATACGATAAGAATAGGATTTCTGGTGAAAAACGGTTCCACCCTGAATTTTCAATAGTAATTTGAACATTTGCCTATTTTTCTTAGCACTTTTGGTCCCTTTTCCTACTATTTTTTATAAGTTAGTTGAGAGTACTTATTTGTTTGAAGGCTTACTATAAGCTCATGCTTCATACTCTTTCTTACATCATTGACTAGACTTTCAGCGTATTCCTTTTTGGTTCTGTTGCTTTCTCTGTGCCAGGGTTCATTAGAGTGATATTCTTTGCTACCTTCAGTACTATAACCCGCTGTCTGTTGTGATGGATTTTCTCCATGTATAGTTGTGATGATGCTTGAACAACATGTCCTACTTCTAGTCTTTCCAAGTCTGTCCACAGTTGACTCCTGTGCCTCCTACCTAATATGAACACAAAAAAATGCATCCACAGTCTTAATCACAGTGAAGCTCAAAACCATACTCAGTGTACTACTATTAAATATTTATTTCATTGCTCAGAGGTTTCCTGGAGGTTTTGGCTTTGTGGATTTTATTTTAATGGACATATGCAATGGGACAGTATGTTGGGGGTATTATGCAGTACCTTTTGTTTTGAAAGTGCAATAATGTGCTTCGTGCTTGTAGGACATTGCTTATTACCAAGCCTTATCTGCTGAACAGTTGCAGACAGAAGCTGCTAAAATTCAACCCAGCACTTCAGCCACCCAGGAATTTTATGAACCAGGCTTAGAATCAGCTGCTAGTGCCAAATTGGATGATTTGCAGCGTTCTTGGGAAACACTGAAAAATGTGGTAAGTTTTCATCTGGAGGGTTCAAAATAATCAGCTAGCTTGTAAGGAATAAAATGCAAAGAACTGGCTCAACTAATATTATTCTCTGCAGTTCTTGGTTTTCAGGTGGTAACAAGAATTGTTAGTTTTGATATTATCTTTGTTCTTTGTTTGAAAGCCTGTACAGGAGGGACCTCCATTAAAAAAAATTAGAAGTCATGAAGGCTGCTTTATAGTTGCCTGCAGAATTATTGGCTGTTGTCAAACTACATTTCTTAATCTATCTAACAGGGAAATCCACTCATGCTGGATGAATTGGCAAAAAAGGCCCAAGAATCGTTTCTCCAAATACTGAGTCAATGCTATTCTACACAGTAGTGCAGCATAATCATTCAGTGATGTATGAAAATAGTCAAAAGTTTTGATCACATGCTATAAATTTTAATTCTTAGCAGAGATACAGCAGCTATTATGGGTTATTAAGAACTAGGTGTCTAGCAAATAGTGCCCGTCCACTTGTTTGAGTGCATAAAATCTAAAATAAAGCATAAGAACATGCCTAGGCTTTCCCTGCTGCTTAAAGTCTGTTTTTTTTCAGTCATAGAAACTAGAATTTGACTGATGATGGTCATCGTCATTTAATATGGGTGTTTTCCTTTATAATTTATGCTTTTGAAAAGTTGTTGCAAGTTTTTTGTTTTAGTCTCATAAATCTAGGGATGTTTGAAGCAGAAGAAAGTGCAAATCCTGTTTCAGAGGTCATAATATATACTTTCAATTCCTCTTCAGATCAGTGAAAAACAGCGCACCCTCTATGAAGCTCTTGAGCGTCAACAGAAATATCAGGACACGCTCCAGTCTATATCCACAAAAATGGAGACAACTGAGATCAAACTAAATGAGAGTCTTGAACCAGCCAAAAGTCCAGAGAGCCAAATGGCTGAACATCAGGTAAAAACTTATATGTGAGAAATAGGAGAGCATGCATTACCTGTGTATCTTTAGTTCCCTTTTTTTAGATAGTAACATTCTTCATGGATGGATGCCTCAAAAACATGCATTAGTTGTGTGAACCTTCTGTAGAATAGATCATTAGAGTTTGTCCAATTGAAATTTTCAGCAAAATCTTTTGTCAAAGATTGTGTTCAGTGACACCTACAAATACGGTTCTTCATCATTAGTGCTACTAGCAAATATCTGACTACTTATAATGTTTCCAAATTTACTAAGATCATAACCAATACTGATCCATTGTAAATTGATCTAAATAGAAAATCATTGCCTTGTTAAACAAACCAAAGCACACAAGAAATTCTGTCCTGAGGGAAGTCTTGAGAAGTTATGGTCTGAATAATAAGGGAATACTTTATCAAGTAAGCAATCTGACATATGTCCCAACTGTAATCATCTAAGCCTTCTGTATGTTAGCTTGAAACTCTCTGGTGGGGTTAGTTCTTATTTCAGCAGGAACTCTGTGATGTAAAAAATATAACATTTGGCTTTTATAGCACCATGTGATGTCCTGTGCATCCAATGTGTATATACTATCAGACATGAAAGTGAAGTACCTGCTCTAAGGTATTGGTAATGCAGCATCCTTTTGTAGATACCTTGCAAACTGACTTGTAGGATAAGTTTTTACACCATGGAGTTAATCTCTAGATATTTACATATACTGCTGGATGTCCTTTGTCCGGTTAGTAAGTTTTAGTCTGGAAGCTAACTCATGCCTCTGTTTCTCTCTCACAAATGCACTCACTTTTTCATTATCTTCACCATATCTACTAGAATACTCTGCAGAAAATTTGCTAGAAGAATAAATCTGTGTGTATAATATTTACAAAATATTTCCTTCTCACAATGTGTTTGCAATTCAAGATAAGTAATTAAATCTGTATTTTGGTTATCAGCTGCATAATCCTAGCTTAAGCATCTAAAAGCAGTACTCAGCCCTTCTGAATTCTGACTCTGCTAAACCAGCAGTGAGATATATAGATATGTATTTCACTACTCTTATGTTCCTCATGCTCCCTGGAGACAGTCACCTTGAATTTTGTATTAAGCCTCCTGAGATGCTTTCTTCTCACTGATAAATGAAACATAATTTTTCTGCTCTGATTTCTAAATAGGCTTTGATGGATGAGATTTTAATGTTACAAGAGGAAATCACTGAGCTTCAGACATCATTAGCCCAAGAGCTGGTTTCAGAACCACTGGATGCAGAAGCTGGTGATCAACTGGCATTGCAGTCCACTCTCACAGTCTTGGCAGAACGGATGGCCACAATTCGAATGAAGGCATCAGGAAAACGACAACTATTAGAGGTACAATAAAAGCCTTTCAGAGTGGGTCTTTTCAATCACATTCCAGATTTTGAGAGACACTTTTGACAGACCTGTACTTTTACCAAAGTCTTTAGTCATCATTGAATGCTGATAAAGTAATTTTCAGTTCTGCTCATTCCTCACAATTCCTTTCACTAATAAATTTTTATTCTTTTTCAGCAAGCCCCTCATCTTCATGCTAGGTGATAAGTAGCCAGAAGGAACTTGGAAGCACACTGCAAGAGTCATATTTTTACACATTTATAAATTAGGGTTTTTCAGTATCCACATTGATATTTTTTAAATAGGTTCTCTTGGTATTCCTTGTCCTTCACAGGAGAAGTAATAAAGTGCAGATATCAAAAGTCATGTTATCTACAGTAAACTTTTGAGGAGTTACCTGTCCAAACTGGGAGACAAGAGAAGGGGAAAAGCTTAAAAGAAGAAATAACACCTCTTCTAAACTGTTGCATTGTTGTCTATGCTGATCTTCCCAGTGATTTTCTTGCAAACTTTTATCATGGAAGATGCCTGCCTTTATTTCTTTGTCTACCAGCTTTACCAAAAATCCTTTAATACTCAGGTGATTATTAAAAAGTCATTTAGATATAGGAATGTTGCTGTGTATATTATACAGGTGAGAAAAGGCAGTCGTGCTAAAGTTTGTCTGCTTTGAACACTGCAGGGCAGCTTTACTGTTGTACTGCTAAGAACTGCAACAGTGAATTCACAAACTCAGCAGCTGCTGCCTTCGTAATTTCCAGCATCAATCAGTTCTGAGAGACTGAGTGAGAATTGGCTCTATGGATCTAGCTGCATTAGTTCTGTGCAGTCACCCGAGACAGTGAACAAGTACTTGGAAACTATCATTGTTGTTATTTAAAAATTGCAGTAAGTTTTTCCTTCTCAGAAGAAAAATGGGGTTTATGTAAAAATAAGGGGCTGGAAGTAGAATAGACATCATACTGTTTATAGTTTGCACCCCATACAGGATCTTACAAACTTTTTGATAGTACTTAGGAGGAATTGCTAACTAATAATTTCAAGATAAAGCATAAGTCAAATATACTACTTTTAACTATGGTTATGATTCTGACAGTTACTTTAATACAATAGCACAAGTATCCCCCAATAATCCTGGCTAAGAAATATGTGTGGTATGAGGACAGTATTCGGTAATTCAACCTGTGCACTTTATAAGTCTGATTTCACAGATAAAATCTTCTCCAGGGCACTGTAGGGATGGTAAATGTAGGAATACAGATAGAACATGTAATGGAAACATTTTGCTGTTGAGGGTGTGGATTGGTAATACTGTTCTTTCTGTGGACCCAATTTAAATAACTAGAGCTTCAGAACTGTTCAGCTCTGGATTGAGACATTTAACAGCTATCATAATTCTTTAAATTATTCTAACATGCAATTATTAATTTCCCCATTGAAATTAAGCATTCAGAAAAGCTGTACGAACACTTTTCTGTGTGATGGATTTGCCCTGCACACACAGGTCTGAATTTCCTTACAGAAGTGTGGTAGGTTGACCCTGGCCAGCAGCAAAATAACCACCCACACTCCCCTCTCCCATGGGATGGGGAAAAAAATAGAAGGCAGTCAGAAGGGCTGATGAAATGTAATAATAATAATAGCTTAGTAGGCTACGGAATAATTGTCAGTGCAAGTGATGGAAAATAAGGAACTTATTCACTAATTCCCCATCAGCAGGCAGATGTTTAGCCACTTTCCTGGAATGCAGGATCTCAGCACATGTAGCAGTTGCTTGGGAAGGCAAACACCATCAAATTCCCTCTCCCTCACCCCCATCTTTCCATGAGCTTTTATTGCTGAGTATGATGTCATATGGTAGGTAATATCCCTTTGGTCAGTTCAGATCAGCTGCCCTGGCTATGTCATCTCTCAGCCTTTTTCCCACCTCCAGTTTACTGGCCTTTGTGAGAGGCAGTTGGAAAGGAAGCCTTAATGCTGTGCATACACTGTTCAGCAGTAGCCAAAACATCGCTATGTTAGCACAGTTTTAGCCACAGTTTCAAAGCACAGCACTGTACAGGCTGCAATGAAGTTAACTGCATCCCAGCCAGATCCAGTACAATCTTCTCCCCTTGTTCCATATCATTTACAGCATGGTTAGGTTCCACATTATCTTATACATCTAAATATCCTCTGACCATCCTGCTCTATCTGTTTCTTATTCTGCAAATCCCCTCTACTCTCTCCAGAGCTCTGTATCTCTTGTATTGGGGAGCACAGAACTAGTCACAGTACTCCAGGTGCAGACTCACCGGTGTCAAGTAGAAGAATTAGATCACCTCCCTCAACCTGCTGGCAACACTCCTCCTAATACAGCCCAGAATACCATTAGCCTTCTTTGTCACAAGAGCCCATTGCTGGCTCATGTTCAACTTGGTGTCCAACAGGACCCTCAGGTCCTTTTTTGCCAAACTGCTTTCCAGCTGGTCAGCCTCCAGCATAAAGTGGTATCTGGGGTTGTTCATCCCCAGGTGCAGGACTTCCCTTTTTTCAACTTCATGTGTTTCCTTTCAGCCCATTTCTTCAGTCTGTCAGGGTCCATCTGGATGGCAGCAAAACCGTCTGGTGTATCAGCCCACTCCTCCTATTTTGTAGCATCAGTAAACTCACTTATTACTGGCCTCTCACTAGACTTTGTGCCACTGATCACCATCCTCTGGGCCCAGCTGTTCAGCCAGTTTTCAGATTTGTCTTGCTGATCGCTCCCTGTCTGTCCAATGGATGGACCAGCTGATGGATGGAGACAGGGAGTCTGTGTTGCTGTGATGCTGTTGCTGCAGCAGCCTTTGGAGTTTAATGTCCTTCCACACTCCATGGCACAGGAGTCCTCTGAGAGGCTGGACAGGGTAAACAGCTCTTCAGTCTTCTCTTTACCCACAGTGGCTACCCCAAAGACCACCAGTATTCTGTTGGACCCTTGAAATACCCCTCTCGTGCCTCTCTTGAAAGACTAGAAATAAGGCTAACAGCCTTCTGCTGCCGAAAAAGACAAAGCTGCTCTCCTTTCCCTGTAGTCCACTCCCAGCTCTGTGTCTCCATGCATCTTTCTCCCTAAGCAAACAGTGCTGTGCTAGTTGAGCAAACAGTCAACGTGGGGGGAAACCCAGAGGAGAACAGCAACAGGAGGCAGAAAAGACCTCACCTTTAGAAAGCTGTAATAGCAGAGATCTACTGAAGGAAGTAGAAATATAGTGTCCAAACTGAAACAGCATTTCAGTCACCAGAAATGCGTGCTCATAAATTGAAAGATATTTTGTAAAGGTTTCCAACTCATGAAAGAAAGGGCTTATTATGGCTTAAAAATACTATATAGAAGTTGTGAGAGACAGAGAAGAATTTTTTTTTTTTAAATTTTAATTACTGTTGTGGTGTATTTCTTTCAAAAAGTAAAATATAATTTGCACCTCTAGGAGAAACTGAATGAGCAACTGGAAGAACAGCGGCAAGAGCAGGCTCTTCAAAGGTACCGTTGTGAAGCTGATGAGCTTGACCACTGGCTACTCAATACCCGAGCAACACTGAACTCCGCTTTGGTTACTGCTGAGGAACCTATGGACATGGAAGCACAGCTGGTGGACTGTCAGGTAAAATTATCAGTCCTGTAATGTTTAGATGAACAGGATGGACGTGGCTTTATCTGAATGAAAAGACAAGTATGGGCCTTAAATGTTAAGACCATTATTGAGTGGTATGAGCCAGCATATTAGTGGAGAAATTTCTGAGCTCCTTAGCACCTCATATATGCTCAGTTAGTTTTGTCTATGATTTGTGAAATGAAATATAGCCTGTTCTTCATTTCTTATTAAACATTGCAAATAGTGCTTTATAGAAAGTGCATGTAAACATAGCAGCAGGAAAACAAAATACTCTGACTGCAAGAACATTTGAAGCTCTACAACTTTTGGAGGGCATTTTGTTTTGCTTTAGAGGCCTTATATTCTCTTCACTTACTGTTTTGCCTCCACTCAAGCTAGAGCTGTTGAACAACTCGATATGTGTCAAAGCACCTACAGTGTGCTTTCCTACTCCTTTTCCAGCTGAAGAACACACTCAGTCTAGTTATGACACCCAGTCATAACTGGGACAGCGTTGTATTTTCTTCAGGGGTGATCCCTTCCCACATTCAAAAGTAAAGTGTAATCATCAGTAGTTACTATTTTTATTAATGGAATATTATAAATCAACCCCAAAAACCAAAACAATTGAGGGAAAATATTTTACTGCAATAGGAGTAATTGCATGTACATTAACAAGACTTGGATCAGTCATAATGTCCAGGTTCTCAAATTAGTGGGAGTTTTGAATTTTTAAATGAGTGTTTAGAACTGTGTGATCATTATAACTAAAAGTACAAGATAAACAAGAGACAGGTGGACAAATGATCCCCTTTCATATTAAAGAATGAGGATCTTGACTATTTTAGGATAAATGGGAGTTTCACATGTCTGATGAATTAAACATCTAGTTAAATTTCCACTGACACGGCTTCATTATTGGAATTTTCAGTCTGCTCAGTCTCAAGTGTTCTTTCATCAGCCATTCTTGGGAGCTGTTTATTGTATATAGATAAACCCTGTAAACTTAAACAAAGCAGTACTTTTTTTCAATAGAAACTCAAAAGTGGTGGAAACTCAAAAAGAACAGTTAACTTAATGGAAAAGCTAATACTACTTCTTTTGCTGGTTCTTAAAAATCGTAATACAATAAGTTTTATATAAAGTCCTATATTTTTTCCACTTTTTAAAGACTCCCTATCTTATCATGGATGCATTCCTTCAGGAGGAATATTTGTAAGTTTATACTTGACGGTTGCTATGAAAACAAGAACATTTGATGTCAGACTAGGTTTTTGAGCAGGAATTGTAGAAGCTTTGAGTTTGGAAGATCAAAATATGCACTGTGTAATACATGAATGGTTAGTGGAATGTCAGGAAAGTAGTTTTTGAGAATACACATGCCAGAGATTTGTCACTTTAAGTCTCTCTTTAGACTAAAGAGGATTATACAGAAATCCTTAAATCCATCATGCACCAATCAGAATGAGCAAATAGTGAGAAGAGAAGCTTATCAGCACAGCCAGAGTAGTACATAGGAGGAGGTAGGAAGCATTTCGCTAAATATACATGAAAGGGAAGGGAAGAAGTAACTCTAGCTGTGTGCTCTGTTTCTTGTCATTATGAATGTCAGTCTAGCATCTTAGCCACCCTTACTAAATTTAATGTGCAAATAAAGAGCATCTCTGCAACAAATCCTTTGTTTCAAATAACTTTTTCATTCCTATTTTGAAAAAAGTTGCAAACAGAAATGGCAAATACAAACGTTTGCAAGCATTTTCCTAAGGACTCTGAAAGGGACTGGAAGGCAAAACAATGATAATCTGACTTGCCCTTAGCTTGGCGATGGGTGAGGTAGGCCACAGGTCATCTTGTCAGAAAGTGTGACAGATGCTGGAAAATGTATGAATTTGGGTCTTTATTTTTGCTGCTGCAGAACATGCTAGTTGAAATAGAGCAGAAGGTGATAGCCTTGTCAGAGTTGTCTGTGCACAATGAGAACTTGCTTATGGAGGGGAAGGCTCACACCAAGGACGAGGCAGAGCAGCTGGCTATGAAGCTCAGGACACTGAAGAGCAGCCTTCTGGAGCTGCAGAGAGTGCTTCACGACAAACAGACCAACATTCGGGTAAGTGACTCTTTTCCAACTGCCTTCGTGGTGGGCAGGAGTTTGGAGGATTTTGTAGCAGTTTCATGGAACTGGGAAAAGGAGTAAAAGTATTTCACTGATTTAGTTTGGGATATTCATCTTTAGTTAGTAAATGGAGTTACACTCCAAAATAAACAACTGTCTAGCAAGCTTTAGCTTATAATTTTCAAGTTACAGCACCACTTCATGGTGAAACTATCCTAACCTAACTATCTTCACTAAAAGGACAATAATAAAGTAGATGATTATCTTGGTCGAGATATACTCTATTCCTGTTCCCATTCCCTTTAGATTGCATGCACTCTGGGGCAGGATCCCTCCCCCAACAAAAGGACAATCCCAAAGACTAGCTTTCCTCCATACAGTGTGCACAACACAATGAGCAGATAACATTAAGATAATGAAACATTTTCAAATATGGCTAATACTTAGTGGTATCATTACACCAAAGAGAATATTATATAAACAAAACATTTAACCTCAGTCTTGTCCTAGGTTTCTATTCTTAGCAGCATTAGTCTGCTTATTGCCACTAGTTCATTTTATTTAACAGTTGGTTTTGGTCATTCTTTAGGTTGAACTAGCATGTGGAGAACCGAATACATACAAGAAACCCAATGATGTAATGGACTGGCTGGTTTTGAGTTTGTTTGCCCTGCTGTGACTCACTCCCCCCTTTTCTTTTACTTCTTTTCTGAGCTTTTCTGTGCAAATTAAACATGATAAGCTTCAAAGATTTCTAGCTTGTAATACAGATTAAAGTCTACTGAGAGGTTAGCTTGAAAAGTCACTTGACTTGCTAAGAACTATTTTTAGTCCAAAGCAACACAATAACTATAAATAACTATAAAACACAATAACTATAAAACTTAACACACCAAAACAAAATAGGTATAGGCAGTATAACATCTTCAAATTTTCATTGAGCAATTTTTTTTAGATGAGAGAATCTATAATGTCTTTTTGCAATCAGGCATAAAGTGTTTCATATGGACAGAGGCTCAGAGCATCAGATGCCGCAAAATGCACTAACTCTGTCCACTGTCATTATTAACCCCGAAAAATATTACATGATAACAGCACTGTTGCTCATCCATGTAAGGAACTGAGACTTATACGTGTTTCTAGATGTACTGATAACCTTGTAATTGCCCAGAGGCATAGACCAGCCTGCACTCAGAAAAGGAATGATCCTCACAAATTGCACTGCAAGACCAAGAGCATTGTATAGGCTAGCTACATTTTCCTTAAAGCAATAATTTCAGCATATCTATTATTCCTGTGGCACAAGGTTTTTAAGGAGCCAGTGTGAGATTCTGTGACTTCCTTGCAGAAATTTCAGTTTTCCTTCTGATTTTAAATAATTAATGTCACTAATATGGTAAAAGTGATTTGAAGACCAACTTCTTTATTCATAAAATAAAGCAGTGAAGCTAATCAGAAATATGCTGTATCAGTTCCACACTACACTGATTCCAAATGTAGCATTTTTCAAGCACTTTGAAAGCTATACAAAACATTGCCTTATTACTGTTATCTACTAAATTCTGTGACTTAGGGTCAATAAACATAAATAGACTCCTTATAAAACAAAGTAGTATAATAGACTCTGAAGTAAAAAACACAGCGTTTCTTTACTTTTTATTACAAAGTCTGTGTGTGCGAGGGATTACTTCAGTTCCACATGACAAATATGCCCAATATAAGTTTGTACAATTCTTTGCTCCTTTGAAAGCTCAATTTTATCACTATTTTCTTTAGGGATTTTCCAGTTATTTCTGTGCTGGAGTGGATAGTCCCCAGGAATGACAGCTTCAAGCATTTATTTCCTTGGTTATTTAAAGGAAATGCAATACACTTCCTTTATACAGAATTCAAATGAAAATGCAAGTGTATTTTTTCAGACTTATATTCTGTGATTTGAGAATCATAAAATCTGGTTCACAAATAATTTTGATGTAAAAAGTTTGCACAATAACATATTTGCAAAACCTCATTGCATCCACAGATGTCACCATTCCTCTTACACGCTTTGCTATTGCAGGAACCGTGGGACTACTACTTATTTGTCTTAGTATAACTCCAAAATTCTAGCTTCTCAACCCCCTTCCCAGAGAAGAGAAGACTGAAAATCTAGCTGAAATCAATCAACCTGTTGAAATTCAGTGAAGAACTAGATAATATTCTCTGAAGAAGTTTACAAGTTGAACAATTATTCTCCCCATAGCATATAAAATAAAGCAGATTTTTTTTAACAATTTACAGACATGCTGTCTTATTTTCTCATTTTGAATAGAAAAATTAAAATTCCAGACCTTCTTTATCCCTCACATAATATTTTCTTTGCCTAATCTGATATCATATGATGACATTGTTTGCACTCCAGTCAGGTCAGCTTTTCTAGAAACTTGCTCCTACAAAGTATCACAGCTTACCTGCAAACTGAATCCTTAGTGAAACAAAGTTAAAGTAAATCCAGAGAGTTGTGTAGATCTAAGTAGCCAGACCTACAGGTCTGTCTTTAACATTAGGCCTAGTATGTTGAAATCCCTACATTTGAATACATTGACCACTAAAATAATTTAAATTTGCAGCTGTCATGAATTTCAGAAGTCTGTTAAGGCATTGGCTCTTTTTTGCTTTGCTTACACAGGAAGCCTGTTGAATCGCTCATGTTGGAAAACATGATAGAAGTATGAAGTGAAGGAACCGTTGCTTTTGCTGTTCTGTTATAACATTCTGTGGTTTGATCTCTCTTATTGTCTTCACTGTTCGTATCATATAACTGACTGTGTTTCTGCCAACCACGGATAGAGTTATGTACTTAGTGATAAATAAATTTTGACCAGAGTCAACCAGCATTCTGTAATTTTGGTTAGGCAAAAAATTGGCTTTAATTCGACTAAATATATGACAGAAACAACCTATTGATTCCCTGCATTGCCAGTTAAAGCTGCAACCTCCATTATAGATCAATGCTGCTTTTTAGAAGCAGGATAGTCTTCAGAAACACATCAGTCCATGGTCTCTGAGCTCTGATTCTGCTAAATGCAGTAGTGCATGTTTATTTTTACATTTTTATGGATGCTTTTTTTGCTAGTAACTAATGGCCAGTAGGAGTCCAAAAACTAAAGTCATTGCTCACTTCAGAATTGATGTGAGCCAGCAGTTTGAGAGGTGGAATATGGCATTACATGCAGTTGAGTTGATGAGCTGGACCTGCCAGCTCTCTAGTAATGTAAGAGATTTTGTAAAATCTTTATTTCTTTCTCTTAAAGCAGGGATCATTACAAGAAAAGGAGGAGAGTGATCTGGACTTTGTTTCCTCACAAAGCCCCAGTGTCCAAGAATGGCTGGCACAAGCAAGAACCACTCGCTCACAGCAACAGCAGAACACCCTGCAGCAACAGAAAGTTTGTGTTTTGCATTTCTTTTAGTCCCATCTTTAGATTATACTTAACACTGTAACTGAGCCATTCTTTTTAATATTTCCACTGAAATCTTCATTGTTACACTGTTTCTTACTCAGTGTTTTGTAAGGATGCATCTGAGCTTGCTATTTTATATCTGAAACAGCCAGGCAGACTAGACATCCTGGGTGAACATGTTCAACTCACTTAATCTCTCTATACTTCCATTGTCCATTAGAATCAACCCTTAAAGTTACTCTAAGGAGATAATGATATTTGCTCAAAATAGTAATCAACATTGGTTTTTATAGTGACCAATATAGCAAAATAACAAGCAATTTATTACAAAAACTCTAACAAAATAGCAAGCAAAGATACACACATTACGAGGTATGTTGTGTTGCATGATACCCAGACATCCTCACTAGATTAGGTTCCAGCAACTGCTTTGCATTAGTCGATTAGCTCAGCAATCCAGTTTATGTACCCATTTTTTCTGTCGCTGCATGGAGATTTTGCACTGCTTTTGGTGCTTAAGCAAGCCATATCAGAAATAGTTAATCTATCTTTGCATGTCATTATGCTACATAGATATATCCTTCCAAGGCAAAAACAGTCTGTTTGAGATTTGTTTTGGTTTTTGTACCTAACTATGTTAGGAGCTGGAACAAGAGCTAGAAGAGCAGAAGAATCTGCTTCGGTCAGTAGCATGTCGTGGAGAAGAAATCCTAACGCAGCAGGGTGCTCCAGAAGGCCTATGTATAAGGTCTGCTTTCATGTGTTCTGCAAAATAAATTTCTATGACTCTGCTTTGTCATCCTTATGTTTACATCCTTCTTCCGCATATAATGCTCTAGTTTTTGTTTTATCACTTTTATACAACACCTAGAGTACTAGAGTGTGGGTCTGTTAATATATTAACACAAACTGTTTTGTGATAACGGATTACCTTCAGGCAAAACCAGGGTGAACACTATCAGCTAAGAATCAAAGAGCAGTCAACCATTCAGTTAAAATACTTCCCTGAAGTATCTCAGTAGTAGTGAGCACGCCTGTGGCTCCTCCAGCATGCCAACATGAAGGTAGTTCATGAGGCAGCAGAACCAAGATTTATGCATAGGGAATGTAAGCTGTACTCTGTAAATTCTTTTTCTCAGCATTTGTGTCAATTCAATGTGGTTTTTTTATTACAGTGCTAGAAAGTACTTATCTCTTTCTGTTTGAGGCTCCTTCTGTCACATGATGTTATATTACAGAAAGAAACGAAAAAATAAGATAAAAAATGCTGAATTTCTTTGACTGTTTATCAAAGCTAAACTCCTATGCTTGTCCTGCATTAAAATGTCGGAGTATGTCTGGCATTTTGAGAGAGGAGGTGAGGAAGGAGTCAGGTCATTTTTATTTTTTTTTATATTTCATGCTTTGAAGTAATGATTGTTCAAAGGTTAAATTGCAATGTAGAATATATTCAGTGTGGTTTGGGTTGTTTTATTTGATACGGATACTTGCAAATCTAAACAGTTTCTTAGAAAGTACATTTTATCCCATTAGGCAAGAACTTCTTGCTCTTATGAAACAGCCTTTGTCTTACTATCTGAAAAAAAAACCCAAGTCAAAGCTTTAAAAAGTAGCACTTAATTGAAATGTAGAATTTCTCAATTGAAAGAGGAAATAAACACCTTATACAGTTATAACTTTTGTATTTGTTAAACATTTATACATCTTCCCATTCAGTGACAAGCCTGATATACTCTCTGAGGAATTAGGCTTGGAAGGTGAGAAGCCATCATCTGAAGAACAGATGAAGGTGAAATGGGAAAGCCTGAACCGGGAATTCAATACCAAGCAGAGACTGCTCCAAAAGGCTTTGGAACAGGAACAGCTGGTAACCATTTTTAATTTCTCTTTGCATTTTCACTATGAAAGCAGTTGTCACAGCATGAAGTACAATATGTGCATAGCAGACGCATTAAGGTGATGTAGTTAATGTAAAAAAGATGGAACAATTTATTTTTGTGAAATCTTTAAAAACTATTAAATATTGGCACTAGCACTGCTCTTGTTCAAATTTGAATTGTACAATCATTCAGGTGAATGACCTAGAAAAGTCTCAGACAAAATTTTGATCTACTTATCTAACCCAGAATAATTCTGTAACAAATCATCCTTCTGGAATTGACCAGTAATCTGGCAACAATTTAAAGGAAAAACTGGTGTTTTCAGTTTTAATTTATTGGTTACATTCAGTTCTTGATCTTAGTGTGTATGTGACAAAGAGGCAAGTGATTTCAGCCACAGAATTTTTGCTGAAAGAAACACGGATTGATCAACTAAACCAGGGACAATTCAAGATTTGTATTAACATACATCATCCATTTTATTGTTAATAGACCCAGGCCCACCGTTCTTTATATAACACTACATTAAAATCAGCTTCCAAAGTTCTAAATATCTTGTATTTGTTCAAGGGTAATTAATGATTTTTTGGTAAATAAATTTTGCTATTGCTAATTCTAACTACAGGTATTTATCCTGCACTTCTAGTGAACCTCCTGTTGAGCAGTCTTTTATTCAAGATATTTATGACACTGAACAGTCATGGGAGGACCTTGAGCATTTTTTGGTGATATCCTCAGTCAGCAGTAAAATCTGTATAGCTGAATTTTGTGCCCTATATATGGTAGAAGCAAGCTAATTAGTACTTCTCTCTCAGCAGCTTTATAGCAGACCAAACAGACTGATATCTGGAATGCCTCTGTATAAGGAGGAAGGACAGGATGAAGATAAATCCTCAGTGTCACCAGTATTGGATGAATTGAATCAGGCCTTTGAAGATGTGTCATCTGAGGTAACATTTCAATTGTCTTTACACCTATCCTTCAGCAGAACCACATTTACGATGAAAACTCCTCTAGCTCCTACCTGGAAATCCAGCCCTTTCCAAAATATTACAAGTTAGAAAGAGTATCTTGTACTTCTGTTCTGGACTTCTTTGGTTCCTTTTGCCCAGGCTGGACGGGTGGAGGAGAGCCTGCATCTTGAAGAGAAGCTGTATGATGGTGTAATAGCAACCTCCCTGTGGCTAGATGGTGTGGAAGAACAGGTCTTTGTTGCTACATCTCTGTTGCCAGAGGAACAAAGAGAAACATACCTCTGCAAGCAAGAGGTAAGGAATCCATGAACAGGACTTCCTTTAAATTGTTAATAAGGATGCATTTTATAAAGTGTTTAGAAAAAAAATACTAGAACCCTGGATAAGTGACATGTCACTGTCATGATCTCTGTGTAATTGCAGTATTCTGCTACTGGTAGAAGTAACTTTATTGACCATGTAGAGAACGTTTCAAAAAGCAGCACCTTGACCCAACTTTTGCCTGATCAGAGGAGAATTAAACATAGAATCTGTCTTTTGTTTAACTTCTTTGCTAAGTATTAGCAAACACCACATTATTGAAGTTGAAATGAATTGGAAAAGAAGAAATAATGCTGTGGGATATAGGAACAGTACAAATTCATCAACATGAAATGGGAGTGGAAGGGGAGGGGAAGAGAGGGAGTGTGGGGAGAGAGAGAGGTGGTAGGACAAGTGGTAATGGTTTTAAACTAAAAGAGGGTAGATTCAGACTAGATATAAGGAAGAAAATTTTTTTTACAATGAGAATGTTGAAACACTGGAACAGGTTGCCCAGAGAGATTGTAGATGCTCCTTCCCTGGAAGTGTTCAAGGTCAGGTTGGATGGGGCTCTGAGCAACCTCATCTAGTTGAAGATGTCCCTTGCTTATTGCAGGGGAGTTGAACTAGGTGACCTTTAATGGTCTTTTCCAACCCTAACCATTCTATCATTCTGTGATTCGACATAATTTTGTTTCAGCACTTGTTTTCCTCAGAGCAGTCTGGGCTTTTTATTATCAGAAATACAGTAGCTGCATAACTTTGTCTAGGGTGTGTATATTAACAATGTAAAAAAGTCACTGCATTACTGTAAAATTGATGATGGCTATGGCAATATGTTTGCCTGTTTTACAGAATGTCTGATTGTCACTTTGTTTTGTTTTCTACAAAATCAGTCTCTTGCCAAAGAAATCAAAGACATAATGGAAGAAATGGATAAGAACAAGAATTTATTTGCTAAGATATTTCCTGAGAATGGTGGCAATAGGGATATCATAGAAGACACTTTGGATTGTCTCCTGAGAAGACTGACCTTACTGGAGTCAGTAGTAAACCAGAGATGCCATCAGATGAAAGGACAGCTCCAACAAATAGTGACTTTCAAGGTATGAAGGAATTATCAGGGGTAAATATCAGATGGGCATATAAAGGATGTGGTTTTCAAAGCAATGAGAATTTTTGGTACCAGATAAAACCAACAAGGTTTTCACAGGTTTTTACTGAAAAATCAAAGAACTTCTACATGAAACTTGGCACCCAAATCATGATCCAAAATTTAAACTCTCTGCTAGAAGCCTTCTGTAACTCATGCAATTATTGTAAAGTGATCATTCATCCCATGCGTTCTCATCCTGCTGACATTACATAAAAGGAAATTGTTGACTACTGTTCTCAAAGGAGAAGCATCTATAGAGTTCCACTATATATATTTTATAATATCATATGTGATAGAGTACAGTTTTATATTAGCAGAGATAGGGTAGAAAACAATACTGATTCCCACCTTTCTTACCATCTTTAGACCATTCTGTTACTCTACAAAAGCTTGTATTTCAAGCCATCTGTATTAAGCAAAGCAGAAAAAATGATGATAAGTGGAGCTTTTAGAAATCTTTTTAAACAGTGTTCAGAAATGCTTTCAGATCTTACTTGGTCTCCCTCTTCTCTCCTATTTTCATAATATGTACCTTCTAGTATGTTTAGTTTTAAAGAAAAAACATAAATTACAACAAAAAAAAAGTAGAAAACAGATTCCTGGTGTCTTTGGATTAGGATCATCATTTCATAGGTTGTTACTGCAGGATTTTTCTCCAAACTCCATAATCTTTCCTCTGCAGCAGATATTAAAAAAAAAAAAAAAAAACAACAAAAATCAACATCTTTCAGTGAAAGGCCTTCCTTTGCTGAAGAAAGCAGACAAGTTGGTTAGAAGCCTGTGCATTATTGTTACACCAGAGATATTTAGTATTTAAAAGAATTACTGCATAAAAATAATTAGTAATGAAGCCCTTATATAATGCTGAAAGTCTTAGAAAAATGTGCAGATAATTTTCTGTTGGCATGAATGCATTAAAAAAAAGAATAATTTACTGTAGCTTGGCAAAATTCTTAAGTAATGTTTATGTGTCTAGTCTGATAAGGTACTCTAAAAGTTGTAATGTGTAGTTAGTCCTATAATGTGTAGAAGCCTTGTTTACTTTGTTATATTTCTCGAGTTTGTAATTAAAAAAACTTACCTTAAAAAGTAACACCTAACTTTTTTGCAAACAGATATGGTTGAATAAACTACACAAGAATAGCATATCTTTGTTAAATAAATCAAATGATCCTTGCTAATTATTTATCTAATTGGAAGACAAAAGCAGAAGTGCGTTCACAGGTTATGTTTTGAATAGGAGTTGCTTTAACTTTTAGCTCATCTGTATCCAGTTATGGAATTTTGGCAATGTTAAATGCTTTGCATTGACTAATTATGATGTTTCCAGTTTTGAATAGATTTATGCCTTAGTCCTGATATTGTAACATTGCAATACTTTATACTTTTTGGAACATATAATATTTTTCAGCTGGTTTGTACTGTGATTTGTTATAGTTTGTTGTTGTCTCCTGTAGAATGATCTGAAACTCCTGTTTACATCGGTGGCTGATAACAAATATTTAGTTCTACAGAAACTAGCAGAGGCAGTTGAGAGACCAGAAACAGAACAAATGCAGGTATTGCCAAATGACTATTACCTGGGGAGGGGGGAAGAGGTAAAGTTTCTATTCAAAGTATATATGGATTCTAGAGAATAGTTGCTTTTTATGGGAGAATGTATGTGTTCACATAAAGTATGTGAAAATGAGTACTTCCAAGAGTACACTAAACATGTTTATAAATTTAAAGAAAACCAAAACCCAAACCACAACACGAAGTGTCTTTCTTTTCTCCTCAACTGTCCTAGTTATGCATAAACTTGGCAGTATTTGAAAGAAAGAAAACTTCAAGGAGCCAAAACCAGTCTAAAGTTTGGATAAATGGTTTGGCTCTTACACTTTATTAAAAACTGAAGTCACTTTCTTCTGCACTGGTCTATAAAAATATCTTGGCTGTTACTTATTGTAATTTAAGACAATAATTGTTTTTTCTTTATCAGGAATTGTGTGAGGAATAGTTAATTATTAATATGTCAAAATATATCATGTTTCCTTGCTTCTCTTTTGCCAATGTGAAAAGTGAATGAAGTATGCTAAGGGCCAGTTTCTACAGATGTTTCTTGTTACCCAAGGGTTACTGATGTGTGATGCCAGCAGGTGACTGAGAGGAAGAGACTTACTGTACACATAAACAGAAATACTGGGCTTTATATACCTGATAATTAAATTTTGAAAGAATTTTAAGTCTCCTGTATGAATGAGAGAGCTGATACTCTGTGTCTTTTTTCTGTCTTCCATGATGCAAAAGATTGGTAAAAATTAGTCTACTCTATGATTAATTTAACTACCAAATAGGAAAACATCATGGTAACAAAAGCAACTGAATTTATTTGTTTCTGAACATCTACCTTGGCTGATAAAACATTCAAATTTAAAAGCTTTGCTGTTTGTTCTAGATGTGATTGGGAAAGTGGAAATAAGGCCCTTAATCAACCGGGTAGCTTAGCTGCATGAAGTGTATTTAGTTACTGTGTTGTTCATACTCCATATTACTGGGAGTCAGGAGGTCTACTCACATATAGTTTAAGCATATGTGGATAGGCAGTTTCCAAGAAAGGGCCTTAACAAAGGACTTTTAACTGCAGGAGTCTTACCTTGTGTTTTTATTTTGTTATAGCTTGATTGCATTACTTTAGCAGAGACTCCTAGGTTGAAAGACCTAGGAAAGCTTGTGGTTTCCAATGAAAAATACATATGTCTGCAGAATACCAACCTGCATTCTTAAGTTAAAGTTTTTCCAAGGGCAAAAGGGGATGTACAAGTTCTTTTCCTTGACGATAATTTTGGCCCTATCCTGGTCCTGAAAGGGAACTATGCACAGGTCTTTGCTATCATGCATGACTTCTGCTGTGATGGTTGTTTGCTTGGTGCCTGGATAAGTAAGGAATGAGTGTTAATAAAAAGAATGCTTTAAAGGAAGGTGTTAGAACAATTAATAGTCCTTTTGTGCCTGTACTATATAATTGAAAACATGGAACTTCACAGCAATGTTTGGTATAAAATATTACATGATACTAAACCAGCTTGTTATTAAAGAACAACAATACCATATTGTATTTAAGAAACAAGCTAGGCTCTCCCAACTTTGAATTAATATTTTTTCTTCATAGTAACCTTTACAGTTTCAGCAGATTGAAGAAGTGATTAATACTTCAGGCAGAAAGCAGAAAAGAATATTACCATATGGCAACTACAGTATTTTTATTAAACCTTCAAACTAAACTCTGTAATTTTCAAATATAGGTCATACTGCAGGCAGAAGAAAGTTTGAAGGAACTAGATGCTGGAATCAATGAATTAAAGAAGCGTGTAGACAAACTAGAAATTGACCAGTCTTCTGTGCAAGAGCTGTCTAAGATCCAGGTATGGTTCGTAAATTCCATACTAGACATGTCTGGTGATATCAAAGGTAGTATTATCCACCTTTTTATTGTTCATAAGGCAGTTTAGGAAAGTGTATTTTAAACCATTTTAGTGTGTATAAAAGATTATTTTCTCTCTGACTCAATTAGTTTTTCTTCTTTTGCATTTTAAAATTTTCTAACTTCTCTATTATTAGCAGTATTAATCATAAAAACACAGAAAAACATATTTTGTTTCAGCTCTTCTTGATTCCCTGTTCAAACAGATGAAGTTAAATGTGTAAATGTTTGCCGAAGGTTGATTCCTGTTCTCACCAGTGTCTCATGATCTGGAGTTTTGTTCTGTCTCAAATCTGTCATGAAAAAAACAACCCAACAGGAGGATGAAAGAGGACAGTTAACAGTGACCTGAAACTCAAAATGTTCTGCTTTTACTAGAACACCTCTCATGTTCCTGCATACTTTCAGTTAGACTTGGTTTTGAACACACCTAAAGTGTAGGACTCTGTTTTAAAGGCTCTCTGAAGTAGATACATGCAGGCAATTGATCCAGAATTTCTATAAGGCTGTTGAAACTTCTCTGTGAACATTTTGGTTCTGAAGCAGGGGAACACTTAAGGAAATATCAAGGAGGATGTTTACAACTGTATTTTACTCGTTATAATGACATAACAGTAAATTGGAAGCAAAGAAAACAGCTGAAACTGGACCATAAACTTATGAAGCCAATGAAGCAGTAATCTCAATTAAAAATGGATGACAGTTTGTGCAAATGTGTCTTTTGTCCAGTTCTTTATCCCTTCAGTTTTAGAGACTCCTACTTTTTTTTTCTTTTTTTTTTTTCCTCTTAGATTATGTATAGATATCCCCCTCCCCTTGATTTCAGTTTTTAGAAAAGCCTTCCTTTTACTTTTTTGACAGTTGGGCTTCTCATGCTTTTCTCTTTAAAGCTAGGAGAGCCAGATGCAGTCTGAGGGTGGGTACTTTGCTGTAGTACTGGGTGGTCATAGAGATATTTTGGTTTGTTAGTTTCTGGATGCCTTGTCTTGATTAAGATTATGGGCTTATCCTCACAGTCAGATGTATTTTCTGAGAATACAGTTCTCAAATTAAAAAAAAAAAAAAAAAAAAAAAAAAAAAAAAAAAAAAAAAAAAGGAAGTAATCCTGTTCAGAAAAATAAAAACATCTGTTCTCACTTTTATGGGTGAAGTCTACAAGATGAATAATAGCACATGGGAACTGATGAAATTATTACTTTTGTCTTGTTTTGTAATTTGGCAGTATGGGCACACTGTGAAACATACACTGCACTTTTTCTATACTTTACTGTTCTCTATAAAGTATATTGCTATTTTAGTGTATCTGCACAGCCTTTTTGTGCTAGGAATAGAAGTTACTCTGATAGTGTTCTCAGAAGAATACAAGGGACGGTAAGGTTGCTTCTAGGAAGACATGTGTAAGGTGTGAAATAATAATCACCATTGCTGCTCTTTGCCCCCAAGGATAAGTATGATGAGCTGATGATGATCATTGGATCCAGACGGAGTGACCTGAATCAGAATCTGGCTCTTAAGAGGCAGTATGAACGGGCTTTGCAGGACCTGACTGACCTGGTAGAAACAGGCCAAGAAAAGATGGCTGGTGACCAGAAAATAATTGTTGCTTCTAAGGAAGAGGTTCAATTGCTACTTGACAAACATAAGGTAAGAAACTGACATATTTCAGGATTAATCATGATTGTAAGCTTGTACACATCAAACCTTCTGTTCCTAAAAGTTCAGGAACTTTTCAGAATGGTGGGCCAGTATTAAATCAGGATATATTAAAACTTACTGTATTTTAAAGTGGAATCAATGAACTGTTCTGACTGAATGACTTTCAAATGCTCTGTTGAAGGTGAATTCAGGTAAATCACATTTTCTTCCTTATTCTAGTAACAGATTTGTATTCATGTCCTGTCATGCTATGTAGAAATTTCTACCACCACTCCTCTTTTTTTTTTTCCAACAGAAATATATGTTTGCTAATAACACATACAAAATATAACAAAATTTTTCCACATTTCTTTAATTAAGCAGTATTTTTTTGGTGGTATATATCTGGTCTAAGATATTTTTGTTTATGGAATGAAAGTTGGGATGGCATTTGTGTGGAAAGGATGACCTCTTTCTTTCTTTAAAAAGGCCATGGCCTTTTAAAATTCTGTGTTGGATTTTGTGATACAGAGTGAAAAGTTTGCTTAATTCTATGTCTACAGATACTTGGTTATACTGCTATTGTCTTAAACTGTTTATTTAATAGTAATGAATTGAGTAACAATTGCACTTTCTCTTTCCTATTCTGTCTTCACCCTCTCCCCTACACCCAAATTTCCCAGGAATATTTTCAGGGGTTAGAGTCTCACATGATCCTGACAGAAACACTCTTTAGAAAGATGAGTAGCTTTGCCCTCTTGAAGAAAACTCAGTCACATTCAGAGCTAATGACACAAGCTTCAGCTGTATTAAAGCTGGCTCATAAACGAGGCGTAGAGCTGGAATACATTCTAGAGGTGAGAATTTCTGTGGTCTTTTCTGTACTGCAACTGTGATCAACCACCAGAATATTCCATAATGTTAATTTCCTGTGCTTGGACAGAATTGATAGACATCAGTCCCTTTTGTTATACACACAAGGCACTGCTAGACTACATGTAACCTTTGCTATTTAACTGTTGTGACCTTCAGGTGACAAAAATTGTGTTCCTCTAAATTTAAAAGAGCTGCTTAGCTTTAGTCAACAAGAAGAACGTGACAGCTTTATCCATGTGTTCCAACCAAAAGTTGAGCTTCACATGGAGATGGTGTCTTATTATAAATCCACTGGACATTTGTACTGTTATTTCTGTACGTTCACAATGATGCAGCTATAGGATTTCAGATCAAGAAATCAAGTAATAATAATTCTAGATACACACTGAATCTAGATTCAGTGTTCACATTATACATGGATAATTTATGCTTGCAGACCTGGATGCATCTGGATGAAGATTACCAGGAACTTACCAGACAGCTGGAGTCTGTTGAAGATAACATCCCCACTGTTGGTTTGGTGGAAGAGACAGAGGAGAGGCTTACAGATCGGATTACACTTTTTCAGGTTGGTGTTTTTCAGACATTCATTATGGAAAAGTTGGATGAAAGGGACCTTGGAAGGTCATCTAGTTCACCCCTCCCCTTGAAGCAGAACAGTTGCCATGGGCTGGATCAGCAATGGCTTTGGAAACCTGAAAAGATGGAGATCTCGCAGCTTAGCTGGAGACCAATTGCAGTGCTCAACCACCTCCCACTGAAAAGGTTTCCTATAATACACAATCTAAACCTTCAACTTTCAGCTTGTCACCATTGTCCTTTTCATACTGTGTGACACTACTGAGGGGCATTTACCTCTATCATCTTTTTAATTCTACTCCAAAGAGTCGTAGGCCTTCCTTATTAGACTGCCTCTTAGCCTCCTGTTTTTCAGTCTAAAACAAACACATCTCCATCAGCCTCTTTTTAAAGGACATGTGCTCTAGGTCCCTAAACATCTTAATAGCTCTACACCAGACCCTGACTACTTCCTTCTTCCTGAACTCAGTAAGAGGTAGGGGCAAAGTAGAATCATATGTACTAGATGTGGCCTCATCAGCACCACGTAGATGAGGATGATAAAATAAGTTGGTTGTTCACAGTCCTAATGAAGGCCAGTGCTGTGGCTTGCTTTATTCATGATGTCTTGGTTGTGGAAGATGCCAGGTTAAATACACAGCCATTCCCTTCCTAGCCTATATTGAGAAACAGTGTTATTCTGCCCAAGGTGCAGAATTTGCACTTCTTTTTGAGCCTCCTAAGGTTTTTGCTGCCTCCCACGGCAATATCAAAGTGTCTCTGGACTAAGTCTGCTATTTTTTATCTCAATGACTCTACCTACATTAGTTTCACCCACAAATTTACTGAGGGACTGCTCTCTGTCATCATCCATGTCATTAATGAAGATGTTGAAGATGTTTGAACCCAAATATCAAGAATCTCTGGAGTATTCTGCCCATTACAGTTTGCCAGCCATCCATTAAGCCTTTGATCACTAGTGTCTGAGTCTGGTAATGCAGCTAGTTTTCAATCGATGTAACAGTCCATTTATCCAGCCCACATTCTTTCCACTTCCAGAGGAGGGTCTTGTGGGAGATGGTTTCAAAGGCCATACTGAAGTCAGTCTCATTCACAGAGACAGTAATTTTGTCATAAAAGATTGTCAAGTTAGTGAATCCAAGCTGAATATTCCTAAATACTTTTTGGTCAGTTTTGTCCTTGAAAATGGATTCCAAGAGGATGTGTTCCATGGTCTTTCCAGAGAGCAAGGTGAGGCTAAACAACCTGTGTTTCTCCAAGTTAACTTCCTCCTCAAATGCAACAAGAACTAGTAGTTTAAATACAGGTTTTTTACCACATCCTGAGTTTTTTGGTCTGTTCTCAAAATGGGAATTCTGGCCTAGTGTTTTCTTTTTTTATGACATTATACACAAGACACTTTGGTTGGGGTTATTTTTTGTTTCTTTGTTTTGTTTTACAGAAAAATTCTGCCCAATTCTTGCAAATTGACTTCTTGTCTACTCTGATTTTGTTATGTTTATTATTCTTTTACCAGACAGATTTCAGCTTTTGCAATGGCACGAGGAGAACTTAAGCAATCTATTGTGTGGAGGGTTTATTTTGGTTTTGTTTAATGCTAGGCATTGTTTGTGTTGGTCCTGACCCTAAGTTAATTTTCCTCTTCTGTTTCTCTTGTTATATAAAGTAGGTTATTCAAATCCAGATTTTTGGACTCTGCTATGGTATAACTTTTAATACTTTTTTTCTCTCCCTGGGGCCACATTTAGGTTAAAAATCCATCATAATTAGTTTATGACTATCTTTGAATTCTTTATGCCACTCTCTAGGAGTTATACATATATTTGTGTATGTATATGTAAGTAGACACACAGGCACACACATCTATAAATATAAATTTCTGTATTATTAGAGCTCTGTTTATGTCAAAGAGTAAATAAAAGCAATAGAAAGTTTATGTACTCACTGTAAGACTAGCAGTTTTGTACACTTTGTTTTCAGATTAGTTTCAACAGAAGTGGAAAATGGGAAAGCTTGTATATTTTGTGCTCAAGCTTAGTCAAATATACAGATATACAGTCCACTGACTGTTATCTGCTGCTGTTGCTTTACGTGAGCACCAGTGATACAGGCTGGAGCAGTCTCAGGAGTATCAAGGAGGACAACAACAGAGCCCTGGGAGTGGTGGTAAGGGACTCTGGAGTACAGGTCATTTTTTCATCAATCCTTGTCAGAGGGAAGGGGTTTGAAAGGCTCAGATGAACCTGGCAAATGAAGGAATGATTATGGGGCTGGTGCCACAGCCAGGGGTTTGGCTACTTAGAACGTGGAACTCACTTTGAGAAACCTTGTCTACTGAGGACTGATGAGTTCCATCTGTCACAGAAGGGGAAGAGCATCTTCAGTCATAGACTTGCTAAGCTGGTGAAGGCGGCTTTAAACTAAAGTTTCTGGGTGAAGGGAATCTATCCCACTCCTACCAGTTTGATGCCCATGTCAGCAATACATGCCCAGAGCCTGGAGAGGGATCATGGGCCATCAGGAGACCACCAGCCATTCCAGCCAGTAAGTCAGCTTCATTGGGGGCCCAGCTTAAATGCGTCTATGCAAATGCACATAACATGGGGAGTAAACAAGAGGAGCTGGAAATGTGCACATGCCTGCAGGGCTGTGATATTATTGTCATCATGGAGATGTGGTGGGATGGTTCCTATGACTGAACTGTTGGAATGGAAGGATACAGGTTCTTTAGGAAGGACAAGCAGGGGAGACGAGGAGGGAGTGTCACCCTCTGTGTCAGTGACCAGCTGGAGTGCACGGAGCTCTGCCTGGGGACGGATGAGGATCCAACTGAGAGTTTATGGGTCAGGATTAAAAGAAAGGCAGGGACAGGTGTCATTATAGTAGGGGTCTGCTACAGGCCACCCAACCAGGCAGACTAAGTGGATGAGGCCCTCTATAGACAGATAGGAGCAGCCTCACATTCCCAAGCCCTGGTCCTCATGGGGGTCTTGACTGATATCTTCACATCACGGTATCTGTTGCAGGGACAACACAGCAGGACACAAGCAATCCAGGAGGTTCTCAAGCGATAGAGGAGCCAACAAGGAGAGGTGCTATGATGAACCTTGTTCTCACCAGCAAGGAATGGCTGGTGGGGATTGTGAAGTTCAAGGGCAGTCTTGGCTACAGTGACCACAAAATGGTGGTGTTCAGGTTCTTTAGGTCAGCTAGAAGGGTGTGCAATAAGCTTGCAACCCTGGGCTTTAGGAGAGCAGGCTGTGACCTCTTCAGGGATCTGCTTGGAAGAGTGACATGGGATAAAGTTCTGGAAGGAAGAGGGGCCCAAGAAAGCTGGTTAATACTCAAGGTTCACCTCCTTCAAGTTCAGGAGCAATGCATCCCAACAAAGAGGAAGTCAGGCAAAAATGCCAAGAATCCTGCATGGATGAACAGGTATCTCATGAGCAAACTCAGACACAAAAAGGATGCCTATAGAGGGTGGTAACAAGAACAGCATTGGTGGATAAGAGAAGAGGAACTGATGTCTGCCTGGACTTGTGCAAAGTATTTGACACTGTCCCTCACAACATCCTTGTCTCTCAATTGGAAGTGACATGGATTTGATGGATGGGCCACTTAGTGGATAAGGAATTGTTTGGATGATTGAAATCGAAGAGTTACAGTCAATGGTTTGATGTCCAAGTGGAAAGCAGTGATGAGTGGTGTTCCTCAGAGGTTGGTATCAGGACCAACACTGTTTAACATCTTTGTCAGTGACATGGACAGTGGGACTGAATGCACCTTCAGCAAGTTTGCTGATGACACCAAGCTGTGTGGTGTGGTTGACATGCTGGAGGGAAGGGATGTGCAATCCAGAGTGACCTGGACAGGTCTGAGAGGTGGGTCCCTGCAAACCTCATGAAGTTCAAGAAGGCCAAGTGCAAGGTCCTGCACATGGGTTGGGGCACTCCCAAGCACAAATACAGGCTGGGCGATGCGTAGATTGAGAGCAGTCCTGAGGAGAAGGACTTGGAGGTATTAGGGGATGAAAATCTGAATATGACCCAGCAATGTGCTCTTGCATCTCAGAAAGCCAGCTGCATCCTGGGCTGCATTAATAGAGGTGTGACCAGCAGGTTGAGGGAGGTGATTCTCCTCCTCCAGTCTGCTCTTATGAGACCCCACCTAAGTATTGCATTGAGCTCTGGGTCCCCAACATAAGAAGGACATGGACCTGTTGGAGTGAGTGTGGCAGAGGGCCACAAAGGTGATCAGGGGGCTGGAGTGCCTCCCCTATGAGGACAGCCTGAGAGAGTTGGAGTTGTTCAGCCTGGAGAAGAGAAGACTCTGATAATACCTTATAGCAGCCTTCCTTCCAGTACGGGGAGGGACTTTTAACAAGGACATGTAGTCGTGGGACAAGGGGTAACGGCTTTAAACTGAAAGAGGGTAGATTTAGATTAGATATAAGGAAGAAATTCTTTCCTGAGGGTAGTGAGACACTGGAACAGGTTGCCCAGCGCAGCTGTGGCTGCCCCCTCCCTGGTAGTGTTCAAGGCCTGGTTATTTGGGGCTTTGAGCAACCACCTCTAGTGGAAGGTGTCCCTGCCCATGACAGGGTGATTGGAATTAGATGATCTTAAGGTCCCTTCCAACCTAAACCATGCTAAAACTGTGTTTTTAAATCCATACTATTTGCGTAGTGATAGTGGAATTTGGCAGGTATATTTGCCCATGTACACAAATTCATTACCCATCCCCATTTAAATGAAAGCTGTCTCTGCTCTAGGGTAAGAGTATTAAAAGCCTTTCCTTTTTCAGTACCTTTTTTCCTTTTTTGTGCCTTAACAATTGGATTCTGTGTTTGGAGATTTGGATGGGTGGTGTGATCTTCTATGTTGTAGACATGGATAGCAGGTAGATCAATAAGGAAGAGTTAGATGACTAGATACCTGAAGATAGGCTTTGAAAGGGCTGAAGAGTGGCCACTGTTAATAACTTGATATTGGACACCTTTAACTTTCATTGCAGTAGAGTTTGCGGCAAATGGTAGGCTAAGTTCTGACATTTTAATCAATTTCGCTCAGAAATGGTCTTGTCCCCAGAAGATTCTTTTGAAATTGTTCTTTTCAGATGTAAAATATCTACACCAAGGAGGAGTTCATCATAAAGAGGTGTCAATAGACATATTGAAAGGAGGGGTTTTGCTGCAACACATTCAGATTTTGAGCAGGTTACGTGCATGATGGTTCTCAGGGAATTCCAGAAATGGAGCAGAGGGAAAAAATGTGATGTGCCATGGTGACATTGGATATGCTACAAAATGCAATAAAAGAAAACCACATGTTGTGGAAATGTGGTAGCAGAGACTTCCAGAGCTATCTAACCATCTCCTTTGTCGTTACAGCATCTGAGATCTAACCTGAATGAATACCAACCTAAATTATACCAAGTGCTAGATGATGGGAAAAGGCTCCTTTTTTCTATTAGCTGCTCAGATCTTGAAAGTCAACTGAACCAACTAGGAGAACAGTGGTTAAGTAACACCAGCAAGGTTACCAAGGAGCTCCACAGGCTTGAGACAATACTGAAGCACTGGACAAGGTAATGCTGATGTAATGAACAGTATAAACAACTTCACCTGCATTGTTCAGGTCAAAGTAATTCTGAAGCCAGAACTATTAGATGCAACATTTAAAAGAAAGTACTGTGAAGGATATGTGATAGTTTGACTACAGTATCCTGCTTCTGCTCCACAGAAGTGCTGTCTCTCATTTATGATAAAACCTGTACCCAGATAACAGTTGGTGGGAGGAATTCAGAGGATATCTTATTTAGATGGCCAATTTAGAAGCCCCATGTGTGTACGTACAGGTTGATAAGAAGGGATGTGTGCTTTGCCAGATAGTATGGGTAGCCTCAGTGTGTTCTCTTAGGTGCATTGCCACTGCTGGGTTCTTGTGGTCTGTGTCATTGCGTATATGGAAGGGAGCTTTTAGCTGCCCTTATTAATGTTCACTACTTTTGAATTGAACTCTCTAAGTGATATACAAGCTTTGTCTATTATTCATAATGTCGCTAGCTTGTTGGCTCACTAGCCTTTCAAGAGAGATACATAAAGGATTTGTAAGCATAAAGTTTATGTGGAGACATTTATTCTGACATTGCATTAGTTGCTTGGCATATGAAATGACATGGAGATATTAGAAAAAAAAATATTAGATTTGTGCTCTGAGATACCTTATGGTAAAGCTTTTGGAAGATTGAGCCTTCTAATGGAAATTAAAAATCTGTTTATGTGTGTGAGGTGGTGTGCTGTTACTGCTTGCCCAAACAGATTTGTAACCTAGTTACTATTGCTTCATTAAACTTAGTTTTTGCTAAGAGGTGAAATAAAGGCACTGTTAGAAATTGTGGGTGTATTAGCTAAAATAAGAGCTTTCTGCTACCGTGCCTATCTTTAAAAGTAAATCCCATTTTTCTGAAATTTGATAAAGGGAAGAAAATATTTTTATTTTAAATCTGGCATACAGTATCTTCCTCTAACACAGGGTAGAGAGAGTGCTCAGTTGGAAGCAAGAAGTGGCGGTGACTGTTTTAGTTTTCTTTAAACATCTTTACAGGTATCAGAGTGAATCAAATGAATTGGCACATTGGTTACAATCTGCAAAGGAGCGACTTGAGTTTTGGAGCCAGCAGTCTTTGACAGTTCCTCAGGAACTGGAAACAGTCCGAGACCATCTGAACTCCTTTTTGGTAAGTCATTCATGAACCTAAGACAGCTTTTTCCTCTCCGATTAAAAATAAATTGTTGAGCAATTATGTGGTTATACTTCTTTTCAGCACTGAAGTAGTGACTATGCAAAAAAAATCTGCCTCTGTAGGTGAGATGTCCTTCAAAAAACTGGTGTGTATGCACATTAAGCACTGCTCTGCTATATGCAGTGGTTGTAAAGTGTGTGATGATACTGAAAAAAATTCTCACCAGTATAGATGGTAAACACAAATAGAAAGAGAAGGGAGGATATTCTTAGCTTTCTGAGGTAAAGATTTAAGTACAATACACAAGTAGTTGATTATTTCCACAAAAATGATTCTGCTTATAGGAGTTTTCAAAAGAAGTGGATGCTAAATCATCACAGAAATCTTCTGTCCTGAGTACTGGGAACCAGCTCCTCAGGCTGAAGAAGGTGGATACAGCAGCATTGCGTGCGGGATTGTCCCACATTGACAGTCAGTGGACAGATCTCCTCACACAAATCCCAGCAGTTCAAGAGAAACTGCACCAGGTAAGGACGGCCAGTGATGGCCTTTGATATTCCAGAAAATTCAGACCATACAGTTGGCACTGCCTTTGAGAGATTGTTGCTCCCTTCCTCAATTTATCCATGTGAGGTAAGATAGGAACAACATTACTCCTGTTTTAATGTGGGAAAGCTTACATTTCTGTCCAAATGCTGTCTATCTATACTGTCTAATACCAATTGGTGTTAGTTTTGGACTTTCACGGTTACATTTGTTAAATTATATCGAAAGAGCAGATGAGGGTTTTTTTGATATGTTGGCCCAGTTTCTTTGTACAAAGAGGAATAGAAATAAGCCTTCTATATCTTTTCTTACTAGGATGCATGCATCTCCTGTTAAAAGCTTTCTTTTTTTTTAATTTACTTTTTTTCCTTTTATAAACTTCAGTGATATCTTAGGGATGTAAAGTAACATGATAATAAGAGCAGGTAAAGCAAATGTACTATAATGCAAAGCAAGGAATTCTTATCCATTTTCTTCATGACATGCATTTTAAGTCTGTTCTCTTTACAGCTCCAGATGGACAAAATTCCTTCTCGCCATGCTATCACTGAAGTTATGAGCTGGATTTCCCTCATGGAAAATGTCATTCAGCAGGATGAAGAGAATATAAAAAATGTAGTAGGACAGAAAGTCATTCAGGATTATGTCCAGAAGTACAAGGTACTGAGTGGTTATGTTATTGATTTCCCTTTTGAATTATCCCCATTAAATATATATACATATGTAAAGTATAAGTGATTTAAGGAAAAAAAAAAAAAAGCCTTACATTGTGGAGTGGTTAGAACACAAGTTAGAACTGGGTAATATTTAATACTGTGGAAAAGATACCAAAATTACTTTTACTCTACTCTTTCGTTATGGCAGGAATATAATTTTTAATATGCTTACATTAATTTCCAGGTAAATCCAAAGCAATATGCACATGATTAAACCTTATTAGATCTATCTTTCACCCAAAACCACAAAGCACTTTGCAGATTATGTAAGTTGTTTTATGTCTGCATAATATCACCTTCTCCTCAAAGTGTAGCCTGTTCTTGAATGGAAGGTGGCCAGTGGTTTACAGATCAAGATAGTTTTGATCAGTACCTGAAGCAAAAATAGAAGATGCCATACCTTGAGATAACTGTTGAGGAGTATAGATATAACACAATTTAATTTCTTTAACTAGATCAGTAGTACTCTTGTAATAGATCTGCACACAGTGATTTTCTTCTCAATGTCAGATTTGTTTCACTAGCCTCTTGAAAAATCACTTCTTGGCTATTATTCTTCTTTATATGTAGCAATACTTTCCATCTTATCTGTTTTTGTAATAAAACTTTCGAGACTAAATTGAAAAAAACCCTATATATATACCCAGTTTTTCTTAAATCCAATCCTTGAGACCAATATCAGTACATTTTACAGATTTATTTTATGTTTTTTGGGGGGTGGGGTGTGGAGAAGGCAGATTCTTTATTCCAAAGGCAGTATAGTTCAGCTTGCTTTCTCAATATTTAATAAAAATAACAAAAATCTTAATTTCCTTTTAGCTAAATCGTGGTAAAGTTGTAATATGTGAAAAATAGAAATTATGGTACTTATGTTTGGGGTTTTTTATTCCCTTCTTTTCTACTAGGGTTTCAAGATAGATTTAAATTGCAAACAATTGACGGTAGACTTTGTGAACCAATCAGTGCTACAGATTAGCAGCCAGGATGTTGAAAGTAAACGTAGCGACAAAACTGATTTTGCAGAACAGCTCGGAGCAATGAACAGACGTTGGCAGATCCTGCAAGGCCTGATAACAGAAAAGGTAAGGAAAAAAACTGAGCTGCTCTGTAGTAAGCTTTCAAAAATGTATAGATCTATAAAATACAATGGTTGGAAACCTCTGCAGATCATCTAGTCCAAACTCCTGCTCAAAAAGAACTAACTTTACAGCTAGATCAGATTGCACAGGGACTTGCTTAGCTGAGCTCTGAAAATCTCCAAGCACAGATTCCACAAACTCTCTGAGCACTTTCTTCCTGTGCTTCACCATTCTTGTGGGAGACAAGTTTTTGCCATGTTCTCAATCAAAATTTCCCTTCTTGCAACTTGTGACTGTTACCTCTCCTCTTTTTACTGTGCATCTTCAGTAATAATCAGCCTCCATCATTCCCATACTTCCCCATAAGTAGTGGACAGAACAAGGAGATTCTTCTTCTGCCTTCTTTTCCCCAGGCTGAATGAAGCCAACCTCCCTTTATGTCATGTGCTTCAGCCTCCTAATGACCTTAGTTACCATTTACCAGTTTGTCAATCTGTCCATTGCACCAGAGGGCCCAAAGTGGGTTACAAGTGTCAAGGAGAAGGAAAGAACCACCCCTCTTGACCTTCTGGGTGCACTCTCAATATTCTAACCTAAGATGCAGTTGGCCTTCATCAGCCTGAATGGACACTGCTGTTTGTTAAAGTTACTGTCCACCATAACCCCTAGGTCCTTTTCTTCTATCCAGCTTGCTGCCAGCCTGCATTGTTGCATGAAGTTACTCTGTCCCAGATGCAGGACTTTACATCTGTCTTTGCTGAATTTTATGAGGATTGATGAGCCTATTCCTCCATCTTGCTGAGATTTCTCTGAATGGCAGACCTACTCGCCAGCATATCAACTGCTTATCCCAAATCAGCGTCATCTGTGAATCTGCTGAAAGCAGAAGGTTTTAAACAATATCAACCCCAGGACTGACCCTGAAGATGCATCTTGTAAATGACTGCCAGATAGATGTCAGAATGCTTACCACTAGCCTTTAAGCCTGATAACTCTGGTCAGTTCATTCATATGTAGAACTTCCACCTAGCTTATGTCTTCTCAATTTTGCTACCCTATTGGATACCATATCAAAAGTCTTGCAAAAGCCAAGGTAAACAGCAGCTGCTTCACTTGTCCACCGGGTCAGTCATACCATCATAGCAGAGGCAATCAGTTAGGTCAGTCACAATTTGCCCTTGATAAGACCATGCTTGATCCTCCTTGTCCTTTATGCATGTGGAAATGGCTTCTAGTAGGATTTGCAATATAGCCTTTTTCCAGCATCTTCCTCAAACCATCATGATCTTTTAAAGGTGATAGACAGCAGGCTTGAAATGACATTAATGCCCTCAGATACATCCTGTCTGGTTCCATGGACTTTTATATGTCCAGCTTACTTAAGTAGCCCCTAATTCTTTTTTCCTCTACCATGACTAGTACCTCTGTATGCCAAAATTCGTTAATTGTCATGAAAACCTGGGAGGCATGAGGGAAGACCTTGTCATGTTTTAATAAGTTATGTCTATATAATTATTTCTGGATAAGCAGGTTTTTCATTATGAACTCTTTTACAAATAGCAGATATATTTAAAATTCAATGCATATGCTGTTTTTAAATTCTGAAAGCATTGAATTCTGAGAAGGCACTGGTCAGCACTGATTTATTTTCCCCAGCCACCTGGAGAGGAGTGGCTGGAGAGCTGACAGTCAGAGAGGGACCTGGGGATGCTGAATGACAGCCGGCTGAACAGGAGCCATCAGTGTGCCCAGGGGGCCAAGAAGGCCAATGGCATCCTGGCTTGTGTCAGCAATAGCGTGGCCAGCAGGGACAGGGAAGGGATCTGACCCCTGTACTTGGCATTGGTGAGGTCGCACCTCGATTCCTGTGTTCAGTTTTGGGCCCCTCACTCCAAAAAGGACATTGAATGACTCGAGCATGTCCAGAGAAGGGCAACGAAGCTGGTGCAGGGTCTGGAGCACAGGTCGTACGGGGAGCGGCTGAGGGAACTGGGGGTGTTTAGTCTGGAGAAGAGGAGGCTGAGGGGAGACCTCATCGCCCTCTACAGCTCCCTGAAAGGAGGGTGCAGAGAGCTGGGGATGAGTCTCTTTAATGAAGTAACAAGCAATAGGACAAGAGGGAATGGCCTCAAATTGCACCAGGGAAGGTTTAGATAGGATATTGGGAAGCATTTCTTTCCAGAAGGGCTTGTTAGGCGTTGGAATGGGCTGCCCAAGGGAGGTGGTGGAGTCCCCATCCCTGGAGGTGTTTAAGAGTCGAGTTGACATAGTGCTGAGGGATCTGGTGTAGTTGGGAACTGTCAATGTTAGTTTAATGGTGGGACTAGATGATCTTCAAGGTCTTTTCCAACCTAGATGATTCTGTGATTTTATTAGCACAACAATAAAGGTATTTGTATGAGAAAGTATATACTCATATTTCTTTGCAGATTCAGCTGTTGGAAAGTCTGCAGGAATCCTGGACAGAATATGAAAATAATGTGCAGTGCCTAAAAACTTGGTTTGAAACCCAAGAGAAGAAGCTGAAACAGCAACAGAAAATTGGAGACCAGGCTTCAGTACAGAATGCTTTGAAAGACTGTCAGGTAATAACCCCTTTAAGTAACAATATTATCTTTCCAACAGTTAAAACAACGTGTGATAAAGCCATGTGAAATCTTTATATCAGTGAAGTCAGTGACAGTACTCTTTACTTCAGTGAGGGAGAGATTTCATTCCTAAAATACAAGCAATGTGAAAGGAGGAAGAAGCAAGAATGTCCCAAAGATATTTTAAAGCAACAAAAGTAGGGTTTGGATTTGCATTATGTATTAAAACATGGATATTTCCAAGCATACTAGACATACTGAACTAGAAGACCATCAAAGGAATGTGTTCCTATAGCTGTTTAGCCATTCTTATGAACTTGATGCTATGAACACCATGCTCAACTATTCGAAAGCTTGTTTTTTCTGCCTGATTACTGCCTTTCCTCTGCCCTCCCTTTTTCCCATTTCTTTTCCACCTGACTATTCAAAGAAAAATGCTAGAATCCGGGGAGGTTTTATACTTTTATTCAAAATGTGTTAGGAACCAATTTTTTCAAATATTCAACTATCCAGAGAAGGAAATAGTGCTTGATTCCATTTTGCTTTCAGACGACTGAAGGAGAATTGTGATTACTGTGGGCAAAGATGGGATGAGGCAATGCACAGCTATACATAATGGCACATAAATTTCAGAGCCACTTCAGTTTTTCGTTTAAAATTCATACAAGGATTACACAGCAGTGAATAGGGTATCACAGTTGATTCTGAACATCTTACTCAGAATAGCACATTTTTAAATAGTTAAAAGCTTGCTTTTGGAGCTGTCAGTTTAGAGTTCAATCTTATAGGTGTATAAGCAAAACAAATTTTTCTGAATTTATTAACAAGGCCCCTACATGATCTCAGGCATCAGATAATTTTTGCTCAAAAGTATTTTGTTCTACCAAACACCAAATAATAAATTTCACACCAGAGCAAGTCAGGACAACTGTATGACCAAAATCTTTGTGATGTCATACCCTTAAAAAGGAGTAAGAAGGCATGTTTATCTCGATATGGGTGTCTTTCCTGCATGCATTTAATGAACGGGACAAATACGATCTACCTTTTGAGTCTTCACAAACAGAACAGCTGCAAATCTATTCAAATGAAATACATAAGAGAATTTAATCTATACGCACCAGTGTATTAAACCCACCTTTGTTTCTGTAAAAGCAAAGAGTTCGTTAGGCCAGATATGTTAGAAGTCCATTTTTTTTCCAAATTTTTTGACCTTTTTTTGAACTGGCTGCAGTGCTTAGTTTCAATTCAGGTTTTTTTATGGTTTCAGCACAATAAATCCATACAACTGAAGCAAGGGTAATTTAGCATAGCCTGACATATTCAGCAGGCTGTGCTCGGCTAGAGTTCAAAGCTGAATCTGATTTATCACCTCTATGGATCCTTTTGGTCAGGAAAGTTAGCAAATACACTTGGGGAGTCAGTCATGAATGGCAAGACTTTGATCAGCAGAGAAACAGATCATTTAAGAAATAACTGTATCAGACATTCCCAAGTAGCCAGTTCAATTAGTACAAAAGCTGCAGTTTATTTATTAACTGATGTTAGTTGCTGCCTAGTGTCATATCAATAAGTGAAGACAACCATTTTTTTCCCGTCACAAATCAGAAATAATAATGTCTTTAATTCAGTTACGAGTTTAAAATAATGAATAAGAAACCCCTTTTCACAGAGAACCAGAAATATTTGCTATTCTTGGTGTTTGAAACTCTCCTGTTTTACATTCTGAATTTTGGATCAATGTTGTACAAACTTTAAAGGTTTTTTAGTCTCAGATCCAGAATTTGAAAAGTCACATTTGCTATGTACAACATAGAATTGTTTGCTTTGTTGTCAGTTGGTAAAAAAATGATGTATTACTCCAAGGTTGTAGTGTGGAACAAGGTCATGGCTAGAAGTTCGAAGAAATATTAAATACCGAAGAAAAGACTAAGAATAAACAGTACAGCAAAAATGATCTCACATATATGTATATAGACAAAAGTAGGTTGTGTGTGTGCAGGAATAGATTCTGTTAATAGCAAGTGTTTGCGAGACTGGGCAAAATTCTATTCCAAATAATTTCCCCACTATCTAAAATGTAAAATCTGTTATGGCAGTGCTTCACTCTTGTTATTGTTTGCATTCATAAGGAGAGTGATTTATTGAGACACATGAGTTTTCAGTTTGGCCAGAGTTTTTTGTCTTGCTTTTTTTTCCCTGATGATCCATCTCTCTCAGTAAGGAAAGGCTTGCAGAAAATTAAAATGTAACCTGTGATCACAAGCTGTACCAATTAATGTGGAGGTATCACAGGATTGCTCTCACCTCACAGTCTGTTTTCCATATTGCACCAGCTACTTTATTTCCAGACAGGTAAACACAAATTTGTGCTGGCCTGAAGCCTACAAGCCATACATCTCTCCTCTGCTCAGACCCAGTGTTAGCTTCTGTATGAGTCAGAGCACTGCAGGACTTCCTTGAATCTCCCTGCACCATGCCATGAAATGACACACGTAGTTTGCTGTCTTGGAATGAACTTATGGGAGCATGCTACATGACTTAGAGTTGCTCATCGAGTCTTTTTGTCCTCACTCCTTCATTTTGAAACTTCACTCTCATGCTGTTGAGGCATGAGGAAGATCACAGGCTTTGTGACTAGTGAATGTTATATGCCAGAGCTTCTGCACTTTACTTGTTGAAGAAACGTGATAAAACTGTCAAACTTTGAATCAGCATTTCCATGACTGGTCTAGGGTCATCTTAAGCCAACAACACAGTCAGCACTTGCCTGAAGCAGCAAGACAAGCCACTAACAGTTTGTCATGGCCTCAGTGCTTATGTACTGAGCAATGTTTTCTTCACTTGTTTTCACACCAACCATTAATTTTCTTCCCATTTTCTTGGGTTAGTGTGTGGGAATGCTGAGCAGAGCAAAACCCTATCGAGCTCATTAATGCTTCCCAATGGCACGCAACCTTGAGGAGGCAATAAGGAAAATTCCTGCACTCTTGCTTATTGTCATTGGCTGGACACCAATGAACTTGTCATGTAGAAAAGAGGAAGGCTCGCTGTCCTCGGGCAAGCGGCTTTGCTGGGACCTGGCAAAGGAATAAAGACTCCATTTCATGGGGGGAGGCATGGCAAATAGACATCTTTCCCTAGGAAGTCATTTTGTCCTTTTCCTTGGGTGGCAAAATTCATTTTTTTCCAGAGGCTTGAATCAGCTTCAGGCTAAATAAAAAGCCCTCTCAGTGTTCTAGGCCAAACGAAGACACAACAATTTTCCCATGTATTCAAACTGCTGTCCTATTTTTAATGAGCTTTGGACTCTTAGATGGGAGCAGAAGATTACAGAGAAGTTTAATGTAGAGGAGATGCTTCTATTTAAATTAAGAAGAAACAACTATGCTTTAAAGGGAACGTAAAAAATAAAATTGCTGATGAATTATGATTCTCTTGAGAGCAGAAAGCCAAAGTATGCAAAGCATGACTCTCCTATTTTTTAAACTAAGGAGCTTATGGTCATCTTTTCTATCTCAAGGCATTATCTAGCCAAGTGAAGAAAAATACTCAGGTATCTTCTTTTTTCTTTTCAGGAATTAGAAGAATTAATAAGAACAAAGGAAAAAGAAGTAGAAAATGTAGAACAGAGTGGTCTTTCTTTGGTACAAAACAAGAACGAAGAAGTCTCTTCTGCTGTTATGAATACACTGCAAGAAATTAACCATTCCTGGGCCAATTTGGATCACATGGTAAAAGAATCATCAAGGGGCAATTTATTGCTCCAAGAGTAGGGCATGGAGGAGAGGGAGAATTAGAAGTTGGCAGTGAGTGGATTTCCCCTGTAATGTACAGGAAGGCATGTGTCCCTGTTTCCATCCATCCCCAAGTTTGTGTGTACACTCCTCATAAAATGGATATAATATTTCCTATTTCAAGAATGCTTTTAATTATTGTAATTGAAGCTTTTTAGATGTTTCCTGATATTTAGTAGAAAGATACTAAATGATCTGTAAGTAACTATTTTTTCAAGCACACAGGTCTCTCAGAATAAGAAAGAGATCGGCATTGTCATCATTGACAGCTTCATCAGCATCTGTCTGCCTTCTCAGGAGGCATGCAATGTGTTAGTACTAGCCACTCTGATGACTTTAATAGGCTGATTTGCCTGCCTTAGGGATATGTGTTTCATGTCTTAAGCAGTTTTTCTTGATCCTGCTTTGGATCTTCTCAGTCCCTGCCATCCTAGCTTTATAAAATCAAGCAGAACTTTACACTGTACCCAGCATAAGCCCAGCTGATTGTTAAGTAAAAATCTTTGTTCTCCAGCAGATTTAAGATTAGGCATGTAGATCAAGTAGTGACTGAGATCAAAAGGAAGGAAATAATTTAAACAAAAATCAAGTATCCTGAATGCTTGTTATTTACTTTTTTTCCCTTCCTCCCTTCTCCTAGGTTAGCCAACTGAAGATATTGTTGCAATCTGTTCTTGATCAGTGGAGCATTTACAAAGAGGCTTATGAAGAACTGAATGGTTACCTAACAGAAGCCAGATATTCTTTGTCCCGTTTTTATCTTCTTACTGGTTCTTTGGAAGCAGTGAAAATCCAAGTTGATAACCTTCAGGTGAAAAAAATACCATGCCTCTAGACATACTAGAGATGGATTCAAGGATTAATTTTGTCCTCATTGCATGGATGCAGATAACTATACATTTTCATTCATAAGCAATGGGAGTACAGACATACTGACACATTAAAATTACATGACATTAAGAGAACATATTATGAAATAGTAATTGTATTTTTCATTTTTTCATCTTTACTCTCTTTTTGATGCTGTTCTTTAAATTTTGAGCCGTACTGTCAAATCATTGAAAGTTTTAAAATCATGATAGTGATGATTAAAACTAAAGTTTCTCACTCTGCTTCATCAGGCTTCTGAGCTACTAGTTATGTTGAGATCACATTTTAAACTGCTGCCCTGTGGTTGCGATAGATTGAAGATCAAATAAAATACTATTCTGAAAGCTGAGATACTCACATGTTCAAGTGATTTTTCACTGTAAGAAAAGCATAAAATACCATGAGACTTCTGTTATAAAATTATAAATTTATATTAATTGAAATATTTTTATTTAAATTTAATTAAAAGTTATTAAAATTATTGTTCTATTACAAAGAATAACCTTTTATTTCAAAGTTGTCTTTGGAATAAAAAATTAATTATGCAAACATTTCCAGATGCTTAAAGTAATAAAAACTTGTGTTGTTGGTATTTGCCAACAAATTTAAGTTTACAGTATATATTTTGTGTGATTTGAAGTCCAGACACATATAAAGCTGAATTTTCTAAGCATGAAGAGCACTTTTAAAACCAAGATTTAAAGAGCATCTATTAATGCACCTTACAGACAGTCTTCTGGGTTTTCATTTTTTACGTGCCAGAGAGGAGGAGTTAGTAAAACAGTAGGTACAGAAAATTACTTTTTCTGCTTATTAAGATTTTAACTATACTATTGAATCATGTTGAGATTTGCTGGACTGTTCAAACTGTAATAATATGCATAAAAATGTTTAAGGTTAAAAAAAAAGAGGAGCATTTTCCCAGCCAGCAGTACTTCAGATTGATAAATGGAAGAGCAAGAATCTTATTTTCAGAATAAAATTTTTTATGCTGTTTTTCATCTTGTTCTAAACAGGAAAATGTAATTTATTTTCTTCTACCAGTAAAGTTTTTATTTCTGAAGCAGTTCCTTGCACTTAATCCTTTTGTGCAAGAGTACAGAATAATTTCTTTAACAAGATGTTTACATTTTGGGAAAATATTAGGTTAAAATTTACTTCTTGCTACAGCTTGATGTTGAATCAAATTAATGTAATGCAGTCTTTATATTAAACAATCTTCCATTTAGATGAAACATGAAATCAAGTTCTGTATTCATAACATATATGATGTAATTGATACATACTATTTTGAACTGTTTCTACATCATGCAATTGTAATACCTCATGGCGCTTTTTTTTTTTTCTTCTATCTCTTTTAGAGCCTACAAGATGAATTGGAAAAGCAAGAAAATAGCTTACAGAAATTTGGTTCTGTGACCAATCAGTTGTTGAAAGAATGTCACCCCCCAGTGACTGAAACTCTTACCAACACTTTGAAAGAAGTGAATATGAGGTAGAAAATGTCTGTGTGTTGAACTGTGCTTTCAGTGGTAAATTTACATTTCTCCATTGACTCAGTTTTCCATCATTCCTATTTGTTATTTTATATTTTTGGGGGGCTTGTGGGAGTGGGTGGGGTTATTCCTTCTGCCAATGGCTGGAGCAGAACTCTCTCATTTACTATTAATAATAATAAAAACATTATTTTCTCCAGCAAAGCACTTGGACATTACTGTACAGTAGTTTTGCTCTGTGCATGGTTGCCAACCAAGAAAATAAAATGCTGGAAAATAATACTGCACTTAAACTGTGAGAATCCTGTCGGAAGATTTTAGGTTGCTATTTCTGGTTGTAGGAAAGAAGGTCTAAGCCTTCACCAGTAGCTTGGCAAACAGCTTCCTCAGCTTTGAATCCAGGCCAGAACAATGTAAGGATTTACTAAGGGAAGCTACAGAAAAGCAGTATCCAAAAGCAAAAACTAGTTTGGTGGAAAGTTGGAGAGTTTTTTGAAAACACAATCATGCCAAATTTATTTTAATCTGTTGTCCATCCTGTCCTAGAATCTGGAAGTGAAGGGAGGGATTATTTACCCCAATTCAAAAAAGATATAGGATTTAACAGTTTCAGTGATGACTGACAGAATTTTCATTTTTATCATATAATAATAATAGAAAAATATTATGATATTCTTTAGTAAGGAAATAAAGAGGCAATTGGGTAAACACCAGCATGTTTGAGAAGATATGTTTCTGGTTGCCATTGGAGCTGAGAATTTGAAAGGGGATAAGATGTTTAATTGGATAATATAAATCTAAAATTTTTAATAGGTCTGGGAGTATTTTAGAAGGACACAGAGCTTTATGATTTTAAATATTCTGTCAGAGTTTGTGAGGAAATTGTAGCAGAAGAAATGGTTTCTTGTTTACACCTGTTTTGGGCCTCTTAGGTCCTTGCAAGAATCTGGTACTGGCAGTTCATGGTTGGTCATGGATGCTCTGTGAAGTAAACTGAAGTGTACTAAGTGGAAATAGCAGGAGGTTCACTTCAAAAAGTGCACTCCAACTCTGACCTCAAGCATTACTGTACAGCATCCAAGATGTAGCACAGATCAGACCAGCTGTGACAGGTTGGAACAGCCTGTCAGCATGTTTCTGGGATTCCTTTTCTCTTTTTTCCCCCAAAATGTCTGGATCTTGATTATTACCAAATTTCTTAAAAGCCAAAAGACCATGGGAAACAGCAGAGAGGTAGAGGAGCAGGGATAGTTCCTGTGGACTCCCAGTCTTCGATCATTCATCCAATCTCTTCACCAGGTGGAACAACCTTCTGCAGGAGATTGCAGAGCGGCTGCGTGCCAGTAAGGGCCTCCTTCAGCTGTGGCAGAGGTACAAGGACTGTTACCAGCAGTGCTCTTCCATAGTCCGTCAGCGGGAAGACCAGACTAATGAACTCTTGAAGACTGCCACCAGCAAAGACATTGCTGATGATGAAGTTACTACTTGGATTCAGGACTGTAATGTATGTCCAGTTAAGCTTTGCAATTTTTCACAGCTCTGTGGGCTAAAAAATCACAAGAGGCTCTCCATTACTAAACTCTATACTTGGTGTATTGAAAACCTACATAAAACCATGTTTTTTACTGATGCGTCTCGGGCATAGGAGGGACAACTTTACATCTGCTACCCAAATCTCATGAGTTTCTCGTACTTTTCATATGATCCCTCCATTACTTGTCATGGCGATGTTTCAGAAGCTTGTATCTGAAGTCATCTCTCTGGAGAAAGTGGATAAATGATATCATTTGAGTCAATCTTAAGTCCCCAATTATTAAAGGGATTCTTGCTTGCGAAAACATCTCTATCAAATCTATTGAGTTCCTTATAATAGAAAGAAACACAAGATCCTTTGACTATGTTCCCACCAATCAAGACTGTTCCCTTTTTCTGAATGAAAAGAGACTGTGTATGTCCTGGGGATGTCATTTACTCTGAAACCTGGAGTTTCTTCCTATTTCAAGACTGTATCTCAAGGTAGCAGGATAGTTTATCTCCTATCTTTGGTTACATTTTGATTCTTTTTAGTTTAATTTGATGTTAAGTGTCAGTGTCAAAAATTAAAATTTTAATTGTCTTAGTGTAATCAAAACAATTGCAAGGATAAAATTGAACACATTAATAAGCTTTTTGAGAATTTGTTGCCATAGTTATCTGGACTGGAAATTCAGATTCTTCAGTTCAAATAATTTCTTCATTTCCTGAAGTCCCATTTTTAGCTTTATGTTAGGCTATTTACAGTTTTTTTTTCATCTCTCCTGGTAATTCATAGGAGAAGAAAAAGGGAGGTCTAGTCAGATCAGAATCGACACACAGTGAGGGCTGCCACTGGTTAGGACCAGCATGTCAGTAGGTTCAAAAGGTTTATTTCAAGTGTTTCCTCATCAGTAACTCAGGCTTGCTCAAATGTAGCTGAGCAGTCACTTCTTTCTGTTCCTCTATGCACAGGTACTTTGCCATATTTTTTTATTCTGCACGTCATTTTCTTTTCATACAGAGTGTGAATGGACACTTCAGCATTGAAATACAGTAGTAAATACAAGTTTTTCATAGAGTGGTGGAGTTTGATCACTTCTCTTTTCCTTTAAATCAGGAGAGGATGACATCAGCAGAATGCTGGTTAACTATTCATATCTTTATTCAATGTGTTGCCACAGGATGTACTCACGGATTTGAAGACAGCACAGGATACACTGATTGTGCTTCAAGAATTGGGAGAGGAGCTAAAAAGCCAGGTGGAGCCTTCAGCAGCAGCAGCTATACAGTCTGATCATCTTTCTCTGAGCCAGAATCTGTCAACCCTAGAACAGGCTCTCCACAAGCAACAGGTTGTACTTCAGGTACGTAGAGAGTGTTTTCAGTCCTTGAATCTGATAATCTTGTGGTACCTGAAAACACATAAATTGGGCAAAACTGCCTGGGAAAAGAGGATGGTGGTACCTGTTCATCAGCACTTCCTAGACTTCCCTGGGAACCAAAGCTGAGAGCAGAAAATATGCTCAAGTCCAGCATAGAGACCTCATAAGAAGGTCCAAATTCTGGGAAGAGGATAGCAAGCTTCATGGAGGAAAGTGTCTATCTCCATGCCAAGGGCACCATGCTTTTTGCAGACAGCAACAATGCTAACAGCTGGATCCACAGCTACTGCTCCCCTGAAGACAATCTCTCCTCCCAGCTAGTTCTTTAGCAGTAAAACAAATGAGAGATTCTGAATAATTGTGTAGAATTGATATTTACAGTTCCTGTTAATGTCAGTGACCAGACTGGTACCTACCATTTGTGTCAAAGCCTGTTCGGTAAATGTTGCTAATTGGTTGTGTCACCAGGTACTAAAGAGCAAAAAAAAGTGGCAGAATGTGTTCCATAGGAAAGTGTATGGGTGAGAAAGCTGAGAGGATTTACCCAAGAAATCCAGCACTAGAATGTGCTTATAACATCACTGTGCTGTGAGGAGAGAAAACGTAAGAGAAGTTTTAAATTTCAAATTGCAATAATAGCAACTAGTGGTTCTCTCTGCTGACAATAAATTAAGCAGAGTAGTTAGTTTCATAAAAGGAAGCTAGACGAAGTTGTGTTTCAAGCAAGGAGATATTTATGCACTTTGTTGAAGTGTTACCTTTTTGCTATGATCAGAAATAATCTGTTCTAACCTTAAAATAACCCAGTAATTCCAGTCTGTGAGCAAAGCAGCAGTTAGAATTGCTCCTAGCCTGTAGAGCTGTTTGAAGATCTATAGTGAGAATCACCAGGAGTATAATGTCAATATGGATGCTATGTGGCCCAAGTTCTTAAACTGTGGGTCCTTTTGTATTCAAGGCTGGAGTGCTGGACTACCAAACCTTTGCCAAGAACCTGCAAGTCCTTGAGGCCTGGATAACAGAAGCAGAAGAAATATTGAAAGGACAGGATCCCAGTCACTCATCTGATCTCTCAACAATACAGAGTAGAATGGAGGAACTTAAGGTGACTAATAGATGCGGAAAGTGTTGATTTTTTTTTTCTGTTAGCCTGTTTTTTTGTAGCACAGTGTACACACAATTATCATACACGCATTCTGTATGTATTAAAGGACTGTCATTTATGCAAAGTGTAAGACTGAGAATTTAAAAGTTTGATGGCAGTCAGGGAGTGATTGTCCATGTTACTTTGCCCCCAAGTAAAGATAAAAAGGACAGGCAAACTGTTTAGAATAAAATTAATATCAAATTAAAATGAGAATGGAAATTTTAGCAAGTTTTGCTTGTTTTCTCTTGACTTTTTTGAATTTATGTAATTCCTGTCTCAGTAGTATTTAGTTTAGGGATGAAGTCATTTATTATTCATTCTGGGTATCTTGATATACTGAAGAAATATTTGTGCTGTGTACCATCTCTGTTTGAGCTCTTTCACTCTCTCTTTTTGGTCGTTTTGTTGGGGTTTTTTTTCCCTCTTTTTCCAGAGGATCTGACAGGAAGTTGATGAACTTTGCCATCTAGGTTGTTTTTGTAATTTTAATCTTCTACTATTTTACTGTCAGAATTGACTATACATGTAATTCCACTTTGGGCATGCTAAAAACCAGGACATTTTCCTAACATAGTGAATTGGATATTTCTGTACTGCAAAACAAAAAATGAAAAGTTAAATAAGTTAATTTGGAATTTGCCAGCCTAGCATTCAGGCTAAGAAACAAGGAAAAAGGCTCACTTTTTTGACAATATAGTCATATGGCTTCAAACACTAGCCTACTTTTGCCACTCTGAGCAGTAAATCCCCAGTTCAGCAGAATACTTCAGTGCAATTTGAGTTTACTTCTCTCTGCATTTAAACATGAACATAAGTCCTCTCCTGGTTTGGGATCAGAGGCTGAAAACTGGAAATAAGAGTTTTTTCCTGGTGTAGGGATTGCTTGCCACTTGGTGGCAACCAAGGCCATTCCAAATTTAATTGAGTGCTAGTTCATAACTTTGCAGTCTATAATATAACTACCAAACTTCTTAGTTACCCCTTTTATTGTTATTGCAGAGTCAAATGTTGAAGTTCAGCAGCATGGCCCCGGATTTGGACCGTCTTAATGAGCTGGGTTACAGGCTTCCTCTGAATGATAAAGAAATCAAAAGGATGCAGAACCTGAACAGACATTGGTCTCTGATCTCATCTCAGACTACAGAGAGATTCAGGTGGGGATAGTTCAAGATTGTTGTATACTTTTCTTAGATTACAACAGCTAGAAAGTATACCTTTTGCAGAATATAGAAAACGTTTCAGATATTTCATTAACCAAAGCTCCTTTTCTTTGGTGTACTTATAAAGAGAAAAGGCACTGAACTGAAATGTTGGTTTTGTGAAAAATAAACATAATTTTAAAGGAGGAAGACCTCTACTTTGCAAAGTGTTGACTAAATAAATTGAATGAGGCAGCTGAGTGGGGACAGGTTACCATCCGATTTAGAATTCTGCTGGAAAAGTACTACTCTTAACACTGTGTGTGCAAGGAGGAGACCTCTGAATCCATTTTTCTGTCTTTCAGTAAGCTGCAGTCTTTCATGCTGCAGCACCAGACCTTCTTGGAGAAATGTGAGACTTGGATGGATTTATTAGTTCAGACTGAGCAGAAGCTGGCAGCAGAGATTTCAGGAAACTACCAGAGCCTTCTAGAGCAACAGAGGGCACATGAGGCAAGTTATCATGTGTATTTATACATAACTATAACACATACTATTTATACATATATGAAATGCATATTCTTTTGTGGAGTAATATAATAGTATGTCTTGAATTTAATTACATTTGCCTGCACTGTTTGAGGATATCTTAACTTAAAAACAGAAGCATTACAAATCTGTCAATAATAACCAGTTTGGGGAAGGATTTGAGTAACTGTTTGCATTTGTGTATAATATATGAGTATGCCTATGAGTGCTTGTCCCCTACATTTAGTCTGCTTCAGGTTGGCTTGTACCAAGGAAATCAAAGTTTTTATCAGTCTTCCTGTACAACCTAACTATTCTCATGCAATTTGGCCGTTTGTCTTCAGTCCTAACTGGAGAAAATCTATGTTCTTTCAGTTTATTATGGGTTTGTTTATTTGTTATTAAATTGCCAACATATACAGCATCTGAATAGCATGCTAAAGAAAGGCTTTTCTGTCAAATACTGAGTTACAGAACTCATCACTGGGCCTCCATTTGGTAATGTTTCCTTGGAGAACAAACTGTTTTGATCTTCACTGTGTGCTGGAGTCATTTGTCTGTAACAAATCAAGAACTATCCCTGCTTTTGCTGCAGGGAAAGACCAATTTAGAGTTTTTACTAGAAGATGCATTTATGATTCTTCAGTGAACTCAAGTGATGCACATTTTTTCTCCACCCATATTGTTACTGCCAAGAATCCTGGTAAAGATCAAGTAAGACAAGTCAGTTTTCATACCAAAGCTCCCATGTGGCTGCAGTAGTTTCAGTTCCCACAACTTTTTCGCCTGACCTACCCATAGACTCAGGCCAGATCATAGGGAGAGTCATGTCCTTTCCCTGCTCTTGCCTTGTATCTCACAGCATAGTGTTTGGATGTATGTCTGACAGCAGCAAGTAATTCACAACCATTTTTGCTTGCTTTAGCATACCTTTGCTTTAGCATTTAAGTGCCTTTGCTTTCAAAAACATCATCCCTTTGATTTCCTCTCAGTGCTGCCAGCAGTAACTGGACGCTGTCTTCGTAAGTTGAGACATATCAGGTCTTTGAGATTTGAATGTCCATAACACATTACTGTCTAAGTGGATAATTTCCTACTGTTGTTGTGTACAGTCATAGCTATAACTTTTTTGAAGGGGATAACAGCAATCTTCTTGTATTCAGTTGTCTTGAGACCTCAGTTAATTCTCTCCTGAAACCTTGATCTGAGCATGTAGCTCAGGTGAGTGTTAATCAGGTACTCTGAAGGGTTTTTTTATTACAACTATAAAGTCATCTCTCAGAATTTAGACAACTAATACCTGATTTTCTAAATACTGCAATTCATCCATAGAAAATGTTGCAAACTGCACTTTATCTAAAGCTTTTGGCATTTTATATAATCTTAAATGTATTCAGTACTCAATGTTCTTTGCAGTGCCTCCTGATACTCATGGAGAATTTTCTTTCCACTCCTTGCAGACGAAAGGGTCAAAACTAAACTGTTTGAGATGAATTCTCACATTGGTTTGCTTTGTATTTTTGAAGATAACAAAAAAATATTCTGTCTCCACATGCATTCCCAGAATGGATATTGAAATGCCTCCAGCTCTGTTATCAGCTTTAAAGTGCTGACTTATAATTTTGCTGGTGTTTATTCAAAGAGGACCCCAGCTACCTCAGTGGCCTTGTTTAGAAATAACTTTCCACTGAAATTTACAAGCCAGCGAAGTGGAGGTGATATCTTTTTCAATTATTATGCAGTAACACTGGCATCTGCATCAGATAAGTCTATCAGCATTTGAAAAAGTGCTGGCAGGGGAAGGGGAAGTTCCTTGCCAGCACAATTACTAAATTTTTTCCAGTGTGCTTGTATTGTGCATTCCAACATCTGCCCTCTTTTCCACCCTCTTTGAAATCCTATTTCTGTGATTCATAGTGAACTACATATGAGAAAAAATTGGGGTGGCAAGTGATCCCCGTAATGGAGTATCCCTTTTATGTACAGAGACAGTGTACATGCAGAGAGCAATTGGATGTTGACAGAAATGTCTCTGCTTTTTGGTACGGCTTGAGTGTCTCCACTCGAAGCAGAATTCCTCATGCTTGATAAGCTTTTGTTTCCCCTCTACTCTTAAAAAAATACTAAAATTGTCTCTTTAGGGGAGTTTGGTTTTGTTGGGGTTTGTTGGTGTTTTTTAGCAAGTTGTATTCAGTGTAGCCTCAATCTGTCAGCAGTGCTGGGAGATGTTGTTGCCTCCTGTGCTTCATCCATGCCCCCTAACTTGACAGAAATAGATGTGGCAGGAAGTAAAATTTCTGCCTTCTTGGTTACCTTTATGAAATTCACAACCCCACAGTATTGTGGTTTTGTTCATGAAATAGTATAGCAATTAGTTTCCCTCTGGTTCAGGCTCAGTCATTCATAAGAGCCAGAGTATTCAAAGTACACTATCAAGTATTTCTGCAAGGAAATTAGACACTGTCTATGGGAAAATTTATGACCTGGGTAATGTTTTCAAAATTAACTCAATGATTCAGAGAGGCAGAATCTCATTTTGAAAAATTAGTCTATCGTCTAAAAGTCCTAAGCTACATAAAATGTGCTTGAGGGATTTAATTGTGCAGGTGCCAGTGGGTATTTTGCTGGCAGTAGAAGATGCAGGGATTGGTACGTCACAGTCTGAGCTGGTGGAAAGCCATGTAAGAGGGAAGAAATCTGAATTTGGGGTATATTGACTCTCAGTTCATGCAAGAGTAAACTTCCATCAACTGCAAACAACATTACTAAAAAATCTCAAGCGTCAGTATATTTTGTCTTTTAATCTCTCTGAAAATATTTTGGACATGGAGCGAGTCCATTCCTGAGCTGATGCCTGGGTGTACCTTCATCAACACAAGAATACTCCTAAACAACCTTATCTAGAGATATATACTATTACTAAAAGAAATTATGTTAAATTTAAGTAGTATATACTTAAGTCATCTTTGTTTAAGGAGCATTTAGGTAATTTTTTTGTCTTAATTCCTATTTAAGCAATCAGAGAGTTTTAAAATCATTCATAGAATCAAAATAGTTTGGGTTGGAAGGGACCTTAAAGATCATCTATTTCTAACCCCCCTGCCATGGGCAGGGACCCCATCCAACCTGGCCTTGAACACTTCCAGGCATCCACAGGGCATCCACAGCTTCTCTGGGCAACCTGTTCCAGTGTCTCACCAACCTCACAGTAAAGAATTTCTTCCTAATAGCTAATCTAAATCTACCCTCTTTCAGTTTAAAACCATTACCCCTTGTCCTATCACTGCATGTCCTTGTAAAAAGAGTCCTTCCCCATCTTTCCTGTAGGCCACCTCTAAGTATTCAAAGGCCACTATAAGGTCTCCCCAGAGCCTTCTCTTCTCCAGGCTGCAGAACCCCAACTCTCTCAGCCTGTCTTCATAGGAGAGGTGCTCCAGCCCCCTGATCATCTTCATGATCCTCTTGTAGACCCACTTGTGCAGGTCCATTACTTTCTTACACTGGGGGCCCAGAGCTGAACGCAGTACTCCAGGTGGGGTCTCATGAGAGCAGAGGGGGAGAATCCCCTCCCTCGACCTGCTGGCCACACTTCTCTTGATGCAGCCCAAGATACGGTTGGCTTTCTGAGCTGCAAGAGCACATTGCTGGGTCATATTCAGTTTTTCATCCCCTAATACCTCCAAGTCCTTCTCCTCAGGACTGCTCTCAATCTACGCATCGCCCAGCCTGTATTTGTGCTTGGGATTGCCCCAACCCATGTGCAGAATCTTGCACTTGATATTGTTGAACTCCATGAGGTTTGCACTGGCCTACCTCTCAAGCTTGCCAAGGTCCCTCTGGTTGGCACATCCCTTCCCTCCAGCGTGTCAACCGCACCGCAAATCTGGTGGTGTTGGCAAAGCTTGCTGAGGGTGCACTCAGTCCCACTGTCCATGTCACCAACAAAGATGTTAAACAGCACTGGTCCTGGTACCAACCGTTGAGGAACACCACTCATCAGTGCTCTCCACCTGGACATCAAGCCATTGACCACAACTCTTTGAGTTCAACCGTCCAGCCAATTCTTTATCCACCAAGTGGTCCATCCATCAAATCCATGTCTCTCCAATTAAGAGACAAGGATATCATGCAATGCTTTGCACAAGTCCAGGTTGATGACATCATTTGCTTTTCTCTTATCCACCAACGCTGCAACCCTGTTGTAGAAGGCCACCAAGTATGTCGGGCACAATTTGCCCTTAGTGAAGCCATGTTGGCTGTCACCAATGAACTCTATATTTTCCATGTGCCCTAGTACAGTTTCCAGGAGGATCCTCGCCATGATCTTGCTGGGCACAGAGGTGAAACTAACTGGCCTGTAGTTCCCTCCATCATCCTTTTTTCCATTTAAAAATGGGGGTTATATTTCTGCTTTTCCAGTCAGTAGGAACTTCACCGGACTGCCACAACTTCTCAAGTATGATGGGTAGTGGCTTAGCCACTTCATCTGCCAGTTCTCTCAGGACACACAGATGGATTTCATCAGGTCCCATGGACTTACACACCTTCAGGTTGCTTAGGTCATCTCAAACCTGATCTTCTTGTATAGTGGATGGTTCTTCATTCTCCTAGTCCCTGCCTTTGCCTTCTACATCTTGGGCAGTGTGGCTGGAGTACTCGCTGGTGAAGACTGAGGCAAAAATGTCATTGAGTACCTCAGCCTTCTCCCAGGTAACCAGGTCAACCAGGTATTGTGAAATTTTATTGTGACTGATGGGGAAAAATGGAAAATAAATGGGAAAAATTGGAAGTGGAAAATTGATTTCTAGCTCCTACACGTGGCTGGCCATGTCTTTTAAAGTTCTGTAGACAGTGTAAAATTGTATTAAAAGTTTGTATAACACTATCATACACAATCTATGCATAAATTCAATTTAACAAGGCAAAGGGCTGTAATATTCTTAAACATCTCAGAAAATAAAAAGTACACTTCCTGTCCATGAAATAAATACTCTGCATTTTTTGTAAAGTATAGTGCAAATCATACAATTGTACTCAGAGACATAAAACCTATCTCCTGTTGATATTAGCTGTTTAATAGTTTTTTTAAATCTCAAGGAAATAATAATTGCTAGAAGCAGAAAGTAAATGCAGCAATAAGATTTTTAAATGTGTTTCTATTTAAATTCATGATAAAACTCTCATCAAATTCATTTGAAATTATATAAAATACATGAAAATTAATTTTTACCAGTGCAAACAGATAGAATTAAAATGTAAGATCTCGTTTTAACATCCTTGTTTCCTGTACAACAGCTATTCCAGGCAGAGATGTTCAGCCGCCAGCAGATTTTACATTCAATTATCTCTGATGGGCAGCACCTCCTAGAACAAGGACAGGTGGATGACAGGTAGCTGTTCCTGGTGTTGTTGCTGCTGTTGGTTATGTGAAGTAATACTTAAGACTATTGGGGGACTTCCAAACAGAGAAGTTATCAGATGTCAGTGTTCAGATCATGTTCTTCTGGGGCAGAAGTTACTATCACTGTGGCTAAGTTACTAATTAGCCAGTTCTTAAATAAGACGGTGTTCTTTAGGATGCTCTGTGGTATGTGAAGGTGTGAATGCATTTGGGAATACAACAGCCTTCAGGCTGCTTCTCTAACAAAGATTTGTCTTGTATTATCAAGCATGTTACATATATGTCTGTTTTGATGTACTTTCAAAATGTCACGTTTTCAAAGGAGCCTGCAGTGACAGATTTAGTGAGTTATGCTTGATTTATGCCAGCTGGAGATTTGTCTCTACCAAGAGGATTCCTTACTGCCATTTATAATCACCTGCAGCCTAAATGTGAAGGAATAGGAATTCATTGCTGTCTGAGATTTTATTTTAAATGCTTGTGATCAAATAAATGAAAAACTGCTTCACACTTGTGCATATGCATTGACATTGCTAAGGGTATCATGGTCCTAATAGATTTATTGGGATTTGGGAATACTGTTAATGCTGTGTATATCTTATGTCTGCTCTGAGCTTGGTAGTAAATCTGGGGTGAATTGTGAAATGTCCATGATTTACTATGAATTTGGCTAATCCAAACTGGTAAAACCTGTGGGTTTTCTTTATATATTTCTGTGGAGAAAGTAGAAGTTTTATGTGTTAAAGGTCTGGGATTTTTAAGGCCTCAATAATTGGAGCTCTTTGATTCTCCCAGTACATGAAGTGTGAAGTTCTCATCCTCAGTCAGCTATCATGAGTCTTCAGTTCTTCTCTTCTTGTGTTTCATAATTGACAGCCAGAAAACACCTTCCTTTTCCTTTCAATTTATTTCATTAAACAAATAGATTAAAATTTGAAGGTTACTATGTATTTTTATTTATTTATCTATTTATAATAGGGATGAATTTAATCTGAAGCTGACTCTTCTAAGCAATCAATGGCAAGGAGTAATTCGCCGGGCACAGCAGAGGAGGGGGATCATTGACAGTCAGATACATCAGTGGCAACGCTATAGGGAAATGGCAGAGAAGCTGCGCAAGTGGCTGGTGGAAATATCCTGTCAGCTAGTGAGTGGGCTGGGCAATGTTCCCATCCCATTGCAGCAAGCCAGAGCACTGCTGGATGAAGTGCAGGTATGTCCAGTGTGTTTGAAGAAAGAGGAACAAATCCCCACCCTTTTTACAGCCTTCATCATTTAAAACACTGTTAAAGATATATTAGATTCAGACTATGCTTTGCAGAAAGCAATATTGGATATTAAATTGTCTTTGGAACTGGCATAGCCTCAGAAGCAGCAGTATGATGGAAATGAAGTTCATAAAGAACATGCAACAGAGAACTTACTCAGCCCTCTTTCTCAAGCCTTGTTTGCTTCTGGTTTTGCTTTGTAGCTAACATCACACAAACTGTCTGAAAAAAACAATATCCTGTTTGAGGAATGTATTCTAACTAAGAAAAAAGGACACCTTGAGTATCCATCTGAATGTGAGCTTAATAGTATCTATTGAGCAGCTTGTGTCTTCAAGCCTTTGGGATGGAAGATACATATAATAATAAACCTTATAAGTATAACAGGCTCTAGGAGGAACTATTTCTCTTTAAGAGCAATGGAGATATTGATATTAATGAAGAGAAGGAAGTCTTTAATGACTTTATCTCCTTGGAGGAATTTTCTAAAAGTCTGCTGCAGTAAATGACTGTGAAAAGGTTAGGGTAAAGCATTTGGGCAGTAATGCATACTTAAGCCAAGGTATGCAATCAAATAAAGTATGGGCTTGAGAATGAATTATATTGAATTCTTAATTGTAATTAAGAAGAAAAAGCTGACAGAAAACTTGCTATTTTCAGCTTAAAGAGAAAGTTCTCCTAAGACAGCAAGGGAGTTATATCCTCACTGTGGAAGCTGGGAAGCAACTATTGCTCTCTGCTGACAGTGAAGCTGAGGCAGCCCTGCAGACAGAACTTACCGAAATTCAGGAGCGCTGGAAGATAGCTAGCACCCAACTGGAGCAACAAAAGAAACAGCTTGCTTTACTACTGAAAGTAAGTGTGTGATTTCTTCTGTACATCTTCAGCAAGTTCGTGGTTTCTCACTGTGTATGCTGTTGAAGAAAAGCATTCTCAAGAGATAAGCACAAATCCAGAAATTGCGTATACGCTACATGAGCTTGCAGTTTCATTCCACCACCTCTGAAACTAGGAATGGTAGTACTTCACACTAGACTTGTATGTTGTTGATGTCTCTTAATTGGTATTTCCAGAACACTGCCGATAAAGGATATTACTACCAGTCCTATTTTCAACATATAGTAAAATATATTTTATTTTGTACAACGCTGGTTAATTTTTATACATGCTGCACTGAAAATATACCTGCCTTATTCCCTCTACATGCCGATGTCAAGATCCATCTAGCAACGTCGTAGTCTGTGTTTCCTTCCAGTGTCTTGAGTATTAGCTAGTTTAAATAAACTTCAGTGATCTTGGAGAAGGGACACTTGAACTTTATTTTGTTATAAGTAGTGTCCAAAATGCCTGCTAACCTCACTTTAAATACTGAAGATGATAGGCTGGAATTTAAATTGGGTCTGTCTGATTTTCTCTCACTCATTCTAGGGAGGATAATGAAAATTGGAATTGTGTATATTAATAGAATAAGGCAAGTGCCTTTAGTGAGGTTTCAGAAATCTAATAGAATTACAGAATTACACTTTAGTTTTGTTTGAAAGTAGCAAGAAGCAAAGCAGTGCAAGAAAATGAAATATTATTTTGGAAAAGTTCAGATAAGTAACTTTTTCTTCCTCTTTCAAGCCTTGTTCATCATACCTCAGCTTCTAGTGGGGGAATTATGTCAGGAAATTTTAGTCATGAAAGCTGTTACTGGAGAGACTGAAGCTTCCGTGGTATATTGTCCCAATGAAAATATGGAACTTAATGCTTGACAGTGAAGAAGTAGGGACATTGCCATGCAAATTGCATAAATTATCTCATAAATATCAAGCCTTATTACATTAAGCTATCGTGTTCTTAATTACATGACTTTTTAGTGGTCTTCTAACCATGTGGGAAGCATAAGTGTATATTCTGGAAGAGTATGTGTTGCATTAAGAAAATCACAGGCTATTGTCATGTAAGATCATATTACTAAGGAGAGAAGAAAGAAGACACTAAAGAGAAGAGGTTTTTGTAAGACCTGTTGTTTTTAATTCTCCATCCTGAAGATGATCATGAAATACTGGCATAGATTGAAAAAAAAAATGGCAGGAGAGAAATACAAAGGCAGTGTCAGAAGGAGAGTATCTTGAAACCGAAGACTAAGAGAAACAAGTTCCATATTTTCTGGTATCATACAACTGGCATTCCTTATGGGTTGACTGACTTACTAGACATCTTTCTGTCTGTGAGTACCTTTTTAATAGGCTTTAGCAAGCTAGGCAGGTAAAACCATACTGTCACATGATTGGGATGGTTTGATTGCATTAGACACATTTAAAATTTTGGAAAGTATACAAACACTATAGCTGGGGGTAGCTGATAGAATCATAATTTAAAGGAGATACTATAGGTTCTTCAATCGACCTGAATTTGCAGTATCCCCAACAACATTTTTTCCCTGGAGATTAATGCACCTGAATGGAGCTTTTGTCAAGGAACAATGGCATATTTAATATAAACATTCAAGAAAGGAAGTGGAAAATAATTTTGTCACCGAGAGGCTTTTCTGAAAGGATGGAGTAGAATCTAGACAATGTTGGGGCAACAGGGGCTTTGGCTTGTGTATTTCTATTAGCAGAGACCTGCACACAAAAAATTTGACACAACTCAAGCTCTGAGACTATGAGTATTATTTAGAGGAGGATTTCAGGACATGTTATTAGTATAAAAAAAGTTTTCACTGTTCAGTGGTTAATTAGGCAAATCAACTGACATAGGTATAATCCAGATCTGAATTGAAGTCTAATAAACATTCTGCTTTCAGGACTGGGAAGAATCTGAAAAGGGCATCGGAGACTCCCTGGAGAAGCTAAGATCATTCAAAAAAAAGCTTTCTCAACCTTTGCCAGAACACCATGATGAATTGCATGCAGAGCAGATTCGTTGCAAGGTAAAACACTTACTCTGACTGTTGTCTCATCTTTGTTTGAATTTGTGCAGTAAGCTGTTCCATTGTTATAGGCTTCACACTACTGACTATGCAAACCAGTCAGACATCCCTATGAGAAGAAACTATCCATGTAACATTTGGAAAGCATAATACTTGAGTGATCTCACTATAATGCAAATCCTGCAGGGTAAATACAGATCTGATCAAAGTAAGATCAGAACAACGTCTGAAAAGTACAGTAGAAGCGCTAGATACTGGTGTGTTTTCATTCTAGAAATTCTAATTTGAAATTTAAACTCATGGTATCTAAACTGTTGGTCTAGTGCTTTTTATTTGAGGTAAGATTACTGTGAGGGATCTTAGATAACATTTCTGTGCAGTATTCTTTGCAGTATTCTTTGCAGTTTAGAAATGGATTACAACTTGAAAATATTTTCAGCACAGAGAAGTCCAAACCAATACTTGGAATTCTCAAATACCTTTGAACTTTAGAGAGATTTGAGTAATATATTAGTTTGTGACTACTTGTTACAAGGCTGACATAACATTCTCTATTGGGGAGTTACCTCTCATAACTCTGAAGATATTTGGACATATGCAGTTGGTGGGATTTTTTCAAACAGGGCTGAAACAGTCTGCTTGAATGGTGGGTCTGCTCAGATATGACTTAAATTCAGTAGGATATCAATGCTTGTCTTCATGCTTCATCAACACATTCAGATTTTTATTTGTTAGCAAACTGGTCTTTTTTCCATGTGCACTTCTTTTAAGGAGTTAGAGAATGCTGTTGAAGGATGGACAGATGACCTTGCACACCTCTCTCTACTGAAGGAAACCCTGTCTATATATATCAGCGCAGAAGATATCTCAATCCTTAGTGAGCGCATAGAGCTTCTACACAGACAGTGGGAGGAGCTGTGCCACCAGGCAAGTATAGTACTGAGCACTGATTCAGACTACAAAATGTTGGGAGAAAAATTGAATGCAAGTGGCAGCTTTTAGAAAAGATGCATGTAGGCACACTCAGATTCAAAACTGAATTTGTGCTGAATCAGGGAAAACATCAGTTGAAATGCTTCCTTTAGTTATTGCTAGTGGTTTTAGATCTCTTGAACTTTGTTATCGCCATGAGGTCATATTTAAGCAGTGCTGACAAACCAGCAAAAAAAGTCACACTGTGTGCTGTGGGACTGTGGCATGGCTGCCTGGGGGAAAAACAGAAGTAATACAGTTTGCTTTGGTGGAGGAGGTGTGCTCAGACAGGATGTCCCCTCCCTGCTCAACATTACTGTATTGTACCTCCAGTTATACTGATAGCTCCTGCTGCTTCAGACATTGGAGTATGCATTTCTCTTAGTCTGAGGGTGACTTGCTTAGCTGCAAAACGAGCTGAAGAGTATTGTTTGATTTTTCAGGTGCGTCATGCTATTAGTGTGTTGGTTGCCTCATTTTGCACTTAGAAATCCAGGTAGTGGAGTCTCCCTCACTCAACTTTTCAGATTATCCTAATGATATTTCTGTAGTTCAGTAAAGATTGCAGTCTGGATATATCAGGGCTAACTTTGAAATAGTTACTTCATGTAAGGTACCTGTGAAAGCTTCATAAACATCCCCAAAGTAGGAAAGATCCTTCACAGTTAACACCACAGAACTTGTAATGGGTTAGTTGCATTTGAATGAGCTGATGTAGGTACAGTAAAGTCAGTGCATGTATGCTTATGGTAAAGAAGGGGGACAAGTAAAGAAATTTTTTCTTAGTTTTCTGCATACTGGATGTTTCAGGATGTAACCTAGTGCAACACTTTGTTCAACCATTGGTTATTTCCGGAAAGCTGCCATCAAGTTTAGAACCGCAAAAAGGAAATGTGAGATCATGTGTATGCCCCCGTTAAACCTAACACAGTAGTTAAAGAACACATCACTTTTGTTTATGAAAGAGCAGATGCAGGCTTCGTATTCTCAGCTGAAAGGCTGAAGTTCAGAAACAACGCAGATTACAATGGGGAGGAAGTAAGTAGTTGTACAAATGTCTGAAACAGGAGAGATGACTTTGTTGCTCACCCTTTGCTGCTATTTTGATTTCAGTGCCTGTCTTTGTCTATTACTATTCATAGACTGAAATGTACCACTGCTATAGCAATTTCTTAAACATAGAAATGTTTTCCTTCCTCCTCTATTAACTGCAACATTTGCCTGTTAGATATTTTATGCCTATTCTCTCTTGTCAGGGCATGCCTCAGTCCTTTGGAGCCTCTCAAGGTGTCATGCCCATTCAGGAGAAATTAAATGAGTGTATTGGAACTCAAGTAGAAAATTGTTTATGCAAAATATAGTGTATCTTTGATTTTGTGATTGTACTTACAAATCATGCTCATGCACAAATCACACAGTCTTTTGGAGTTTGGCCTACAGTATGTATATATCTATTTTCTCCTTTGGTCAAGCATTTGTATCTTCCTCTTGGTTTAATATCTTAGAGGAAAAAGAAGCCATTAATGTACTTTATAACATTTTATAAGTGACCAAAATTGTAAGAAAATTTCTTTATCTTCTAATGAAAACTTTGGGCTAGAGACATAAAACAAGATATTGACAGGCTACTGAGCGTAACACTTGAATGCCTCTCTCAATGCATAGGATGTAGCTACCAGGAAACCTGAGGTTAACACTTGCCTCTAAACTTACAGGGAGTCACACAAAGTTTTTGCAGTACAACTCCAGTTTGTTTTAATGGCAAATAAGTGGCTGGAACACTTTTGCAGAGCCAGAGGTGTTCACACTGAAGCATTTCTTAAATACATTCACTATTTTGTTTTTATTTACTCTCTGCAAATGTTTTAAGGTCTCCTTACGTCGACAACAAGTTAGTGAAAGACTGAATGAGTGGGCTGTCTTCAGTGAGAAGAACAAGGAGCTCTGTGAGTGGTTGACACAAATGGAAAGTAAGGTTTCTCAAAATGGTGACATCCTCATAGAAGAAATGATTGAGAAACTTAAAAAGGTATAGTGCAATGTGTGTACACTTGCATACTGTTCTTCAACTGCTTACTTGTTTTGTGTTGCAAAGAGGATACTGAATTAGCTAAAAGTGAGGTTTTACCTTACGCTGATGTTTATAAGTTTTGGTAAGACTGTGTTTGTTTTTCTCTTGCTGTGCAGCATTTTCCTGTCTTTCTTGAGGTATGACCTCCCAGGATACCAGAAAATAAAGTGAATGCAAAGTCAAAGGCATCTGAATGGTTTAGTAAATGTCCAATCAGAATTACCTGTAATGAGTTTAACTGTAGCTGATATATTTGGTTTTTTAATTTTTTTTCATTCTTCTAATAAAGTTTTTCATGGTTGTACATCTAATATTTAAGAGATTGTCTCCCCACTGTACCAATCACCAAAACCACAACGTTCACTCATATTTTTGTATGGTTCCTTTAGTAGTGTAGAGCAGAGAGCATTCAGAATATGTAACCTGACTTCTGGATTACTTTTTACTGTCCAGGATTATCAAGAAGAAATTGCTGTAGCCCAGAAGAACAAAATCCAGCTCCAGCAAATGGGAGAGCGACTTGCTAAAGCCAGCCATGAGAGCAAGGCATCAGAGATTGAGTATAAACTTGGCAAGATCAATGACAGGTGGCAACATCTTCTAGATCTTATTGCAGCCAGGTAAAGCAATTATTTAGTTTCTAAATGCTATGTGAGACAAATTAATATGCCGCATGTCATGAATTTAATATATTTTTCCTATCTGCCTTTTCTTCATTAACTGTGAAATGAGTTTATTCTTAACCATCAACACATTTCTGTGAAATTCACTTTGCTGTTTTACTTTGTGGTACCTGACATAATTTCTTCAGGAAGAGTCAATTCAAAACATTACCTGCTAGAATGACATAGGATTGGTAGCAGTCAGATTTTAGTGAGCCTTGCTCCAGTACCATCTTACTCCAGATGAGTGCTTAAAACTGGGTGCAAATGTAGTTTTTCTAAAAAATTCTTGGCAGAGGAATCAAAACCGTGCATTTGTAGTTTTGGATTTGAGCAGAGCCGTTCCAAAACTAAGTCTTAGTTTTTCTGCCTGCTTACTTTTTCAGTGATAAAGAAAAGCAACTGCAAGTAGATGTATGAATATTGGGCTGAAAGACTGTTTTTACTCAAGGTCAAAAATATAACAGCAATTTTCATAACTTGAAGCACAGGATTATTGTTTGATATGTGAAGAAACTGGTTTATTTGTTTCAATACTTTCTGTTGAGTCGTGCTACAGCCTTCCTCCCATTACCGACAATGATTTTGCACAAAATATGTGCATACTTTATATTTTACACTTCTGTGATATAAGGACACACGAACTAGAATACTTTGGTCCTGTTACCAACAAAAGGGTTTGTTTATTTTCATCATCTTTTTTCACATGGTTTCACTGCATTCCTCCTCTGAAATCTGTAAGCATGGGAGCAGTAAATTTTATGTAAGCAGAAGCATTCTTGTGGCTCCAGCTCCTTTTATAGTGGTTCATTTTAAAGTAATGAACATTATATTTCTTACAGAACAATTAAGTCAGGAAGTGGTGCATTACAGTCGAGGAGCATGCTAATTTCAGAGGATGTGATACATCAGCAGTTGTTGAATATGAAGTACATTTGCCGTGGTTTTGTGTTTCTTTTAAAAAACCTACTCAGACAAATATTCAAATAATTCCTTCAGGAAATTTCTAGTGAAAAACACTTGCATTCGGGAACTGTAAAACTCATCCTTAAAAGATCTGTATTGTCTATTCAGTACTGGAGTTTAGTGTCCTCTATAGGGACAGGTGAGGGTTCATGAATTCTGTATCATTCTTGGGGTGGGGAGATATAAACTGCAATATTATATACATTTAAACTTTCTCATTCTGTTATCATGAAGCAGGATTTCAAGTCCTAGTTCTAAACTAATTTATGTAAAATATTTATTTACTTTTATTTCCAGATCATTTCAGCTTAGCCTTCTCAACTAGCATATTCAGCACTATTGTATGCCATTAAATATATGACCCTTTCCATTCCACTGCTTACTGAAGGGAGAAGAACTCAGCAAATTTCAACATTGCATAGATGGAGTGGAGAAATAAATAGTGGAGAGGTTTGGTGCTAGACTGTGGAACTTTTGCTAGTTTAGCTGTAGCTTAGAATGAGAGCAGTTAAAGCCCAAGTTGTTGATAAGTGTATGTAAAAAGTACTTGTATTGATGTTGAATTCCCACTGGGCAAAAGGTTTTGAATCTCCCAAAATAATTTTTAGCAGGCTCCAGAGGCTCTCTAGACTATGTTGTTATATATTGGGATGTGTTCCTGTTATGATATTTTGGAGTTTGGAATGTATCATATAACATGTTTTTCATTGCACTCAGCTTGTAAATGCAAATTAATTGTTCTGGAGTTGAGAATAAAATACATCTCTTCATATTCTGAATACCTGACAGCGTTAATAAATTATTAGAGCCTGCATGCTTTTCTGCAAAGCTACAGTCATCCCTTGCCTGGAGCATTTTTTTTACTGGTTTGTTTCTTACAGCTGTGAATGAATAAAAAGTGCTCTACTAAAATGTTTTAGTAATATGGTATGGTAATATGCATCCAGTCTGAATCTTTACCTGTTAGTTTTATTCTGTGCAGTGGAACTTCTCCATTCACCTGTAAATACTCTTTCATTCTTTCTCACATTCTATTTCCTTATCCACTTTTTTTAATTGCCTTTCCATTATGAAGAGGTCTGCAACTGCAGAAGAGACAGCTACAGAAAGGTAGCAGTGTCTCTGCATCAGAGGCTTCTGTTTCTGTCCTTCTAGAACATTTTCAGATTAATTTTTCTGATATGTCAGCCCAGTGCAAAAATGGTTACAGATGTTTACAACCAGGAAGCAGTGCTATTGCTACAACTGCTTAGGCTTTGCAGAGTTTTTTGTATGTGTTTTCATCCCTTCCCCTAGCACTCACAGTCCACATTCCTGGAGATAAGTCTGGCACATGTTGATGAATGCAAGTTTTATTTAGAAACATGACCACTTGTCACCATTCAGTCTCATGTTATCAAGCAACGGCTGCTAACATTTGTTTGGCATGCAACATTTTCTGTACAGTACTCACCAGCAAAGAGAAGTGTGTCCCCTTTCCTCCCCCCGCCCAAAGCACAGTGTTTGCAGACTTTTGGAGTGGAAGTTCTTCTGTTTTAATGCTGGAAAATTTCATGGTGGTGGCAGAGGACTTGCATGCTGTGAGGATGGCGGAGGACGGCAGTGTGGATTCAGATCTCCCAGACTGTAATTGTGATATCACAAGGCAGGCAGCTATTTTTGTTTGCTTTTGATTGATACGGTTCTTTCTGAAGTCTTGGCTTGCTATATCTAATTGAAATATTGATATGTAGAAATCAATATCTTAACAAGAAATTACAGTTTGCTGGTCAGTGTAAAAATAGCTGACAGTAATAACAGCACACTTTGCTTTACAGCTAGTACTTTTGGATCCCAGAATAACTTTTTGTTACTGATGCAGACTAGTAAATGCTCTTAGCTGTCTGAAAGAAACTGTAGAATGTTTTTACTGCTGTTTTTAAATACAAGAGCATGTACACACATGAGAGAAAGCAGACTTTGTATTTGTCTGCTCACTGTTAGTGTCATCAAAGGGGCATGGCTAAAAGCAAAAGGCAGAGAAGGAGAGAGGCTGTAAAGAAAGTATTTCAGACTTAACTTGCTGAGGCTGGTCTGTCCTTTACATATTAATGACTGTTTGTAACTACATGTAATACTTGAACTCAGCCTACATCATCTTGGATATTTGATTCAGCTGCTCTTTTTCCCTCTTTACATTATCTTTCCTGGAAGTTTTGGGGTTGTTCAGAGTTCTAGTAATTTACTCTTTGAAAGGGGAAACTGTGATCTGAAGAGCAAATATAACTGGCAGTACTTAGTGTCATGGTATGCAGTAGTACTGTACTTTGGACAAGTAATGTTTTTTAATCATAAAAAAGTTATTTTAAACCTGATTTTTTTTAAAAAAAAAACCTGTTTTTAATACTATATAATGTGTTTCACTATTTCATAGAGTGTTTCCTGAAACTCTGTCTCAAGTTCCAGGTAGATTTAAAAAAAAAAACAACCACCACCTTTTCTGCTTTCTACTGGCTTTGTACAGACTTAGCTAACATGCTCTTGCTGACTTCTTTGGTGTTGCTTTTAAAGTTTAATATTAGTAACCAGCTGTCTAAATGACTAAGGCCGTAGCTATGAGTTCTATATGATGCATTGTTCCTGTTTAGGTTTAAGTTGAATCTAAGGCTAATTTAGGACTAGTTGAATTAAAGGTACTTGTGCTTAATTTCGGCTCCCAGTTGTTCTCTCACTGCCTTTTCTTAATATAAAATAGACATTTTAAAGTTATTAAATTCTTGGGGAAACCAAGATGCAGTAATTGAAACATGAAAACATAAGCATCATAAGCCCATTCCAATTTTCAGGTAAGTTTTCATTAGTAAATCATAAAAACAAACAATTGAATTCTGCAGTATTTTCCTTTCTGAGAGTCTTAAGTATTTGTAAAGTGCAGCAAGACTGATATGTGTGCGTGTGTGTTATATAAAAAACAGCCTTTGAAAAAAACATGTCATGGGTCCAACCCTTTGATTTCAGTGTGGAATTTTCGTTATCAAGGAGAGGAGTTATTTCAAGTCTCTTGCAGTTAACAGCCATAGTGCTGCAACAAAGGCACGAGATGATTATTGGAATAATTAACTATTTAAACATAATCTTGTAAATGAAATCTCAAAAGGTCAAAATTACAGTTGGCTGGGGATTCTGCATACTCGTATAGTTTATAATTTGACCGTTGTCTCTAAGCAGACATTATTTGTACACAGGCACAATATTGAGATGAAGACCATAGGCATCTTGCCTTCTAAAATTCAGAAGGAATATTCATAGACATGATGGATAGCATCTATTATTTGTTCACAGATATGTTGAAGTAAGCCCAACATACTCCCAGAAACACTTCTTTATTTGCTTCTATTTGTACCATGGGCAAGGAACCTGTTAAGTTAGACTGGGTATAAAAAAAAAGAACAGTGTTAACAGTAAATGTATCAGGGGGCAGGAAGGGAGTTGTCCCTTTCTCTCTTTCTTTTTTTTTTTTTTTTTTTACAGGGAATTGCAACAATTTGGCGGGAAGGCAAGTTTAGCAGTAGGTTTTGGGTTTGGTTGGAGTGTTCTATTTCGTATGTCATGCTTTTTACCTTTTTCTCTGTTGGGTAACTTAAGTCATGTGGCTGAAAATAGCTCTCTGGGCTGGAGTAGTTTTTTGCTCTGGCAGGGATATATTTCCATGAAGTCTGCCTGAGTCAAAGAGGGCATCTTCTAACTAACAGGACAGGCCTTTTATCAGGTGTTGCAGGCAAAATGTAAATAAAATCCAGCACAGAGGTTAGGGCACTATACAGTTGCAAACAAAAAAAAAAAAAAACAGTCCAAAGCTTGGGTTTGCAAATGATAGAGTGACATTGCTGCTACATAGGGCTGGCATGACTCATTGTTCCCTTCCCCACTCCAGCATTCCTGCAAAGGATCAGCAGCATCCAGCCTTGAAAATCTAAGCAGAAAATGGGCAGGATTTCTTTCATTCCTCTTAATTAATGTCAGAGACTGGAAAGCTGTATGTGAGTTCTGAAAGAGTGATAACCAACCTTCTTGCTCACCCTATGAGCAAATTTTGATTTGTCCAAACCCACAGAGCACTGTATGTACAAACCATAGGTGATGAGGAGATGGTTCCCCCAGACATTGGTTGTTCTCATAGTTTCTCTCCAATGCTAAACATAAGCTGTGTTTTGGGATAACCTGATCATAGGGACTAAGGCAGTCTTTCAGTAGGATTGTGTTGACTTCAGTCCCTTAATAGCCAGATTTTCAGATTACACAGATTTTTTCTAAATTATCAAGATTTTTTTTCAGATCACAGTCCTGCAGCTGTTGGTCAGAGACTCTGGCAAAAGATGCATTCAAACTGTTCTTAAGTGTGTTTGGTGCTAAAGAGCCGCAGTGTGATCTAAAGAGAGGTCTAGAAAGAGACAAAAATTTGAAATATTTAACTTTTAAGTTTTTAAAGTTGACATTAAGATCTCTCCTCTTTTTTTTTTTTGTAAGAAAAGGACACCCATATTTGACTCTTAATGGTCAGCTGCACCTACTGTTTTAAATATGGAAACAACTGATAAATTTGATGGTTAGTGTTATGGAAAAACTGAGAATTGCTATGTTCAAATTATAGGATTGTCAGGTGGAGTTTTGTTTGATGAATCTGGCAGTCTTGTATATTTCAACCTTATTTAGTCAGTCCGTTCTCAGCTGCACTCATCTCTTAAAGCTTTCTGATACTGAAACACTTAGGTGGAAGAATAATAGAAGCATAAAAGATTCAGAACGCACTAATGTATGTTATGTAACATGGGGATAAGAAGGAAGGACTAAGGACGGTATTACTAACAGTCATTTTTGCAGTTGAAACAGGCTGAAGGAAATTCAGTCAAATTTTCCTCACTCTCTAATCTTAATGTTCCCTTGACTAAAAAATCCCCATTTAATTTTTCCAGGCCATTGCTGTTGCTGGGTCAGGGTCTCAAGAAAAATACTGCTATGTAACCATGCAGGAATTTTCACTAAGTTCTCAACTAGATTTCTCTCTCTAAAACTTACTTATTTTGGGACAGGTCTTCGCACTGGAACAGGTTGCACAGAGAGGAATGTTTCCCTACCCCTGAAAACATTCAAGGCCAGGTTGGATGGGGCTCTCAGTAACCTGATCTAGTTGAAGATGTCCCTGCTCATTGCAGGGGGGTTAGACTAGATGATCTTTAAAGGTCCCTTCAAATCCAAACCATTCTGTGATACTTAGTTCAATGTTTAGAAGTCACTGGGATGAAAAAGACCTATTCAGTCAATGCACTCCACCACCACTACTGGTTAAATGGATGTTATTTGTAGTCTAATAAGAACTTTTGTCATCTATTGGTCAAACGCACAGCTAAATTACTTAAATTGTTTTGGGGTTTTTATATGTGCAACTTCATTAAAAAAAAATATTTTCCTTAACAAATATTTAACTCAAGTGATAAAGGTACAGAAGCCTTGAAAATATTGTCTGGCATAGTAAGCCTTTAATTTTTCTTAACCTCAACCTATGAATGCAGTATACTATAATGCAGTATACTATATTTGCACATATAGTATACTTCTGTTACCTAATAATGGAAGACTTCAGAACAAAACTTGCCATCTAAGTTATATTTCTCTTAAAACTTCCTGAAACACATGCTGTGGAAATTCTCCTTCAGGGTGTACTTATGCTGCTGTTTCTCTCTCTTTACAGGGTAAAGAAGTTGAAGGAGACCCTCGTTGCAGTGCAGCAGCTGGATAAGAACATGAGTAGCCTGAGATCTTGGCTTGCCCACATTGAGTCAGAGCTGTCCAAACCTATCGTCTATGAAACTTGTGACTCTGAGGAGATACAAAGGAAGTTAAATGACCAGCAGGTAAAATACAACATATTTATCAGGTGCATGATGACATGGGGAGAACCAAAGTAGAGTGTTCTTGAGCTACCCATACCCAGCTCAATGCTGAAAGGGCATGAGGCAAGAACTGTTTAAATATCAAGGCAAGTGGTACTTACTGTGTCACCTATAGAGCCTTCTGCTGGTTTTGACATCGAATCCACCAGGAGCTGATTGACCTTTCTGAGAAAGGTAAGGCACCAAGAGATGTAACCTGAACGAGTTACTGCAATTGTTTTTCCTTTGGGATTTGTGGTTTTTGTTTGTTTGAATTGTCTGTTACCAGAAGCAAAACTGACACCTATTAGACCTTGCAAATTTTGCACATGCTTGAAAATTACTATTTTTAGCAACCTTTCTAACTTGGTTTTATTTTGCAGCTTGTTTGAGAATCACTTTGCACGCAACGATGCATGAGCTATACATGTGAAGTTAAAATTGATTGGTTTCTAGCACACAAAGCCTTTATGCAGCTCTAGAACAAAACAGTGAACACTGAAACAGGTAGAAAAATGTTAAGTCAACCAGTTTTGGATATTAAAACTGATGTTACTCCTAAGAAGATTTACTATACTTTCTCTTTCCTGTTCTACTTCACTGCTCAGTGCTGTTTTACTTAGAAGCACATTGCTGGGAGGACTGTTGTTGTGTTCCTGTTGGTTATTTATTGGCAAAAATACTTTTCTTGTGTCTCACTGGAGGTGAGTTGGATGCTCTCCTGATTTCTTTCTCTCATGGGAAGAGGAGTGCCAGAATGTTTGGGGAATAATTAATTTATGAACTGTACAAACTGGCATTTTGCTCTTTTAAGCTGAGTGTGGGACTGAGACCCAAGAAACCCCTCAGAGCTTTTGCTGTCTCCCCAGCTGATTTGCTACAAGGCTGTGCAGAACTCCTTATTAATATTCTATATGTAATTTACATAGGGATAATAATTTATAACACACAAGTGTCACTAATGAGTGGTGTTTCTGAGACACTAAAGTGCTGGACAGGGCTAAGCATTGCTATCAACAAAGTGGATACTTGAGATTTTTTACTGACATCCCTGTGCAGGCATCCCACAGTTTGTTACAACCACTTCTTAGGGAACTCTTTCTGACCACAGACACCCATGTATCTCTGCCTTGATGATGATTTGGTCTGATGACACTGCAATCCATGTTTATAATAACAATTAAAAAAACCTCACCCACCTTCAACATATGGTAACCAGTATTTTTATTAGTCAGAGGCTATATCGCTACCCACTGCATTTCAGAAGACCAGTACGTCAAACATCTCAAATATTTCATCCCTCTTTTTTCTTCTGTTAGTGATCTTACTTATTAGTTATATATAGTTATTTTCCATGTTTGATGTTCCACTGAGGTCATGTTATCTTCCCTGCTCATACTACTAACAGTTGTTAATATACAAAGTTAGGTTAAAAATACTATGCTGTGAAAGAGGAGGTGCAAATTTCACTTCTGTAACTCCATTATCTGTTTCTTAGCATCTACTTCAGGCAAGAATTCAGCCAGCTTTGCAGATTTCTTGTCTCTGTAGTGAAATTAAAGATACCATTCAGGCTGGATATCCTGGGGAAGGTAGGGTAACTTCACTGCAGTATTTTCCTAGGGTTGCAAACTGCATTTCAAGGATAACTTGTTTACTTTCTCAAATCTGCTACCACTTGAAATGTGGAAAAAATTATGCTTGCTCCTGTGTTGGTAAAGGAAAAGAAGGCTGTATGTGGGTGACAGCAGTGCATAATGATGCTCCTTTGCGAACTAACCCAAAGGCCAAATGTTCTCTGATAAAAAGAAAATTTTAAAATCTGGAAAAGAAATATAAGGCTATGGAGAGCAAACAGTGTATACATTGCTTGTAGAAAGGTTCTGTAGATGAATACAAAAGTTTAATCCTTAGGCATCCTCAGAACCACCAACTGTCAGTTCTTACTACTGCTCTACTCCAAAACAGCAGGGAGGAGATTGTATTACCTGAACTTCCTTAACCTCAAGTCTCATAGCTGTCTGAAGTATGTGTTTCATAAAACATTGCATCTGTTTATAGTATCCACCCTTATATAACATTTCAGGATGAGTAGAAAGAATAAGCACTTGGACATCACGATGAAAGAGTATTTTCCAGGCAAGTAAAGTGAAAGGGCCAGCACTAAGGAAGAAAACATTGTGATTTTCCACTTGATGGTCTCATGTAGATGTTCACAAAATAGCCTTCTGTTTCATAAATGAGAAGAGGCATTAAGTCCAACCCCAAATACTACAAACAACCAGATCAGATGGGTGATACAGGTTGACCATGCTTCGTTTCAAATTTGCTGAGGTTTTTAGATTTTACATTTAGATCTCATTTCCTGCTGAAATGCATTTTCAGAACATCCTACAGCTACATATAAGAAAATTTCCTCTAGTTAGACTTTAAATGTATGTAGACACAATATGTTGACACTATATTTCTCTTTGCAAGTTACAGTTTTTACTCCGCTGGCAAAATTATAAAGAGCAGTTTGTCTCTACTGTTCCTCAAGCTTCCAAGTTCTTGTTATCCTAAATAAAATTCCACATCTCTAATTGGCCTGACTGTTCTTTTCTTCATCTGAATCAGAAGTGAACATAGTATTCTAGATGCAATATATCACTTTTCAGTGTAGTCACATTAGTACTTCTTTGTCACTATTGGAGTTATGTTTTATTGCCTTTATTACTGTCTATCCTGATTTTTCCATCTAATATTCTGCTGATTCATTGCAAATATAGGCAGAAGTCAAGCAGGGTTTATTTTCTTTGCACTGATTCAACAGCAATAGTCAATTACTTTTGTGGCTTGTCTTGAACCTGTAGTTCAAAACTGAAGTTGAAACATTGCTTCAAGATGAAATATTATCATCAGTGTAGAACAAGCCATTGCAACCAAGAAACCAACAAAAAATAATACTGATCACATATAAGAAGTGCTAAGACAGTGTAAGGGCTGTCGTGAATTTTCCATATCCAGTGAAAATGCTATAAGTTTGGAAAGTTGAAATAAGAAAAATCTCCTACTAAGATGCACTGTTCAACATGTGCTGCTGCTCATCTCCATGTCAAACATGCCACTTCGCAGCTAGCTAACCTGGGGAAGAGTAGGTTCACAAAGAGTACCTCCAGATAACCCTTGCAGTATATAAGAACGTATTTTCTTGTCACACTTTTACTAACTTCTTCTTTACATTCTCTGTGATAATGGGAAAGGTCTGGAAATAACTTCACCATTTAGTAGTTAAGTTGATTAAATGTATGTGAAAGGTGCTCAGCTGAGCATGCAGAGCTCTGGCAGTTTGTCCCAGTTGATGGTTTGGTGTTCATAGTCCTGGGAGAGCTGTGCATGCTGCCAGATTCTCCTGGCCTCATTAATAACATTGCAACACCACTTGCACAGATGCAGTCTCTTAATAGGTATTCACTGGATGTTTTTCATCTGTTTGCAAGCTTATTAATTTTTTTTTAATAAGTAGAAGAGAAATGCATTTGTATTTATGCGTGTTTTTTTCTCTTAAGAATTCATTTCTTCACCTGCAGGAACTACAGAGGGACATAGAGAAACACAGCACTGGAGTGGCATCTGTTCTCAATCTGTGTGAAGTACTTCTTCATGACTGTGATGCTTGTGCCACAGAAGCAGAGTGTGACTCTATCCAGCAGGCTACACGCAATTTGGACAGAAGGTGGAGGAACATTTGTGCAATGTCAATGGAAAGACGACTTAAGTAAGTCTAAAAGGCCTACAAAGTAGTATTTCCTTCCACAGGTACAAATACAGGGTAGGATATATGTTATAGGGTTATAGTACTGAAGAAGAGGGTGTAAGGGTCAGATAAACTGAATAAGAGCCAATAGCTGTCATGCTGTGGGGAAAAAAAGACATTTTGGATTGCATTTTTATGTGCCTTTATACAAGGTACAGATAACAGTTACAAATTTTGCTCACGAGGCTTTTGATGGAATGATGATCATTTCCGATGCTTCATAGAAATGATGAGAGAGAAACTAGAGAAAGCTTAGATGGCACTTGCGACTCCAAGAGATATAGAAAACATGACCTAAAAGGGAGATTTGTAACAATTTTAATTTAGAACTACTGAGACTCATGGGGAAACTAGTTATTGAATGGGTGGAATGTTATTTCAGGTGTTAGGGTTTTCATGCACCTAATGTTCCTTAACAGTTTCCCTTATCTCTGAATTTGTTTATTTGGAAGTATTTTAGCACTGAACTCTCATCTGGAATTTCCTCATCTGCTCACCTTAGCTTTGTTGAGCAAGTGTAGGCTGTAGTGCCTGTGTATCTTGGGTGTGGTGTAGTTTACTGCACAGGCTTAGACCATTCCTACACCACATGCCAATGAAATCCAGAAGATTCATTGTTCTCTGTTCCCATCTAGCACAGCATGGGTGATTTTGATAGCCATAATGATGTAGCCTACATTGGGCTAATGCTATATACTCTGTGCTGATCAGTAATAAAACACGTTTAACTGTTTGAATTCCTGCATTTATGAAGATTTTTTATATGTCTTTTTAAGTTATGAATCTGATTTCTGTGATGTTTACACAATCATATCAAGAACTCTAGGTAAAGTTTATGGCTTTTCAAAATGCTGAATTGAAGTGTATATGATCTTGGTTCTGTAGGATATTCTTAATGGGTTTAGTAAAGTTTTCTTTATGAAAAAAAATGTTGCTGTTAAGTTGTCTGCTCTATATCCACAGATTGCTGACTTCAAGTAATTTTATATTATTGTCATGGTAATTCTTGTATTGTGTGTGTATATATATATATATATATATATATATATATAAAAATACAGCTTATAAATTCTATCTTGGCCACAGTCTTTCTCAAAAATACACAGATAAAATGCATACCTTTGTGTCCAGCAAATTAATTCATAACTGTTTTAAGTTAATGTGGAACAATGCATTGAACTCTTATTTTACTTTCTTGCAATGTACACATTGTGCTATTAGTAGATTTGTACCAGTAAGGTAACTGAACTATAAGAATTTAGGATGTGTATTGTACTAGAAACAGTCATTCATGTTAAAATGCAACTTCCTAGATGTAAAACTTAAGGTTGAACAACATATCATCAACAAAGCAAAAATTTTTCATGGATCAGGTCCTTTTCCAGACTGCATATCTAAGATTTGAGAAAGTTGTATTCTGTATGTAAAAAAAAGATGCAGTTCTCCTGTAATACAACCTGTCTCAAAATAGATGTTGTTGTTTTGAGTCAAGTAGTTTTGAAGTTCTTAGAATTTTACAGTCTCAGTATTAAGCCAATTTGATTTCAGGATCAAGAGGCAGCCACTATTTATATATTCAGTTGAAGTCAAACTGGGGTTTTCTAAATATTGGAATGACAACATCCGTTTTTTTTAATAAAAATATGTTTGCAGTGTATGTTGAGAGATAGTATTTTACCACTCAGTGAATGCAGAAGTAAAACGTTCACGTCCCTTTGCAATGCAGAATAAGGACTGAGAACTTTAAAATACATGCTGCAACATCTTTAGCATTCTGTAAGAAAAAGTTCTGCAGTTGGAGGTAGTGTAGAATTTTTAATCTCTAAAATACTGGCTTAGGTACCTACAATGGGACTGTATTTCAGACGTTATTTAGCATGTGCTCAGATTCTTAGAGCTCCTATTACATACTTATAACTTTCTTTTTATACTGATTCCAAAATTAGATGCATTAAAAAAAAAATGCCATCATCTTATTCTAGCTTGGTCTGGAATGAGCCATCCTTCCTTGTGGTCTGTTTATCAGCCTGGCTGTCTGAGTGAGATTAGGAGTCAGTTACTGTCTGGTGCACCACTAGTTTGCTGTTGTAGATGATTCGTTGAAATTCTGTAGGTCATCTGGCCTTCAGTTGGAGCATTCCCTAATTTTCCATTATCTACTGCAGAATTGAAGAGACGTGGCGGCTGTGGCAAAAGTTTTTGGATGACTACTCTAGATTCGAAGAGTGGCTAAAAGTCTCTGAGAGGACAGCTGCTTTCCCAAGCTCCTCTGGTGTACTTTACACAATTGCTAAGGAAGAACTGAAGAAATTTGAGGTGATTTTTAATAGTCAAATTTTAATATCTACTGATCACATTACAGCATACATCTGGTTGTTCTTTCTTCCCATATACAAGTCACTGAGCAGTGACACTGTATTAATATAGCAGAGCTGATGATTTTGTGCTGCCTTCTGTGGCAGGTTTCTAGGATGAAAAAACAATGGAACGTGGCAACTGAAAATGCTAATAAATCAATCTACTTTCATGTGGTGTTTGTTCACTAAAGTTAGATTTCTCACCTTTTTTATTTCTATAACATTTTAATATGTGCAGTCAGTAGGTGCTCCAGAGCATTCATAAATCTCCCTTCACCAAGTATCTCTTCAAATGCATGCTGCATGTGTTAGATTTTGCTGTGATTTTATCCTTCCTCTTCTTTCTGTAACTCTCTGAAACCAGCCCTCTGAACTATTTTCTGATTTTGTATAATGGACAATATCCTTGTTTTCAATCTTTATACCTGAAACTCATGTTTGTGAAAGTATTGTTACATGTTCACATGGTGTTCCCCTGTCTCATCCCACATGGTGGGTTACAAGGCGGGGTGAACCTTTTGAATTCCCTGAGAGCCGGTCTGGTTGAAGAGCCAGTCTCTGCTCAGCAGAGCCACAGTGTGGTCCGAGTCACCACAATGACTCGGAGGACCAATTATGCTGGTGACATTATTATCTGACCACTTTAGTAAGTGAATGGAGACAGTTTGGCAACAATCAACTGATAACCATCTGGGGAACGAATAAAGGCACTTTGGCAATGAGACCTGTCAATGATCAACCGATCACAATTCAACTCCTACAAAACTTATATATAAGTTTTATATATAAACGTGAATATATGTAAGAAAGAGAGAGAGCAAGCAGAAAGAGGAAAGAAAAAAAGAGAGGAGGAGGGGATATGAAAAGGGGAATCACCACCCTTGGATCCCACGTTGTCGCAGAATAGCCAGCTTGGTCCATCAGTGACGTGTCAACAAAGACACACATGGGATCTTACCTTTATATAGTCTTTTTTACACATGCACAGTAGGTTGTTCTGGAAGGTTCTCCTTTTCTCTGGCTTGTACCTGGGCAGTTAGGCAACTTCTGTCTCTGGGCAACAACAGGAGGGAGGGGAAGAGAAATGGCCCACTGCCCCACCTCCACAGAGCTCACTCCACTTTTACCTCACAGGGCACCCCACTCAAGTTGTTTGAGACATCCTCTGTATAAACAGTTGCTTGTTTATGAACAGTTTGTGACACCCCCATGACTTAAAAGTTAAGTTCATGCTTCAAAACTGACAAGCCATCACATGGTAGTAGACACTGGGGAGTTATGTAACAAGCTATGGCTAGTCACAGGTGAAAATCTTTTGCTCAGTTTCATATTTGCAAGGAGTATATCAAAATGAGAGAAATAATTCTGAAGAAAGAGAACAAATTCTGTAAACAATCAGGTGCTGCAGAGTATTTGCTGTGAAGAAATGTAAATTTTAAACAATGTCTAAGGCCACTTTATACTTTTTGGTTTAACAATTAATTCAAAAATTCTGAATGTACTGGCTAGGTTTTGTTGTTAAACACTGCCAGACTTCATTATGGCGAGGTAGGTGGCCATAGTATAAAAATGTTTGCTGAACACAAGTACTCTGTCTCAGACCTCCTTCCCATTGTCCCTTTATTCAGTGTTCAGGATCTGAATCTCTTGTTTAATGTCTCTGAGAAACAGTACCAAAAATATCTTGGCTGTCTTTGGTTTTTACAGCTGATCTGACTTTGCCCAAAGTCTGTTTCATCGAACCTCAGCCTTTATGGTGACCTTTCCTCTCCTGCAGACTTGGGGAAATTTTACTGTCTACAGAATGTCAACAGGAATTAGCTGTGAAGAGAACAGTTTAGCTGCCTCTCCAGAAACCTGCTTTCCCTGCTGTTTGGTTCTTTCTCTTTTTTCTTTTTTCTTTTTTCTTTTTTTTTTTCTGAGCACCTAGCTTTTCTTGCCAAAAAGCAGGAATGCCAGCAACAAAAGTTGTGGTGTTCAAATTCAGCAGAATTCAGCAACTTCACTGTGAAGTTAGTATAAATTCAGCCACATATACTAATTGAAGCAGGTTTCTGCTTTAACTAGACATTTTTTTCTCATTTTTCCTGCCATATCTGCAGTTGAATTAAAAAAAAAAAAAAAAAGTTACAAAACAAACAAACAAAAAAAGAGCCCAGCAGACCATGTAAGAACCTTTCAGTTCCTGAGCACAGAGGTCAGAGATGGCTCTCACTGACTTCACTGTGCAAAATCAAACTCCTTTCTCTGCAGTAGTTTATGGAGAAGTGAAAAGAGGTTACAGCAAGGAACACAACAGATTAATGCTTGTGCAGCTGAGCTGAAAAAATGGAACACAGATACACAGCTGTTCTGCTGTACAAGGCTTGGTAACAGGTGAAACAACAACTGCACACTTTTAGATTTCATGATCCTAGTAAACATAGTTGGATTTGTGCCTCTGATGTTAGAATTGACTCCCTGTGCAATTTTAAGCAAATTCAGTTCTACTGAGCCTTTTACTCCAGTTGCAAGCCCATTTGCTCCTTGTTGGTTGTCCCCTACCCAATTTGATGGCCATTTAATAAAAGGAGTAGTTATATTGAGAGGACTCTACAGACTTTTTTTTTCTTTTTACAAACCAGCTTCTTTTGTCTCTGGTATTACAGCAGAAATGTCCTTGTTTCATTTTTAGCTTTGACTGCTACAACATGAAGAGTGTATGTTATGTAGAAATCTTATGTGTTAGCTGATTTTAATGAAAGTTTTTGTAAAGAAGTGTATTACCTGTCACACTTCTCCAGTCCTTAGTAAGGGTGGTATCTAGTTTGAGGAGAGATTGACTGTTTATTTGCATTGTGAGGAATACTAGAGAGCAAGTTCGTAGAACTACAACGGGAGCCAAAACCTATTTGTATTCAAAAGAGAGCTGGTGTGGTCCTGGTTTTTAAGTCTTCTTTTGATTGATTGCTTTTATGTTTCTATGACAACATAAAAATGAGTAGGTTGTGGGTTTTTTAAATTAATTTCTTTTTTATTAGTTTTGAGGAGATTAATTCAGTCAGATTCTTACAAGATGCTTTCTCCAAATTGCTTTGTGATTGCTGATCACGACATGAAACTCATGGGCCAAGTCACCTGCTGTTTCTGCTCCCCAGATGGGTGACTGAGGCTTTTATAATAGTAGAGGAAGCACTAAAAGTACATGGTGCAGACACTTGCCCAAGCCTAAGTTGATAATGGATGTTCATGAAATTTTCTTTCCGTGAAGGTTTTAAGACAAAACTCACTTGTATACCCGTATACTAAAGGTAAAAAGATGATTCCTTCAGTACCATTTTTCACTATTTTTGGTAAAACTCAGAATAAACAGTTGCTCAAATATCTCCAATGTTTGCACTTCAGCAAATTCAATATGCATAAGGAAACCCAGTGAAGCCACAGGAATCTTGGATTTTTGTTCATTTTTTAAAAAAAATGCTTCATATTCACTGTTTGTGTTTCTGTCCTCAAATACAAAGACATATGATTGAGTAGAAAGGGGAGTCTATTTTTTCTGTGCTGATTTTGCCATTGTAACGGGTACTCATGTTGCAATTTCTCATGCAGTGGGCTATGTTGGCTCTGTAAACATTTTTCTTTCTTTTGCTCATTTTAATCATAAGATAGCCTCTCAATAAGATAGCCTTCAGGGGGTGTCTGCATCCATAGAGAAATCTATCAGCTAACACAAGTCAGAGTAGACGTAGGGTCAAAATAAAGGGAGAGACTTGTACATGCACCCTGATTTCAATAATTCAAAATCTGATGGTGTCTTTTGTTCATATTGCTTTAGGCCTTCCAGAGACAAGTGCATGAAAGTCTGACTCAGCTGGAACTGATCAATAAACAGTATCGCCGCCTGGCCCGAGAGAACCGCACTGACTCTGACTGCAGCCTCAAACAGATGGTTCATGAGGGGAATCAGAGATGGGACAACTTACAGAAGCGAGTTACCTCCATCCTGCGCAGACTAAAAGTATTCTTCTGTTTTTAAGCCTTTCAGTTTCACTGACATGAATCAGGAGTACTCCAGAAGCTTCCAATTTAATGCATTTGCATAGTGTTTTTGAGGGAATTTTTACCTTTGGAAGAGGAAGGGAGCTTATCTGTTCACTTTGTCTGAGGTAACCAAAGCATGAAGTCTGCAGGGAAATGCTTGGTGACCTCAAACACTGCCTCCTTCATAGAAGATAACTCTCATAGGTCAGCTAATTGCAACCGTAGATGATTTTACTGAAAAAGGAACCTTAGAAAGCATGTACGAAATGAAAGAAGAAGGTGTACTGAGGTTAGGTTGGGTTTGAAGGGCATGAAACCCATTTCTTCAGAGAACCACTATTGCTAGGGTCTTCTTTTGGGTAATTTGTTCGTTTCATACCACTCCATTTTCCACCCCCCAGCATTTTATTGGCCAGCGTGAGGAGTTTGAGACAGCACGTGATAGCATCTTGGTATGGCTAACAGAAATGGACCTGCAGCTGACCAACATTGAGCATTTCTCAGAGTGTGATGTCCAAGCAAAGATAAAGCAACTTAAGGTAAGGAATGATTGAATGGTAACAGGAGGAGGAATGAGAGAAGGGTGGGAAAAGAATTTAAGAAACATTATGCAATAATGTACCTGGATACAGTCCCTTACTTGTAGGCTGAGAGTTCAGCCTCCAAAGTTATGTGAGATGTCAGGTTTCAATATGTGCTATTCTGCCAGAGTGGAAAATCTTTGCACGGTGAAAAATTTTTAAAAACCCAAGGGTGATAGTCTCCATTCCCTAATCAAAAGAGAAAACGTTGATAAAAATTATTAATGTCGAGTTCTCATTATTACTGACACCTAAGAATTACTATATTTGTCAACCATTTCTGCAGAAGATAAATCATTATCTGGAGAGAAAAATATCAAATGTCATGTTGTCCAAAATTCCAGTGTGGTAGCTTTAGCATCTGTGTTCATTCTAGACATTTGGTCATGGGCATGGCTTGTTTAGAGAATAGCTTTCTTTCCAAATACAACAAGTGAGGAATGAGATGGTAAACCATGAAGTATCACTGCTTTTGGCTGGAAAGACTGCGGAATGCTAAATTTAATTGCTCGTTGTTGCTCATGCCAATATCTGTAAAGATCCCTGTTTGTTACCCACACCATTCTTGCTCAAAAACCCTAAGACTTGCATCCTTAATAACTTAGGTAGTTGTAATGTTGATTTCATTAATAAAGCATGGGCTTCTCTTTTATGCAGGCGTTCCAGCAAGAAATTTCACTAAACAACAACAAAATTGAGCAGATAATTGTGCAGGGTGAGCAACTCATTGAGAAGAGTGAGCCCATAGACGCAGCTGTCATTGAAGAAGAACTAGATGAGCTGCGTCGTTACTGTCAAGAGGTCTTTGGACGTGTGGAACGTTATCACAAGAAACTCATCCGTCTTCCTGTGTGTATACTTACATACATACCTACTTGTTTGGTTTGTTGCCATTTCACAAGTGTGAGAATGAAAAGAGAGATGTTGAAATGAACTAACATGAAACTTCTGTAACTTTCCAAAAATCCTGTGGTTTAATTTTAGTACAACCCTGACCTTCTGCCTCCCTTCATTATACTCTATTTATGTCCAGTACAGAGAGCAAACTTGCCAGATCTGGAATTTTTGTAAATCATCATGAAAATCCATGCAAATTGGAGATTTATAAAACTTTATTAATGGGGATAGCCGTGTGGGACTAGTAATAAGAACATCTTCCTGCTCTGTCAGATAGTTTTCTTTAGCAGGTTATTGAGTTCTGTTTTGTTTAAAAAACAATGATAGAATGATTCTCCCCATCAGAAGAGACAGAAATTTGTCTCCAGAAATGAACACACAGCTGAATAAGTGAGAACAAAATGAGTTTTGGTAGCTCAAGTCCTACTGAAAGAAAGGAACAAAACCCAGGGTTTTCAAAATAGGAAAAAATATGATGAGAGCAGTGATTACAACAAAGATCACTTATGCTTCCGATGACTTGATTCCAGAGTTTTCTCTAAATTCATGTCTGAATTACAGTGATATCAGTAAAGTCTGAAGACGTGTGCTTGATGTGAGACTTTTTGGTGCCTTAAGTAATTAAAATGAGCTGGCATTATGAACTTTTTTGTTGCTTTGGCTTTTTAGTGCACCTTAAAATAATGAAGGAGAGTGCAGACAAATGAAAAATGGAAATCAATGTGACTGTTGCCTAATGCTACTTTATTTCACTGACCCAGGCTGAGCATGCAGTGCCTCTGCACATTGCATTGATAGGTTCTGTTTGCATTATGCTTCTAGCTGACAGATGACGAACATGACCTCTCTGACAGAGAGGTGGATCTGGATGAATCAGCAGATCTCTCTGACATACACTGGCATGACAAATCTGCGGACAGCATTCTCTCCCCGCACCCCTCTTCCAACCTTTCGCTGCCTCTTTCCCAGCCGGTGAGAAGCGAGCGATCAGGGCGAGATACTCCTGCGAGTGTGGACTCCATTCCCCTGGAGTGGGATCATGACTACGACCTTAGCAGGGACCTGGAGACAGCTGTTTCACAGGCACTGCACTCTGAGGAAGAAGATGGAGGACAAGAGAAGGACTTCTACCTGAGAGGAGCAGCTGGTATAGCAGGTATGGTGGCAACATGTGTGTCCTGATCTTTCCTAGTAAAAAGAAGCAAATGTTACATGTGTGATTGCTTGGCCAAGATGCTCATGGAAAAGTAAAATTTTCAAGGGCTATTTAAAATAAACAGCTTTCCCTAAGTGATCCCAGTGGCCTTCTGGCATTAGACACAGTGATGGAGATTTCTGGATGACTACAAGCTTTGAAAATCGCAAAAGCATATATGATATGACAGGGAATTGGCTGTGTCTCTGGGCTTGTGGCCTGCCAGATGGAGTATGTCATCTGCAACAGCAATGCGTCGTAAGTTATTCTGACTAGAAGAAACTATACTGGATATGTCAAGAAGTGCAAAATAAACTGATGAAGAAATGCTGTGGGAGAGATCCACAAACAAAATCATCAAGTGCTTAAGTAAATCTTAACTCAGTCCTTACCCAGGCAAGGCTCCAGCAACTGAGTGTTTAGCCTGAGGTGGGATCTTGGGTCTTGCTTTCCACTGAAGTTGGAAATCCTCTATAAGTGTGTGTGCTTTGTGTAACAAAGCTTAACAAGTGAAAGTGCCCAAATGCAGCCAGTTCTGGGGGAAGACATACTGGTATATTGTACTCCAATCTTCTGGCTGTTTTTTGCTTTCCAGATCATTGCTTTGAAAAGAGTCAGGTTTGCCTCAATATTAAGAGACTTTCTAACAGGCTCACTGTGTTTCAGTCTTCACCTTTTTTCCTTCTCCAGAAAGGATGTTTGCTATTGGAACCATTTATATATTCCATCCCATGAAAAGGACTCCTGCTGTGAGGAGACAGCCATTGCTGAACAGTCGATTTAGACTGTGCTTTTATTTTTTCAGATGTAGAGATCCCTGAAACTCTTGAGGCCTATGTAACACTCACAGAAAACACACTCAAAAATCTCTCTGGTAGGCATCAAAAAAGACTAAGCATAGCCAGATAAAAATACCACAGTGTGCAAGCATAATTTCTTTCTCTTCTCTTAGCACCTGCTATGCTTTTCACAACTTACAAGATAAATATTTCTTACATAACAGCATTAGCATATTAATGTAGAAGTATCCTGCTTTACTACTGTACTTAAAAGGCATTATTAGGTGCATGGATTTAACAATAATGTTTGGAGTATTGGCCCTCCCACCTTAGCTAACTAGACTAAACTGATCAGTAGGCTACTCTGGTCTTTATTCGCTGGAGTCCCTCAACAGGACTTAATACTTTGTTGTGCCTCTGAGAGAAGAGTGGTTTCTACAAACATTAAGATGAAAAGATACAGAGCAAAACCTAATTGTTCAGATTTGTGCTTATTTTTTTAACAAAGCCACTGCTTGGATTATTAATTACATATAAACTTTTAAACAGTGCCAAGGTGAAGACTACTGCACTACAGCAGTGGTCTAATATCTTTATCTTAGTCTTCTATATTGGAAAATTATTTTTTTTTTTCATGTTGCATGTTTTACACAAGATTAAGCCTTCTGTTTCATTTGTTCAATGACTCTCTCAGAGGGTTTAGATGCATTTACAAATACCTTTTCTTATGATTTCAGTTTTTCTCTTGAAATAATGACTTAATTTGCAAATTTGAAATAGCAAGCATTTAAAATCTCAGTGTTTATTAGATGAATAATACCATTTTTCAAATAATCTATCCATAATTTTTGTTAAACACCTAATTGGAAAAATACTATAAATTTTGCTGCTTAGTGTGGCTGCCTCAGTCAGTCATGAATTATCTGCTGTGGGCTCTCAAAACGTCCAGTCATCCGTGAACCTTGAGAATATATAACAGTATCGCTTAGAGTTTGTATACTGCTTTCAATCTTCAAAATTATATACAAATAGAATCCTTTCATGTAGATTGAAATTTTTTAGTGGAGATAATACAAAGAAATGAGGAGAGATCAAATTTTAACATGGATTTGGATCAGGAGTTTGGGATACGAGGTTTTATTTGGGAGTGTTTGTGAAAGGGAGCAAGGCATTCTCCAAAATTAGTGAGGTTAGAGCATGCTTTGCCAAGAACTTTCTCCCCTTCAGAGAGGTGAGGAATTCTCTGAGGGAAAAGTCACTTCAGAATAGTCACCAAGCCTGCTTTAAACTGTGAACTCTTTGACACTATGCTTATGGCAAGCATGTTCATTGATACAGTTGTCTGTCCTCTGAAGGTTGCTAACACCCTCTACTGTAACTAGTTACCACTGTACCGCTCATACTGCTGCAGTCACATTTTTCCTTTACTGTTTAATCTAGTTAGTATTCCTGATACTTATTCTGCCTGGGCAAAAGATTAAAAAAAACTTTGGGAAAAACTTGGGTGACAGTCACTTTTTTGGTTTTGGTACAGGAGAACCTGGTGCCCTGGAAGCACATATCCGACAGCTGGACAAGGCATTAGACACCAGTCGTTTTCAAATACAGCAAACAGAAAACATCATCCGCAGCAAAACACCTACAGGACCAGAGCTGGATTCCAGTTACAAAGGATATGTGCGTGTATTTTGGAGCACAAGTTGAATAAGCACTCCAAGCTTAGATTTGCTGTTGAATGAAATATGGCTGTTTCAACAAAGCAATTAGATATTACTACTTCTCAGACATACTCATTCATATGGTTGCTACACTTAACCACATACTATTGTTGTTTATATTATTTAGTGTCTTTAGAATAGCATAAGATCATAGGAACATGACTCTAAGGAATTAATTTTCCTGTCACATTTTTGCAGATACCCAAAAGTACTTTCTTACATGTGTTTTTATCCATCTAATGATGATATCCTTGTTTAAAATTCTTCTGCATTTAAAAGCTGTTTTTATAGCTTCATATACAGTATTCATCTTGCTGATGAATTATGTAATGATGATGAACTCATCATGTAAGCAAGGTTGTCTATATGGAATTAAAAATCTTTCTCAGAGAGGTTTTCTGGAAGAAAAATCTCCAAATCATTCAAATAATTTTATTACTGGGAGAACTGAAAGATGCATAGTAATATCTCCACACTTAAGTGTATTTCCTTTATCACGTCTTCTAGTGTTTTTCCCATAGGTCTTAACATTTAGAATAGATGTCACATAAAGTCCTTCAGCACGATTTGGCACAGTGTCACTGATTTATTTCTGTTTAGTCTGAATTTATGATTTAAGCCTCTATTGTCCATATACATTTCTCTGATAGTATCAAGACAGATTGTTAAAGTAATAGATTTTTATCTTCACATTTAGACCTTCTTCTGAAGAATTTTGGAAGTTACATTGTAATTTGCATTTTTTGTGCAATTAGTAATGTACAGTGCATATTAAGGTGGGATTTTTTTGTTTGTTAACCCAGATGAAGCTACTAGGTGAGTGCAGTGGAAGCATAGACTCAGTAAAAAGGCTTGGATATAAACTGAAGGAGGAAGAAGAAAAATTATCTGGACTTATTAACCTCAACAGCACTGAAACACAAACAGCTGGTAAGTAACATTTAGTTCTTTGATGGAAAGCAATTATGAAAAGTAGCAAACATCCAAAGTTTTTCTGAATAAACACTTGGTATTATTTACTGACATATATATTTACATGACTGTCTGTTACTATGTTCTGTTTAACCGTTTAACATCTCTTAATAGGAATAGTAAGTATTCCTTGTATATGCCCTGTAAAGAGATTAGGCATACATGTACATTTTAAGAACCCCTTCATATCATGAGACATAACCCTAAGCCTTTTGGAATGTCCCTGTGGGTGCAGTGCATTTTTGTTGAATGTTTTCTGATGTAAAAAGGTTGCTTATATTGCTGTACAACACACGTAAGTCAGCATTCATTTCTTCTAATATTAGCTTTCACTACAGAAATCTATATTCACCTGATAGAAGTATCACTTGACTAATTTTAAATATAGCTGTAGAACAGGAGGTATTGCACTGTAAAAACAAGGATTCATTTCCAGACACTATAAAGGCAACATCTCCATTCTTAGCTTGGCAAGATACACTACCCATGCAGTTTATTTAATTTTGTTTTTCAGTTGATAGAATTATGCAACTTGTCCTTCTGCCAGAGCATTTCAAGATAACTAACAAGAAGAAATAGACCCTAATTTATTTCTTTTTATTGCAGGTATTTATCTAGCGCATCAGCAGTAGTTTAGGCAAACGCAGTGAGGTGTGTTAAATTGTGATAGGTACAAATACCAATGAAAATAATATTAAATATGTGACTAGTTAGACATATTCATATTTCTTTTCCAGTTTGCATTTATGCTAATTTATGATGTCTTTATACCTGCATAATCTGTTTTAGACCTTAATGTATCAACTTAATTCCATTCATAGAAGTCTGACATTAGAAAGTGGTAAAATTGCCTGCTGCCTGGAATCATCAAGATTCTTTTCTCTCCAACATCATGTTCTTCAATCTAATTTAGTTTTCAGTGTTGTGTTTTGTGGGTTAGGGTTTTTGGGGTATTTTGTTCTGCACAGGATTCAACTGATGCAGTTGTGTGTGTGGCTAGTGGTTATTTTGCTTTTGTTGAATTTGATGTTTATCATTTCAGGTGTAATTGACCGATGGGAATTAATCCAGGCTCAGGCTCTAAGCAAGGAGCTGAGGATGAAGCAGAACCTTCAGCAATGGCAGCAGTTTAACTCTGACCTTAATAGCGTTTGGGCTTGGCTTGGAGAAACTGAAGAGGAACTGGAGAAGCTCCACCACCTTGATCTCAGCACTGACATACAAACTATTGAGCTCAGAATCAAAAAATTGAAAGTGAGTTTTATTTCTTTTTTTCATAAGTTGCCTTGTAAACAGACCTGAGTGCAAGAGGTACGTTAAAGAGATTGCCAATAATTGCAGCTGGTCTGCTCCATTCTGCACATAGAGGGCTACTGCTGATAATGGAAGTAACTTGGAAAGTGATTTTATGAATCACCTTTTGGCAGAAAAATGTACCACTGGAATTTCCTATATAATCCAAATGAATTTTTGAAATAGTAATTTTGTGGCAATGCTGTAATTCCATAATGTACAGATAATTCCTGATGTCAGCTAAACTGTTGAAAGAAAAAAAAAAAAAAGCCAAGGTAAATCAAATCTCTTCTAATCCAACTGGTAACAAAATAGCTACTTTAAAAGAAATGCCTCACTGGGAAATACTACTTTGTGTGGAGGAAGGAGAGAGTGACCCAAAGGGGTTGTAGCCTATCCATTGCTGTAACTAGTGCAACATAGGAAAAATTGGGTTCACTTTGCAACATTGCTGTTTCTTCTTCTGACATCTCAGATGCATCAGAATCTGAATGCTGCCTTTGTGATCTCTCCTGGATGTTGTACAGCTATAAAAATCTGCAAATATGATGTTCTACAACTCCACGTTCAGTTATTAGCACCGTATAAGCTTGGGCACAAAAATGTGGGAGCCAATGTCAAAATGCACTGTGCTCCATGTTAAGAATGAGGTGAAGATAGTAAAGACTGTTTCCGGCAGTGATCCACTAAAGTATATTAATGCTGATATTCACTGTAATACAAATATAGCTGCCATAAGTACTACAAAGGTCACTGTGACATGGGGCTTTTAAGTAAATGCTGTAAAGTAGGTGGAAGAGGGGGCATTTCATAAGAATCCTGTTCTTATCTCAACCACTCTTGGAAAGCCCATTAGTGCCCTCCAAACCAAAAGAGGTGGGGTTTCTTTTGTGGCTTCCAATGTAAACAAATCAGTTTTATACATGTCCTGCTTCTATAAATTGGAGTAAGTTATTTATACTCTTTGTATGTTTTCTTTTCCCTCATTAAAAGCTTTTATTTTAAAACACTGTTGACAGCACTTTCCACTTGAAAACATGTTGGGTTTTATGTTTATCAGCAAAACTGAAAAGTGAGGGCAAAAGTTTTATTGTGAGCTGAAGTACAATTGTCCTACATCTCTAAATTTTGTTGGGCCTGCTCTGTGTTTAAAATGTCTGAAATGTGAGCCAGATCTTTAAAATTCAACTATGACTTCAGGCTTTTAAGACTTTAGAAGTTTAATTGGCTTTTTCTAGTTTATGCTTAGAGTACAATTTTAGTAGATTAGTTAAAGAGTGAACATTTGCAGAGTCACAAAGTGCCCACAAAAATCTCATATCCAGAGTAAAGAGACTGTTACAGTAAGGTACCATTCTGCAGTGCTGATAGCAAATCATTGCATTCTTGTGGTGCCTTCTCTACTTGGTTCTTCTGAAAGTCACATGTTTTACTGATTTCCATCCTTTCTTCCCCTGTCTCACTTTGTCTTATCATCAAGGAGCTGCAGAAAGCAATTGATAACCGCAAAGCAATCATCTTATCCATCAATCTGTGCAGCTCAGAGTTCACTCAGTCTGACAGTGAGGAGAGCAAGAAGCTTCAAGAGCGTCTGTCTCAGATGAATGTGCGCTGGGACCACGTATGCAGTATGATTGAAGAGTGGCGCTGCTCATTGCAGGATGCATTAATGCAATGCCAGGTCTTTATTGTGCTTATTTTAAATTGTCAACATCCCACATATCAAAAATGTAAACCATATAGTTATCTGGTGTGCTCATTATCCTGTCTGAAACTTGCCCATGCAAGCCAAAATACAGCTTCAGTATGTGTTTTCTGAAAGATACACCTGCACTATGCTGAAACATGTGTTTCTAGCCCAAGATTTTCTACATTTGTAATCTCTGAAATAGTATTCTAGTATATTATTCTACACTTCTTTGTAAGTTATGTTGTTTAGCTGGTAGGACCTATCATAGAATAAACTAAAAACCTGAATTTGATTAGAATTTTCTGCTACGCTATTAAAATCATCACTAATCACTTGCAGGATTTCCATGAAATGAGCCATGGTTTGCTGCTTTGGTTAGAGAATATTGACAGAAGAAAAAATGAAATTGTGCCCATCAATCCAAACCTGGACCCAGAAATGCTGCAGGATCATCACAGGCTTCTAATGGTAGTCTATAATCACCTCTTTCTCCCCCAAAATACATCATTAGAAAAATACCTAACCAGTTTTATCTTCCTCTTCAAGGGTTAGCATTCTACATTGCATGCTAACATTCAGCTGTGGGACCAATGTCAGTAACTACTTTGGTAGAGAACACTACTCACTTCCATTAGTAGCATAACTTGTATTTTAAAATCTCAGGCAACTGCTAAGCTGCTGTATAACTTCCTCTCAGATTAGAAATTTTTATTGCTTCTCTTTTCTTTCCATTTCATAGATTTCAAATGTCCACTTTTGTGAGTTTTAGCTTTTTTCCTCTTCTTTTTTTTTTTTTTAACCTTCATTAAAAAAATCTGGTGCTTGCCTTGGCAACAGCAAATCAGACGTGAACTGCTGGAGTCTCAGTTGAAGGTGGCATCGCTACAAGATATGTCCTGCCAATTGCTAGTCAATGCTGAAGGCAAGGACTGTCTTGAAGCCAAAGAAAAGGTGCATGTCATTGGAAACAGACTGAAGCTTCTCTTGAAAGATGTCATACGTCATATTAAAGACCTAGAGAAAATTCTAGACATTTCAAGTAGTCAGCTGGTAAGTCACGTTGTCTTGCTGTTTATTGGGCATATTTCCCAGTGTTTTGACTGTCTTTCTCTGATCAGTGCTGTGGCTGCACTGTTTCTATTGTTTGCAGTACTTATCAAGATGGTACACATGTAATCTTCAATATCATAAAGTAATCTTACACTTCATAATGTAAACATCTCTTTTGTGATGTGGTTTTTTTAATCCACTATTTTTTTGCTATTTAGTTTAGCAGTAAGTATTGGACACCTTGGTTTGTTTCTCCTTCCATTACTGATTCAGTCAACTGGCAAAGTATATGAGATAATTATTCTAGTTTCAGTACTGAAAATTACAGTGTGTCAGTTTCTACTGGAAAGGAAGATAATGCTCACTCTGTCAAAGTGGGGGGGGGGGGGGGGAAGCATAAAATAAATTTTGTTATAGGCTAATAAATCTCTCATAGTGCCTTCTGAGCTCTGAACTGTGCTCCAAATCTTTTCAAACTATCATGTGTCTCAAGGGTTTGAGAGGGAGTTACACATACATCTTTGCCAACAGTGGCAAGTATAAAATAAAGATTTCAAGGTTCTCCTTTAGTTAACTTATTTTAAAGTCTTGGATAAGCAGAGTGCATAAGGTATGGGAACTCAGATCTTTCGTCCTTCTAATGAATTTCTGCCTGTTTAAGTAAATCTTGGTGGTACTAGCCTCTTCTTGTAATTAAAGGCCAATAAAGAGCAACAGGTTTTTCTCCTGTAATAACTTTGTTGGGAAATGTCACCTAAAGCAATTAAGTTTTAACTACCTGTTTGCTTCTCTTTTCCTTCGGGACTAACAGAGAAAACATGTAATGCCTTGGTCTTATAAAATTTGGCAATGAAATTTAACTGCTTTATTGCTTTAGAAATAACTCTACTGGGATTTCACTCGGGGTTTTTTTTTTTAGTTTTTTTTACCTGAACAGCTAGTTGCTGTATTTCTGAGCTCTATTCCGTCTGAACTTTAGGAATTGTCCTCATGGTCCTCTGCTGATGAATTAGACACATCGGGCTCAGTGAGTCCTGTATCCGGAAGAAGCACTCCAAGCAGACAGAGAACGGTAATTTCATGTCATATATGTTCTGCCACCTCCTGGGTGGGAGCTCTAGATGTCTGCAGTAGCTCTAGCCAGCTGGAAGGCCCCCCTTTTTCTCACTAATAGGAGAGGAAACATCATAAAGCAAGAACAAAACATAGCTGCTTTCCCCAACCCTGCTGCATATCCCACCCTGCATGAAATCAGAAGTGGTAAATACTATCTAAAACCAGGGCTGTCAGTGTGGTTGTTTTACCATGGTATGGCATGTCGTGTCTCTTGTATTTTGCTCTAGTGATGACAGCACCCCAAAGTCTAGTCTTGTCTGGTATAATCAGTCCTCCATTTCTGTTTGGCCTTCACTTCAGAGCTGCTTCATCGAGAATCTCAATGAGGTTTTTTTGTCATTTCTGATGAAGGTTGCAGGTGGTCTTATTGAGACTTTGGGTGAATGGCTAAGTAGAGCTGAAGGGCATAAAATATTATTCAAAACAGCTAGTTGCACAGGACCTAATCAATGGCTATGATGGCAACTCTGGAGTTTACATTGCTGGCACAAAATTCAAGAAGTATAGCAATACATGCCTAGTACTTAACACTTCCATACTCTGAGCCCAAAATGGAACTGCAATTATTTTGTCTTTCTGCAATTCTATTGGTTGATTACTTTGCTTTTTTCCTTAGTTCTTAAAACAATCAGGTTGGTTTTGGTGTTTGGTTTGGTTTTTTTCCATTTGCACTTTTTGTAAAACCTCTAAATTCTTTCTTGATAAGTTTATGGCTCTTGAAATTGATTTTTTTTTAAATTTTTTTTTTTACATTCACTAGTTTCCTTTTAGATGCTAGTATGAGAATGTAAAGGAATACTGGCTTTTCAAAAGAAGAAAGAATATAAACTTTTTATTTCAGAGGTCAATGCTTTTATCTTTTAAATTTAAGCTTAGATAATTAATAAAAGCTCTGATATCACAGATGTAACTGGAGGATGCCTGACCATTACAGGAAATAGAGAAGTATTTTACAATGAGATCTTTGTCTAAATAGTATGTAGAATTATAATAGGTTTCATCTTAACATTTTAATAAGCATTTGTCTATCTAATTTGTTAGTGTTATATATGTGACAACTTTTTAAAATTTTTGTCCACAATGTATAGCTAAGTTGTATTATTCCTTGGGGTCTGGTTTTCAAGCTTCTGGCTTTTGTACCCACAATTTTGGAGACTGAAGCGATGTTGTTAGGAATTTCAGTGCCAAATATACTGATGCTAAATAAATGAATACTAATACCAAAAATACAATCAGAATTAGAATAATCTAACTGCATTAAATATTCCAGCAAATAGTTGTGAGTGCACAAATGCACCTACAGTTATTTGGCATTCAAAATTGTGGGGGGATGGGGGTGGAGAAGAAGCCAGACTTGTCAAAGGAAGCCCTTGGACTTTTTTTCTTGAGAATATTAATTTTGCTGCATTTACATTTTGAAATATCTATATTTGCCCATATTCAGCTCAATAATATTTTGTCTATTTAATATTACAAATTATATGAGCTAAATTTCTAGTGATACTTTTAAATCCAGAGCTGTTCATAAACACAATGACTAAACAGTTATTTTTGAGTTCACTGTGTATGTCCCAATCATTTCCATACTCAGCTAGGCACAAAGAAAAGCCAGTTTCCTTGGTTCATGGGTATTGGTCACTTCATTTGATTTATTATTTTTTTATGTTTCCTTTGCTGCACTTTTAGTTTAGTTTCATCAGTAGCTTGTCTTTATTTGCCTGGACTGAACATTCTTCTTTCTTTACCCCCTGTTCATTGCAAACAGCCACGGGGCAAATGTAGTCTCTCACAGCCTGGACCCTCTGTCAGCAGTCCACATAGCAGGTACCTTATTCTCCTGGTTTCCGCACTTTGTTCTAGAACTCCAAGAGGATGATGAAAATTGGCCGTGATTCCTCTCTGTCCACACTGACTGTCAGGTGGCCAGGACTTAAAGAACTGAAAACGTCCCTTTTGTTAATAGTTTGGCAAAAGGGGCTCTCAATTACTTCAAATTCTTTGTTAAATTGACATAGCAGCTAATCATTGAACATCTACAGCTTTTGCTTCCCAGGAATGCCATGTATTCAACATTTATTTTTCATACACCTGATCAGGATGAGTGTGTGTTCACACTCATGATATTTAATGATTATTTATTTTGGCATGATTTAACAGAAATGTTAGTAGGTTCATGGCAAACACTTTTTATCATCCTCTTTACCTCTAGATATTAAATTAAGGCAGGTAATAGGCCAATACCATATTCTAGAATTCACAAAACCCACAGATCTGGATGAGACATATACTAACATCCTTTTCTTTCTTTTTTTTTTTTTCCCTTTTTTTTTTTTTTCCCTGAAATGTTTTGTTCAGTTTGTGGGTTTTAAGTACTTGAGATTCAAAATTAAAAGTCAGAATTTGAGGGTTTTGAGACTTGGGGTCACTTTCTCTCCCCTCTGAAGATGACTGCAATATAACGTGCTAACATTGCCATGACTTGCCAAGTGCTTGCATCCATGTATCGCTCTGGGAGCAGCACTGCCCCATCTCTGTCTGACCAGCAGAGAGCAGGCTTGCAGCTACAGCTTTTTGCTTTCCACCTTGTCTCCAGCAACCTGTCATCTCTGCAGCTAACTGCTTCTGCATTCTTTGTTGTTGTCAGTGTGATTTGTGTACCTTCACTCTTTCACTGATCAGTTCACTAGCCTCTAGATTTATGAAGTTTTAAAAAAAAAAACAACACAGAAAACCCACAAAAAAAACAAAAAACAAAAAACAAACAAACAAAAAAAAAAACCAAAACAAAAAACACACAACAGTAAATGAGCAGGCCAGTATGTGTGAAGAGGACGTTTTTTACTATTTCAGCATCTTATGCATTGCAACACCTAAAATAATCATAAAGTATGTTGAAAATATATTTGTTCTTACAGTTAAGTCCTATATCTCATTTATTCTCTTTATATTGAAAATTAACTCATTTATAAAGTAACTTCCATTAAAGTGAAAGATTTGATGTTGGAAAGAAGGCAACACTAGATTTAACGCAGTGATTAAGCAATAACCAAGCAGACAAAAAATACCTTAAGAGTGGGTTTTTTCATGAGCAAAATCAAGGCTTTATTCAGGAAAATTATTCTCAACTATAAATGAAAAATTAATGAAACTACTTACCATGTAGATATTTACATAAACACTTCTTAAAAAAAAAAAAGTTTGCTTTTTATGTGTAGTTAGCGACTGCATAAAGTTTCATCGTTTCAGAACCCCATAGCATAGCAGACAGAACAGGCAGAGCATCTTTCACTGCTTCCACTGGCACTAAGAAGCTGCCTTATTTCTAGGGATTTTTTTTTCTTTGAAACATAAGGAACCACATAGAAAATAGATGACACTCCATCTTTCTGTCTGAGGGAGAAAGATAATCATTTTTTCCAACTCCAGTCTGCTATGAAGCTTGGCATTTTGTTTCTTATAAGGAGTGGGAAAGAGAAGGAATGGGACTTTACTCTTCAGCCGTTAACAGCTAAGAGGAACAGAGGATGTCTTCGGCAGATCAGCATGCTTGCACTAGCAACGTTGTACTCAAGAAATGTATTGTGTGCGCTCTTCTGCTCTCCTGTATAGTCATACCACTTCTGCCAACCTTTTGAGAAGGTTTCTGGTTGTAGATTAGAGCTGCTGGCTCAAATTGCAGCTAGCAGTGCTTTGCAGCTTTGAGATCAACCTCTATTCTAGCAGTGGCATTGGTGCGGCACCTTTCAGATCAAGTCTTTCCAGCACTGTTTATTAACACATCTTGTAGCAGTACAACACAATGTTCAATTTGTCATTCAGACAAGCATGGAATACGAATGAGTCACTGCTGAATAGGAAACTTAATCAAATGCGCAAGCCAGACAGGTTGTGGTTGATGTATAATATGTTTTTAACTGATAAAGCGGTACAAGCTGTCACTGTGTTCCTTAATATTTTGACATGCCTCTGATCAGAGTACTTTGTGTTTGATCTTGCACTGGATCAGCAAACCCTGTTAGAGTTTAGTATACAGGAGAACTAAAGTCAATTTTAAGAGGTTTATCACATAGGATGTTGTGAAGGAAAGATCATTTAAAAATTAGAGGGGCTGTATTTGTGTATAACAAGTGTGATATCACTTTGCCCTGCCCATCATCACAGCAAATAGACAAGCATACATAGTGTGATGATAAACAAGGTACAAGCTTAAACTAGACATTACATTGTGGATTTAACTAAAGGCTTGTTCAAGAGGTATTAGTAATCGTGTACTAAGTGGGAAAAGCAAATCCAAGAAGCAACTCCTCTTCATCAGTTTAATAGAGCTGTCATAAATGCACACCTGGATCTGTGCCTGTGGAATTTTTTTAAGTGATTAAAATGTTAAAAAGATTACAATAGTGGTTCAATTTGCTATGGGGTGTTTACACTGTCTCTCTTGAGCAGCTCTATTCAAGTCTTGGTGCCACAGTGCCAACCTCCTTTTCCTGCTCTCCCCAAGCCTCCCAAAATGACTAGTGGATCTTTAAAGGTCACTTGCTGTTTCTGGAACAGACCAGGCCACAGTACTCTCTGTGTCTTTGGCCACAAAATGGCAGTCATTGCCACACAGTAGCTCAAACATGAGGTTTGGGCTTGGCTTGCCATGTTCTTCTCCCAGTTATCTCCCTCATTCTCACTTAGAGCTTGTTACTTCTTATTTAACTGCCTTTGAAATGGACATACTCATCTTCTTTACAGGGTAAGCCAAATCTGAACTTGGGGTGATGTGACGCTGAGAGCTAGGAAAAGAACTGAAATTAGAAAGCAGCCAAAGTTGCTTCTAGAGAGTCTCTTAGGCCACCAAGAGGAGTTGCTCTCTGCTCTTGTGGGCAGAGCATCATACCTTCTCCTTCATAACTTTAGCAACCTCTGTCTTAAAAAAAATCAGAATCAGTGGGAACAAAAAGTCTATTAGAAGGTCTATCTAGAAGTACAATAATTTCCATCATCAATATATCCATGGTTAGATGTAGTAATTTGGGTTTGTGCCAACATTATCCCTTCCTTTAACAACTTTTCACCTTTCTGTCTGTTCTGCCCTATTTTATAAAGGGTAGTTCTTGTATCTCTCAGGTTTTATATTGATATGCTCACCTCTTTATTTTGTTCATAGGAGAAATGCTCTGGGGTTTTTGACTCCTTTAAGCTTGTATAAGTTTGAATTCATCTTTCAGAAGTGGGTTAATCAAAATGATACAAACTGCTTCAGGTGAGAAATTGCTAGTGCCTTATAGAACACCATTAAAACAACCCCTTTTCTCTTCTGGAAACCTTGAAATTTTTATTTATTTTTTTTAAAGGTCATTTGTCTCTTTTCACAGCTATTCATAAACCACATTACTGGTTTGTGGCTATCCTGTGTCAAACAGCTCTATATTCTCTTCATTGTCTTCAGAGTGTGAATTTCCAAAGTTACGGCAAAGTTTTTATTGCTAACTTACATGCTGTACTCTTAAACTCCTTGAACTACTTAAACCTATTGGATTCACCCACTTTTTTCTGTTCAAGAAGCCAGCCCTATTTTATATTTGCAAAGACTTCCAATTTCTGTCATCACACAGATGAAATTTGCTGTTCTTACATTTTGTGCCAGTCTTTTCATAAAGATATTAAATCAAGATTCATCCTTGATTAACTCCAGTAATAACATCTTACTAGCCCAGCAGTGCCTCTTTCAATGTAAGCCTGTTGTCTGCATTCCATTAGTCCCTTCCTATTAAACTCACTTTATTTATTTCCATCAGCTTCACTTGAATGATAAATTCTTCTCTTATAATCTTTCAGATGTTTACTGCAATACAGATAAATTACTTCAACCATATTTTCCTTGAAAAAAAAAAATAATCAGTTATCTTTTAAAGAAGGTACTCATCTGAGATGAAATTAAAGTTTGCTTTGCCTGTCCAATCTATAGCCTGGTAAATTAGCTTCTCCTCTCGAAATGCTTGGGAAAGAGTTCAGATTTCACTGACATTACAAACTCCCAAAGTAAGGATAACTATTGTTTGCACTTCTTAGGTGAATTTATGAAATTTCATGACATGAAAAAGCCTCCTGTTGGCCTGGCCTGCAGCTGTGTCTTCTCCTTTTATCCTACTGAGTAGGAACTGTGTATGGAGTGAGTCACAGGTGGCCTTACTTTCTTCCCTCCTCAAACAGGGGCCAGTGTGACAAAAGATGGAGCAGTCAGAAGAGAGGCAGTTAAAGATGCAAGCTCAGGAAAAAGAAATTACGTTTTTCTCCAAAGTGGCATACAGTACTTCAGCTTTCCCTTCTACTGCTGCAGTAAATAGGACTTCTGGCCTTTATGTGAATAGTGACCCTCTTTTATTAATAATGTTTATTTTTAACCATCTCTCTTTCCTAAATCCATTAAACACTCAAAGCTGAGCCATTCCATTTTTCAGCCAATTATGTAGATTACAGAGGTGTACCTGCAATAAACACAGGCAGTACAGCACTCAAACTTTTTAGAACTCCCCCTCTGAAGATGTTTTCATGTTTCATTATTTGCTTGTTTAATTCTTTCCATGTAGTATTAGAAACTGTTCTTCAACACCCTAGTTCACTGCAGAAAAAATGTTTTGAAAAAGTTTGCCATGAACTGTTTTAATTTTTGAAAGAAAGTTTATGTGCCTTGTTGAGATCAGCCATGCAGCTTACACATACCACTCTTTCTCTTCTTTCTTTGGTAAAACAAAGCAAAAAGTGCTGGATTGTGCTGCTAAAGATATATGGAAAGAAAAATTAGATGCTAACTTTGCCTGCTCCATTTTGATTCTGCTTTTTGGAAATTCTCCTTCTGACACCCAGTGTTACCCCAGAGTAACTCTGAGTCAATGACGAAAATTCAGACTTTGCTCAGTATCAAACAGCAGTTACCAAGTGCAGAAATGTGGCCTTTTTTGATTGGGATTAATAACATTTGTACAATGAGAGCCTTGTAAATAGGTAGACTGTGCAATCAAATGCTTGGAAGGTAATTAAGCACTCCTTGTTCCCTTTGTTCCTACCTCAGTCCATTAACTTTCTGTCTTGGCATTCTCGGACAGTAGAAGTCCTGACCTAATTGAACTTTAATACGGAATGCTCTGATGCTGTTAAATGTGCCATATCCTTTCAATATGTTCTTTATAATATGTGATCTTACATTATGCGATAAGCAGCTTTCCATCTAGGCTACAATAACGTGGATTCAAACAACATGTGATCTGGTGTTTTGATCATTACTCCTTCCTGGGATATTTAGGTCATGTCAATCATGTAGCATACCTGAGTCTTTATGTATCTGTCAGTAAATTTACCAAATCTGTCTTGACTTTCTTGAGGTCTTCATAGTAGGATGATACACATATGAACAAGACAATAAAAATAATCTCAGGCTTAGAAGGAATTCTTTTCTGAACACTTGGGAAGGAGACCTAGCATAATTTTGAAGATATTTTGGGTTTTGCATTCTTTCTCACACAGATTCAGAATTATATGGGAGACAGGATCAAATGGACAAGGGGAAGGCAAGGTGACACTAAGGAACCATTGCCCCCTACTTGCTTTATTGGGGAGCATTTGACCTCAGCCAACAAGCCTGATCTCCCACACCTTCAAATTGAGACTAAATCCATCCTTATGAGCATTTTTATTTCAACCTAGCAAACCACAGATTTTTCTGGAGCCTCATAATCATAGCAACCACGCATATGTTTTATAGCAACAAGACAAAATTAATACCTTAATGGAAGAGTTCTTGAAGCAAATTGTTTGAAGGCTCTAAGTTCTTCCATTTTTGGCTAGTGCTAAAATACAATACTTTCACATCCCATTTAATTAGCACACTGAGTCCATCAGATTTTAATTTGCATAATCACTCTTTTCAATCATTCACTTATCTCAAAACCTGTCTTCCATATATTAGAGCTCTGACAGTTTCAGTGAAAAAGGAAAATGTGAAATCTATGTCTTTATCCTTTGCTAAAAAATAGATAGGATTTTTGAGCTTATTTTGAAGTACCCATTTCAAAATGTTTGAGGTAGGTCTCACCTCTCCCATAGACATGTGATAAATATGTACCATTTCAAGTCAGATCTATAGAGACAGGGGAGAAAATCACGCGAAGATGATGATGTCAAGTCAGTTGAGCAAATAGATTTTAACTGCTGATTAAGTGCAAAATTCAAAATACAATGTACTTTGTAGAAAATAAGTCCCTGTTGCCTGCATATTGGTGTATTAATTAATTGAAGATTGATGTAATTGAATCTTACTGCATTATACCCTTACGGATACCGTATATGGAAATTACATAGAAACTTCGGCATTTTAAACAGTGTTTTTAGACAATGTGCATTGAACACGTGACAGGTATGGCTCACCTTTTATTTCCCCCTTCTCTAGAGCACAGTGCTTTAAGTGGAGAGTCTTCCCCATAATTGATGAAGGGACTGTGGGGTCACATAGCCCATGCTATTGTGATCATTTGGTGTTTTCCTGCCCAGTCTAGAAATACAGGGTCCCTTAAGCGTGTTAGTGAAATAGCATGTTCAGTGAAAAATACCTCTGCAGCTGTCAGTCAAAGTCTGTACAAATTGTAAACCAGCCTTCAGGGAAGGCTGAGTCCCTGAGGGCAACCTCTGCTACAGTAATATGTTAGTGTATTCACTTGTCCATCCTCTTTTCTCAGGTTCACAAGAGGTGGCTCAGGTTCCTCCCCTTCTGAGGCTGGGCCAGCATGGCGGCACCCATCCTTCTTCCTCAGAGTCCTCAGAGCTGCTCTGCCACTTCAGCTCCTCTTGCTGCTCCTGATCGGGCTGGCTTGCCTGGTGCCAATGACTGAGGAGGACTACAGCTGTACTATGGCCAATAACTTTGCCCGCTCTTTCCACCCTATGCTGAAATACATGAATGGTCCACCTCCATTATGAAGGAGACCCGTGAGAGAGTGGGTGACCTTGCTGGAGTGTTAGCTGGGAGGCAGGACGGTTTTAAAGGCAGGATTCAGTGTGGCAGCTTTACCTACCTGATGTAGCCACCACTGTGTCCATATCATTCTCTGCTGGCACTCAGCAGAGTAGCATCATTTCATTACTCACATCCTGGGTACTAAGGAGTATGTGACGTGTGAGGGAATGTCCTTCTGTCCAGCATTCTGGATCTTTTAGCCACTTTATATCCAGGTCATTGCCCTGTACTATGCATAGCCAAGGACTTAATACTGTAGATCCTTTTCTGTCTGCTGCTCTAAATGAGCCATTAGCCAGTCTTTGTTAAATACCCTCTCAGTATCTACAGTATACAAAATAACCAATGCTAAAGACATTTTAGAGCATTTGTAACATACAGTTTTAAAGGATCTTGTATGGCAATGTATTATTCCCTGTGGTTTCTGTTTCGAGCATGGTGTTCTAACTTTTGCTTTGGATGCACAAGGTGTAAATCTGAGAAGCACTTTTTTAAGGTTTAAAAAATGGATGTAATAAATAAGATCGTAAAAGGTTTTTTGAGGAAAAATACTGAATGTCAAGTTGAAAAACAAAGAACATATTTATGTATGTACAGTTTGCTAAGCCAAGTTCTGTTTGTATTGATTTCTTTGCATTTATTATAGATACCATAAAATATTTTGTCTACGTGCTTTTTAATGACAACTATGGAAACCTCTAAGTTTAGAATGAGATATATATGATATAAAAAACCTAGAAGATGTACATATGCTGCACTTCTAAAAATAATTTTTAAATGCTGTAAAAAATTAACAGTATTAGGTACATGTTTGAATGAGAAGATCTGGAAAACTTGACAAATGGTAAAATACATGGGAAAATATCACTTTAGAAGTTCTGTTAATATTGAAAGCTGTCCGTATTTTGAATTAATGATTGGTCATTTCAGGTTGGTTTTTTTTTTTTTCTCAAGCTGCTTCTTGAGAAAAGTTTGTTCTCACCCATGTGTTGTTTCTGTCTCTGTGTGTATGCACTCATGTGCAACCTGTGGCAACTGAGGTTGTACCAATCCACATTGAAGTAGATTTTTTCCTGTGGGTGTACTGGAAACTTCTTAATATTCTTCATAGCAGCTTAATACCAAGATGGATGTTTATGCTTTACTAATAATTAGTCTAGTGGAGTATGCCCAAAACATAAGCATAAATTGCAGAAAACCAGAACAAATGGAAAACTCATCAATTTTCCAGAAATATTGCAGAAACTTGCAGTCTGAGCAGTGGAAGACACTCTGCCCAGCTTATCAGTCAGAGCTCGACCAAAACAGGATATTTTTTTTATTTTGAAAAAATACAGAGCATGGCTCTAAGTTAATGCTCTTTAGTAAATTTGGATTTTTTTAAGGCATGACACACAATGTGAATTTCTCCTGTTAGATGAATATATTGGTCTACATAACAGAAATAAAAAAAGCCAGAAGAAAATACAAGCACATTAATTGCTGTTACGTAGCATTAGTTTTCTGGGATGTCATCATTTGAGCTGGTAGGAGGGGAGGGTGGTCAGAGGTGGAGTACGACAAGCTGAACTCCAGCATTTGGAAGAGCCAAAATATGCTTCCTTTCCAGATAAGTGTTATGTTAACATCTCCTGAAAAGGATTTTGTATATCAACAAAGTATGTTCAATGTCTGAGACCCAGACTTAGACTGATAGAAGGTTTGTCTTTTTTTCAAGACATAGTTTCCTTCATTGGTATTCAGAAGTTATGCTAGGCTAGATTAGTATAATAATAACAATCACTGATTCTGAGTAGGCGAAGATAAGGAACACATTTTGGGGAGACAAGGATGAACTGTTACTTGCAACAGGCCTGAGAGATTCCATAAAACTGACCCCTCCTCTCTTTTCTGATATAATTCTCTTTGGTGACATAATTTAGTCAATGGTAATCAGTGCACCTGTGTGAGTAATTTGGTAGTCACTCAGAACTGTTAGTACAGGTCTCTGCATGCTTTAGACATCCTTTCATCAGACAGTCCCTGGTGATTAATTTTTTTGTTGAAAGAATTTTGTTTTATTTTAAAAGAAAACATTGTAAAGAGTAAAAAGACTAATTTAGTGAGAAATAAGGATTTAAGCCTGACTTTGTCTCATATTTTCCAGATGACTATTGGTGATTTCATGGAAGTAGATGTTATCTAAAAGGTAGAAGGTAGTCCATGAGTATCAACCTATGGAAGGTGAGTATCAGCCTACGGAAGAGCCAAGCTGATGAAAGAACCAGGCAAAAAAGTCACAGGCGAGACCTGTGTTCATTTCTTACAGTATTTAAAAACTGAGGGAGATCTTGGCAGGGAGGGTTGAAAGAAGTTGGTTAGGAGTGACAGAGGAGTGCAAGGAAGGGAGTTCAGCTTGAATGATGTCAAAGGCAATTAACAAAGTACTTTATCAAAAGTATACATGGTAGCACCTGACATGCTTTGAATTATAACCCAACATTTGAATTTTGTCAGCTATTTTGCCACTCCTCTCTAGCCCCTACTTCCCTTGGTTGTTTGAATGCCTTCCCCACTTCCCTGATATCTAGGGAAGAATGGCCTGTCTTCTGCAGAGAGAAAGAAGAATTTGTGCTCCTCACTCAAGCTCCCAGGAGAGTTCTAGGGAGTATTCACTAAAATGAAGGGGGGGTGGGGGG